AAAGCGGCCTTCTTTAGTAGTCTTCCGTTCCTTCCTTGAGTTTCTGCGCTGGCTTCGCTGGATGGATTGTGATCGGGAACTGTAAGTGAAACAGATCTTCTCTTGCCCTAAGTTGGTTTTGGTCAGTGTTTTATCACAGCAAACTGCAACAGAAATGTTACTTATAGACACTGGATTTCAGTGTTCTTCCACTTTCAGCCTTTTCCTCTATGGGTATCCGTTGATTGAGTTCTCCGTAAATAGACTTTGTTTATACTTGTGTACTTATTAGATGTGGATCAAGCTTCTCAGCAGATGGGGCAACTAATAGGACCTTTATGCTTCAGCTGACCAGAAACTCCAGGCAGATTATGGTGTTTTTTGAGCTGGCAGCTGCCAATTAGAAGCTGGCTTCAGTCATGTGCATCAGTTTCAGGGAAGCATTCTGACCCTGTTTTCCTCTAAGGCTGTTTAGTACCAAGGCTCCCTTGGAAATCCTGGAGTTGTCCCTTTTAACCAAAGAATTTATACCTACTAAATCCCTAGCAAGAAACCTTAGTCCTTAAGGCCCCATTGGTTCCGGAACTCCTGGTTTAGGAGGGGCCTTCCACAAGGAATAATAGCCTTTCCCAACTGCATAGGGAAAGGGAATTCAAAACACCAGGGCCCTCGCAGGGATTTCAGGGTAATGTTCATCACTTCCTCTGCTTCAGGATGAATCATGTAGGATTATTTCTTTGTTAACAGACATCCTGAGGAACAGGAAATACTCAGGAACACTCAAAGACATAAAGCCTAGCCTTTGTAATCTGTTTTGGGATACAGATCCCTGGACCTTCCTATATCCAATGTCCTGTTTACCCAGCAGACCTCTTTCTCCTGATGTAAGGAAACTGGACTTTAGTGGTTGGCCTTTCTTGTTGAACTTTCTTAGACTGCCAGCACCCAAATAATGACACAGAGGCTTATTATTAATTATGAAAGCTTGGTCTTTAGCTTAGGCTTGTTCCCAACTAGCTTTTATAACTTAAATTAACCTGTTTCTACTAATCTACATTCTGTCATGTGGCTTTTTAACGCCTCCTTCATTCTGTATGTCCCACTGTCTTGATGACATCTCTCTAGAAGCCTAGATTCTTCTCCAGTTCTCCTCTCTCCCCATAAGTCCCATTTATTCTCTCCTGCCTAGCTATTGGCCATTTAGCTCTTTCTTAAACCAATCAGGTACCTTAGGCAAGTAAGTTAAAAACGGTGATGCATTTTCACACAGTGTGAAAAAATATCCCTCAACAAACTGCCAATTTTCTTTAAATTATATTTGGTGCTGATATTTCCTTTATCTTCCTGGAGCATAGTCTCAATTCTTATTGGGTTTAGTCACCATGGAAATGGCCATGCAGCTTTTTTTTTTTTTTAACTGACCATTTCTGGTTATCTGCTTTCCTATTGCCATGTGTTTCTGTTCTATAAGCCTTTACTACTGGACAGGGGACACCGATATTTTGAAAGATTCCATCAAAACGTTCTTACGAAACTGCATATATGCCAGTCATTCCTCTTGTTACAAGTTGAATTTTGACTTTTCCCCAAAAGCTATGTTGGGTTTTCAACCTCCAGGACCTTAGGATATGATCTTATTTGAGATAGGGTCTTTGGGGAGATAGTGAAGTTAAGATGCATCCTAACACAGCATGGCTGACACCCTACCGGGGAGAAACTGGGAGATAGACATTCATGAACTGAGAGGCCTGAATCCCTTCACAGCTGTCAGGAACAACCCTGCACACATGTAATTTGGGATTTCTAGTCTCCAGAACTGAGTTTATTTCTCTTGTGCAAGCCACTCACTGGTACTTGTTTGCACCTGCTCCAGCAAACCAATACATTTGATGAACATCAGTGAGAGCTAGAGTAGCTTCCCTCTCCTCCATGGTCACCCCTACTAAGAACTATTGCTAGCATATCTTGGATACCATCCATGCTAAGCACTGCTATGTGAGCTTTATACTGTAGTAACTTGCCTAATGTTCCCAACAGTATTGAGAGTGTTGTTCCCATCTTATGGATGAGAACGCCAAGGATTGGTAAAGTTCAGTAACCAGCCCCAACTCACATGAATTAGTAAAAGATCCTAGATTTGAGGTTTGCATGCAGATCACCTCACACATCTTGAATGCAGACATGGGATCTCAACATATTCTGCTTATTGTGTAACCAGGGGTGGGTTATAAAATAGAAAGAAAGGGCAGGATGGTAGAGATGACAGCCGATACGTTTAGTGGGTTGGATAGGTTAAAATCTGGGAGAGCTATGCATTTTTTTTCCCTGCTCTCTGTTGCCCCCTGTCAATAGGAATGGGGAGAGGAAAGTTAATCTGACTTTGAGATGAAGCAATGGCGCTAAGGAACCAGGGACCATTTCCCAGCTTATTAAAGGTGGGAGGGCTGGTAGCAGCAATACCGTCCACCTCAGTAGGAGGCACTGATTTCAGAGGAACTGGGAGGAAAGTGGTAGGTGTCAGGAGCAGGGACAGAGTTCCGCCTCTGTCTCCCAGTGCAGTCCCTTTGTGAATCCATCAGTGGTGTCCAGTGGGTCAGCCAGGAGTTCTCACTGAGGAAGGGGCAACTCAGGCCTTGGCTTCAGTACACACCTCCTTCTCTTGAAAGAGGGTGCTGCCCTCCCCTCCCCAGGCACTGCTAGGACCTGGAAGCTGACAAGGCAGATTCAGTCATCATAGACTCTTGCTGACCACAAGAAGGACATTGCCTGCACATCAAAGCCTGAGTCATCCTTAGGGAATCACCCTTTCCATCCTGCTCTCACATGAGTGTGGATGCAAGCTACCCGTGGAGGCCAGAGCTCAATCTTAGGTGTCATTTCCTCAGGTGCTGCCACAGTGTTCTTTTGGAGTAAGGATCTCTCTTTGGCCCAGGGCACCCTGACTAGGCTGGGTTGACTGGATGCAGGCCCCAAGAACCTTCTTGTCCTCTCCTCCCCAACACTGGGATCACAAATCAATGCCACCACACTTGGCTTTTTTTTTTCTTAAATGGGAAACAAACAGGTTCTCATGTTTCGTATGTGCAAGCTGTTATCTGAGGTGAGATGTGCAGCTGGTTCTCTCCAGCTTCCCCAGGATATGTGGATCTCCCTCACTTGAAGCTTGAGTGTTGACTGTTTAGCTGCTCCAGGAAACAGAAAACCACCCTGTTCAACAGGAGCTTTCTTACCACCTCACCCTCTTCTGCTACCTGTCGTTCCCTTCCAAGTCCCTGTGACTATAGCTGCTGACTGGCTTAAAGGGACATCCTTGCTTGACTGGCTTAAAGGGACATCCTTGCTTTTTGAAGCATCTCGGTGGTATGGTGCTCCCTGTGTGATCAGGTGGTGGTGTGCTCTCTGTGAGATCAGGTTGGGGTCCTGTTGATGCTTCATTCTTGTATTGCCTGTGAAGTATTCCAAGGATTTCACTGATGAGAATCCTCAGCTCCTTCCTACCCAGTTGTCACCAGGCAGGCAGGCACCCTTGTGAGTAGGGCCCATCTCCACTAAGGGGGGCAGATAACAAGGTAGCACTCAAGGCTGCTGAAGCAAGAACCAGAGCTCTGCTTTTAGGAAATCTGACTTAAACCAGAATAACTACCTGAATAAGTTAATGAAGATCCAAGGTGGTCTTTAGCATCAAAATGAAAGTATGTTTGCTTCAGTTTGGGCTTCTTACAATTAGTATTGATGTCACTTTAGGCAAACGATCATCCTCATATGTTTATACTCTTAGCTAATTGAAGTGGACAAGTATAGGTTTTTTTTTTTTATGACAGAAGCTATTTTAGTACCAAGTACTTATCAGTTGTTTTTTTCAAATTATTTTATTTTATGGAAATGGTTGCTTTGCCTAAACCTATGTATGTGTACCACATGCATGCTTGGTGCCCAAAGAGTGTCAGATCCTCTGGAACTGGAGTTTTAGACAGTTGTGAACCACCATGTAGGCCTGGGAATTGAACCCAGGTCCTCTGGAAGAGCAGACCATGCTCTAACCGCTGAGCCACCTCTCCCATCTCATCAGTTGTTTTTAAAAGGCCAGGAGAACTAATTGCACTACTTAAGATCTCTAGTCCCAAAATCTGTTATTTTCTCTGTAGTCAATTTAGATTCCCATACAACTATTTTTCTTGATAATTTTTTGTTGTTTGTTTTTTCGAGTTAGGGTTTCTCTGTGTAGCTTTGGAGCCTGTCTTGGCACTCGCTTTGGAGTCCAGGCTGGCCTCGAACTCACAGAGATCCACTTGCCTCTGCCTCTCAAGGGCTGGGATTAAAGGCTTGCACCACCAACGCCTGGCTTTTCTTGATAATTTTAGAAGACAAACTTTCATGGATAAATTTATTCTGAGAACTATAGGCTTTTAAAAGAAAATTGTTGAATTCATCCAATATAGCAATTTAAACATTTGTTTGGGTAAACTTTTAATATTGGCTATTTGGAACTTGCAGTTCCTTATCCTATCTATGGTAATCCACATGCTGTGTGGAAGCGATAATTCCCTCTCCAGAATTGCACAGAAAATAACCAATCACACATGTTGAGGTGCAGATAGCTTGCTTTATTTTTTCTCTTTATCTCAAGGAGGTCCAACATTTATAACTACCAATTATACCGGCATGAAAAGGACTACATCAAATTGATAATTTTTTTTTTTTTTTTTTTGTGGGCAGTTGGTAGTAGTGTTGTTTTAACGACAGCTTCTTTTGTTATTTTATTTATTTTTTTGCTGTGGCTCATTGCTTAGTTGCCCTGTTTCAGGTGTGATTTAAATTTAGAACTACCACACGAGGCATTAGCTGCACCTCGGACCCCCAGGAGTTGGCACTGCTCTGGCATAGGAATACATGAATAGCTTGGTTAAACGAGGGGATGGCCAGGAGATGGTACTTTTTCCAAGCTACCCAGGCACTCCTTATGTCAGAGACAGTGTGAAGTGAGCGAACAAAGTGTTGGCCGTTACACTTTGCTCTGGTAATATTTGTCATGATAATTTTAAGTGTGACATCATCAGAGAAAATGTAAGACGTTAAAGTGCTGCTTACAGGAGGGTAGATGCAAACATCACCAATGCCTTACATTTCTGATTCAATAGGTATCAGTGCGCATGTCAGGGACATGCACAGCAGCATCCTCTTTTAGGTGGATAGGACATCTTCAGTGGGGAATTTCTCAACCCACTGAGGCATACTTAGACATCAACAGTATGTTGAGGCACAAAGATTGATTAAGTATTGGCAGGGTATTCGTTCCATAATCCATAAGAAACTTTCTCCTACCAATGGTTTCAAAAGTTACAGTGTAAAATGTCATAAAATAAATGGTACAAAACTTTATAACCGTGAATACGGCTATATACAGTATGTACATGTCATTAGCAAATATTCTCAGGTCAACAAGTATGAAAGGATTGAAATGCATATTTTTGGAACTGTGACTCATTTTGATGGATACAAAACTACTTAGAAATATTTACAGGTCCAGAAAGATTAGTCCATGTGAATCATTTGTGAAAGATTATGAGTGTAGAGTAGAAGAGCCCCCAGGCCCTCTTACATAGAGCGGATATTAATATTCACAGTGGCAGAGTCAGATCCAAATTCATTCCCTAAGTGCAGGGTATAAAGTCCACCGTCTTGTTTTTGTACGTCCATGATGATCAGGGTTGTCAGGTCATCTGTGTTTTCAATGTGGAATCTTCCTTGCTGTTCTTGGTTTTGGATCTCCCTTCCATGACAGGACCATGTTATTTCTGGAGTAGGCTCCCCAGTAAAAGCACAGGCTACTGTTAGAACTTTGCCTTCATCGATGCTGATATCAGATGGGAGAGCCTCAATTTTAGGTGGAATTCCTTTAGGGAACAGCAACAGAAAAGTTTTAGGATCACTGAAACAAGAAATCCTCTTCACTTTCTATTGAATTTTAGGTACTAAAACTGTGGTTCTCAACCTGTAGGTCAAGACCCCATTGGCAAACTTGTATCTCTAAAAATATTTACATTACGATTCATAACAGCAAAAAATTATAATTAAATGAAGTAGCAACAAAAATAATTTTATGGTTGGGGGGGTGCACCACAGCATGAGAGACTGTATTAAAAGGTTGCAGCATTAGGAAGGTTGAGAATTGCTGCACTAAAACTATATTGTGCTATGTGGCTTGGCTCTCTCTACCAGGAATTTTATTGCTCACCTCTTCCGCCTGCTTTCAGCATTCTACTGGTCGAGCTTTCCAGTTGTGTCATACTAGATTTCCCCATAAAACTGCTGGAACTCATTTCTACAAAGGACTCTTGCATGGAGGACATGCTTTGGGCAGACATGCTTGCAAACTTCATTTCAGTCATGCTGCTAGCACTGCTGCTGCTGAAGCTGCTGAAGGACGCCTCTTGCTTAGAGGCAGACATTTGGACTGACTGAGACGAGAAGCTTCCTTGCAAGCTTGTGTCACCACTTGTTTTCAATACTACCTCTCTGGATGGTTCTTCAACTAGAGCTGTGGAGCATAGCAGATACACAGGGGACATCAAAGACATCTGGTTATTTGGTGACATCTGACACCGACTTAACGGGCATGAAAACTTACACACATGGAAACACAATCCAAACAATTTGCTGTTGAAGCATAAGCAAATACATGTATACATACATTTGTCAAGAGCTAGCTCAATGGCTCCAAGAAATGGTCCTTAAATTTCTAACGTTACATGCAGTGCTAGAAATCACTAAGAAAAATGATTAGTCATGTATATGGTAATTAACACATGGCAGTCTAGAAAGTTTTACAGAGTTCTTGGTAGCTTTCCTTCCAAAATTAAACTTCTCTAAACTCCTGTGTAGAGAAACGGATCATGAGGATGAATTCTCTCTTAGCCATGGATTCTTTACAAGGTCTTTTGAGAATTTTCCATGCTTAAAACACAAGCAATCCTCACTTCACCCACCTCAGGTCTTAAGGAAAATGGCAAAGATGTACTTACGAAGGACTGTTAGGGAAGCTGTGGCTGAACATTGACCACGGAAATTTTTGGCCTTAATTGTGTACTTTCCACTGTCACTTACGGACGCATTTCGGATTTCAAGAGTGTACACATTTCTGGAACGACTCACACTGACTTTTGAAGAAATGGAAATCTTAAAGAGGAGGAAAATGGCATGAAAGTCGTTAGATGGAGACATGATATTTTCAATTTTCTTCAATATGCATTCATAACTTAAACTTACCGGCAGATTGTTTTTAAACCACTCAATTTCAGGGGATGGCTCCCCACTGATCTCACAAGAAAAGAGAACATTTTGTCCTTCATTAACATTTTGAGATCTGGGTTGTGAGATGAAGGCTGGAGCATCTGAGAGTTCTTTGCTCAGGGTCAAGTCATACTGACATTTGACGATTCCCTGATTGGTTTTGCCTATGCAGGTGAGGACTCCTTCATCTCTGTGACTGGCTTGCTTGATGGTGAGGGTTTGGTCACTGCCAGACACTCCATATCTGTATTCCTCTGAGTTAGTAAGCTCAATGCCGTTCAGCACCCATTTCACTTCGGTGGCACCAGCTATGTTGGCTTTCAGAGTGACTCTCTGGCCATCGCTTATGCTCATCTGAGTAGACAAGACTTTGATCTCAGCATGGGTTTTGACATCTTCTGATGCCTGTGAGGTTTTGGTGACTTCTTCGTGGACAATGGATTTTTCTAGGGAGGCTGCTGCAGATTTCTTGACCTCCTCAGAAATCAGGACTTTGGATGCCTCCGAGTCCTTGATGGCTAACTTCTCATGAGATTTTACCTCTGACATCTTGATTTCTTCAGAAGTTAGGGCTTTTTGAGAAATTTCCTCTTGGACACTTGCTTTCTTCTGAGATGTAATTTCAGAGGTCTTCTGGGTAGATACTTTCTGTGACTCGGTGTCTTTTACAGCTAAAAATAGAAACCTCCGTAAGTAGACTTAATTGAAAAGTGATCTCCTTCTCTACTTTTGTAGACTCTACTATGTGATTCAGAATAAAAAACAAATGTCAATTTCTGTATGTTGTATTGGTAACACCAATTTTGCCTCAGCTCCAGCTGTAGGAAATTGTCCCACATGACTTTTGAGATTGGTGCAGTGGTTTTTTAAAACTAGACTAAGTTGAAATTGATTCTTATGACTTGAGGGGACACATCTTGAACAGGATAGGCAAAGGCTTAGAATGTGGCATTTGAAGATTTTGAGCAACTGAAAAACTATCTTTTAAAAGACTGAGACACTAATTTTTACTGGGATAAGAGTGTAGCCCATTCACCAACTTTGTGCTCCTTGGAAAATGGCAAGCATCAAAGTTAGAGAGGAACTAACATTTTATGTATTCACTCAATTTTAGTTATTTTATTTTATCTATATATAGCCTAGGCTGACTTCAAATTCATTATAGATCTGAGGCTGACTTTGAATTCCTTACCCTCCTGCCCTAACCCAGCGTAGTGACTATAGGCCAGGGGCACTAGACCTGCCTGACCTTCCTTACTTAGTCTTAAATATCCCTGAGAGCAGATTGTAAGATCTGTGAAATCTTACATAGCACCACATGTAATCATTCACAGATTTTATGCTAATATAGAGGCATATATTAACTGTAAATCTGTGTTTCTAGATTTGAAGGTGTGTTAGAAACTGTTTTAATAGTGTTCTCTAGGAAACGTTAGTTAAGAACAAAACTTCACCTACCTGTTATTGTTAGCTTGCAGCTGGAGGACACAGATCCAGCTGAATTTGTCACGGCACAGGCATAAAGCCCGCCATCAGAAGTCTCAGTCTTGAGGATCTCTAAGATGAAAACATCTTTGTCTTTAGAGAGTTTGTATTTACCGCCTTGTGCAATAGCCTGTGGAAAGCAAGTGATTGGAGTTTTAAAGCATGCCTTAAACTGCAACTTTCCTTAGGGGTTGGGGATGAGTGGGGAGATTATATATTTTTCTAGAAAACAGAGGACATTTTAGAACTGGTTACCTTTCCATCCTTTGTCCAGGTGACAGTTGGCTGGGGCTCTCCAGTAACTTTAACTGTAAATTTAGCAACACTGTCTGAAGAAATTGATATATCTTGCAGCCCAGTAACAATTACTGGCTTTGAGGAAACTGATTCAGGAGATTTTGGTTCCTGCTTCTTGGCTTCTGTTGACTCAGCAGTTTTCTGAGGGGCTTTCTTGGCTTCTGCTGACTCGGCAGTTTTCTGAGTAGATCTCTTAGTTTCTGATATGCTTGACACCTGCTCATGAATGCTCTTGAAAGATTGTCCAGTAAACTGGAAGCTGGTTTTGGAAGTCCCTCCTTCACCGGAGACCTCACAAACATATTCTCCACAATCAGACTCGCTAAGGTTATGGATTTTGAGTTCGTAGGTACCGTCTGCTGAGTAGTGAAACTGAAAATGCCCATTTTCCTTGAGTTTCTTGCCATCTTTATACCAGGTGACCTCTTTTGCACACAATGCACTACTTTCAACGGCACAGGTCAGCTTTGCAATATCTTTAGAAGCTTCTGCTTTCAGGGACTGAGTTATCTTTGGTGGGGCTGAAACTGGGAGCTGTTGAGCCTTCTCTGCCTGTGTCGGCTTTGTCTCTGTGGGTGATACAACTTTCGGATGAGCAGTCACTGGTTCTGGAGATTTGACTCTTTTGGGAGACTTCACTGTTTCTGGGGACTTGACTCGAGGCTCTGGGGACTTGACTCTGGGTGGTGATGTCACAGTCTTTTCAGCAATCCTGGCCTTCTGCACGGTCAACGTGAACTGTGCCTCTTGTTTCCCATCAGTGTTTTCTACCACCACACTGTAGTTGCCCTCATCGGAAGCCTGCACCGAAGAAATCTCAAAGGTTGATTTGTACTTGGTGGTGGTCACTTGGTGGCGTGAAGAAGTACTCATCACTTGTCCTCCACGCAGCCAGGTCACAGTTGGAACAGGCTCCCCATCTGTGTCACAAGAAAACCTTGCAGGCTCACCTTCATAGACTGTTATGGACCGTGGCTTTGTTAAAATTCTTGCCGCCAGTGTTGTCTTAATCTTTCTCACAGTGGATTTTTCTTCCAGTGACTTTTGCTCAGAGGCAGCACTTTTCATTTCTGCGGAGGTATAATGCTCATAGGACAAGAGACTTTCCCTTGTCTCCGTCATTTGTGACTTCATTTCTCTGACCGAAGAAGCAGCTTCCATCTCAGATGTCCTCTTAAACGATGAAACTGCATATGCCTCTGTTTTTGTCAGTTCAGGGAAGACAGACTTGGGGACCTCTTCATCTCTGCGCCGGGATGCGTAGGTGGTATAATCTCCTCCAGTGACGTCCAAGGTTGCGTAGTCAGATGCCTCACCTTTGTAGTTGGTGCACACAGCACGATAGGTTCCACTGTCCTCAGTGTGACAGTCCAGAATTTCCAAGGTCAGGACTCCACTTGTATTGGTATAATGAATCTTACTGCTCTCTTGGAGTTCGACACCATTGTGGTACCATTTAACTTCAGCAGTTGGCTTAGACTGGACGTTTAAGATGAAGCGTGTATTTTGGCCACTTGGCACCCTATGGGAACGCATCCGCAATGTGATCCGAGGGGCGTGGTCAAGTGTGAAAGGCTGTTGACTCAAAACTTCGTACTTCCTTTCTGATGTCTTCTGAGTCTTTAAGGCAGCTTTCATAGACTCGTACCTGGAAAAAATATCAAATCTTGCGGACCTCTCAAATCTTGAGAGGGATCGCTCACTAGACACAGGGCTGGGAGAACGCGGGCGGGTTCTCTCTGGAGTGGGAGATCTTCTTTCTATGTCCTCTTCATATTCCTCAGCAGGTTGTGGGTGGGATCGGATCAGCTCTGAGACTGGTCTCATTAACTCGATGTAAGTTGGAGACAAGGAGCGTCGGCGTCTCAGTAGTCTGGACACAGAGGAGGACGATTCTCTTTGAGCCCGTCTTGAGATTTCGTATTCCTCTTCGATTTCTGTTATTTCTGTCACCTGTTTCTGTCGCTTTGATTTCTTTCTAGACATTTCTTCCTTTGACATGTGGTCAAGCTCACTTTTGTATTCTGAGAGACGCTGGGTGGTTGTCACTGGCCGCAGCAGCTCCTCATCTTCTTTCTCAGCCATGATCCTCTGCCGTAGCTTCGGCTGCCTGTAAGAGGCCTGGGCGTGTCGTTCCCGAAGCTCTGCATAACTTGTGCTGGTTTCCTCCTTTGTAGGGATGTGATAGGTTGAGTATCTGAAGTCTCTTCTCTTGTCCTCCACCTTGACATGAGCTGATGGAGACGAATACCGCAGGCTAGAAAGCTCAAAGCGTGGAGGGCTTCGGCTGGGGGGTGAAGCTGAAAAGCCCAACTCAAGTTCTTCTTCAAGACGCAGCCTCTCTTCTTCTGTTCTTTTCATTGCCAGGTAGTCATCAATGGGGAGGAGCAGCTCCTCATCTGAGATGTCACCCAGAGAGCGTCTCCTACGTCTATAGTAATAAACATCATAATCAGGAGAAGGAGTACGCCGGCGGGCTGGCCTCACCATTTCCAGATCATCTTGGGATAGTTTGGGGATCCGCCATTTAGGTCGATATTGATCTGTAATTCGGGGAAGAGGCATCACATAGAACTGTTCCCATCTTGAAAGGCGGATGCGCTTGGGTCTTTTCTGGACAACCCTGTCAAGTTTCCCAGGCATTTCATATTGATCCCGGACCTTCTTATACCACTTCATGTCAGACATAGGCACGAATTGCTTGATGCGCTGGTCTTCTTCTACTGTGGCTTGTTTGTGCCTGCGGGGCTCTGGGATTTCATAAGGCATGCGGAGTTTTCTCTCCTCTTTCTTTTCCTCTGTCTGAAGTCTGTATTCTCCTTTGACAGTCTTGGTGCTCACAGCTGGTTTGTAAAGAATGGCGGCTTCTCTCAGAGCTTCTTGGGCTACTGGAGTCAGTGGCACAGTTTCTGTTCCAGAAAGAATCTCAGCCATCCTCAGTGTTTTGTCAATCTGTTTTTGGACATGTCGCTCACGTTCCTCTTTACTCTGGAACTCCTGCTTGACATATCGCAACCGTTCTACTTGTAAGTGAGCCTGGCAGCTGGTGGATCCAGCTGTGTTTGTGGCTGTGACTCTGTAATAACCTGTGTCTTCAGGTAAAGTGTCCCTTATGTGCAAGGCATAATAATCTAAGCCTTCATGAACAATTTCAATGTGGGGCCCAAGGGACAATGGCTGACCATCTTTCTCCCATTTTAATGTTGGTGCAGGGATGCCAGACACTCTGATCTCAAAGCAGACACTTTGGCCTTCATGACACTCAGCATTTGCCAGTAGCCGCTTGAACATGGGTCTGAGGGTGGTGTCTGTTGGAGGTGGATGTAAAGTCACAGTCAGCTTTGCTTTACAGCTGTCTTCACCATATTTGTTCCTTGCCACGACAGTGTATTCAGCATCATCGTCTGTGGTTACACTATTGATTGTTAATTGATAAAGACCCTTGTCAGACTCAAATGTGTATTTCTTTTCATCATCACTTGGCTTGATTTTCTGACCTGATTTATACCACGTCACACGAGGTTCTGGGTGGACAGTGATAGTTACTCCAAACCGGACATTTTCACCCACGTATGCTGTCTTGTTATAGAGAGGCAGGGTAAATTCTGGTGGCCTTTCAAGGAGCCGCATGGCATCTGTTCTGCGTTTGACTCTCTTGGTTCTACGGCAGTAATAGTCATAAACTTCCCTCACACCTTTAACGAACAGTTCTGCATAAGAGCTATCTTCTCCGTAGTCATTGACGACTTTGCATCTGTAGGTACCGTCATCAAATTTGGTTATGTCTTTGACATACATGGTGGCCACTCCATCTTCATAGGTGATTTCATACTTCTCACTGTTTTCCAGCTGTCTCACACCAAAGTACCAGGTCACCTGGGTAGACTGATCATAATTTTCGATTTTGCATACATATTTGACATATCCCCCTTCTTCACCGATGGCATGCATTATCTGTCCAGAGACTGGGCCAATTTCAATGGATGCTACTTTAACTTTAGCCACACTCACTCCCCTCTGAGATCGAATTGCCCCACCACAGGAGATCCGGGCTGCTGAAACAACCATATTGAGGTCTTTCTTTATCAGGGTATGGTAGTAACGCCGGTGTTTCAATGTTCTGATGACTTTGGTACTGACTCTGTCTATCCTTTGCTTGAGCCATGGGTGCTGCAGTGCCTCAGATGCTGTCATGCGAGATTTTCTCTCTTTCACCAACAGCCGGTCAACAAAATCCATGGCTTCAAGGCTAATTTCTTTGAATGCTTCTTCATCAAAAGTATATTCAGCATTCATGATGTTCTCAATCATCTGTTGGTTAGTTTCAGCTAAAAATGGATTGATTCCACTCAGCAGCACATACACCAGTGTACCAAGGGACCACATGTCTGTGGCAGTGCTGACAACATCATGCTGGTGGACTTCAGGGGCATAGTACTCAGGGGCAGTGAACAGAAGCCTGAAGTTGTCTCCTGGCTTCAGCTGACGTGCTTGGCCAAATTCTATTATTTTAATAGTGGAGTTCTTTCTTGTCTGGTAAATGATATTTTCTGGTCGAATGTCAAAGTTACCAATATTATGACTGTGTAAGAACTCCAGTGCTTCGCAGACTTGACGAACATAGTTGACAATTTCTCTTTCATTGAGTTCAAAGGCACTAGTATTGATGCGTTCAAATATGTCGAGTCCTGATATAAATTCAAAGATCATAACTAATTCTTCCATGCTTTCAAATGATTCATGGAGGTATAAGATGTTTCTGTGCCTAGCAATGTTTAGAATGGAAATCTCTTTCTTGACCAAAACCTGATCAGTCCCTTTGACTTTAACAAATTTGGCCATGAATGTCTTCTTCGAGGATGTTTCAACACAGCGGTGGACAATTCCAAACTCACCACGTCCAAGATCTTCAGCTATCATGTATTTCTCATAGAGTTCCTTAGTTTTAGAGTGTGATGCTTTAGTTGTGGTGACTTCTCTGGTTTCATCTACCTCGTCATCATAATTCATAGCTCTGGCCTTATCTTCTTTGGTAACGGTTGGTTCTGAGGGCTCTGAAGGCTTGCTCAGGCCAAACTTATTTTCAGCTATTACTCGGAACTGATAACTTGTTTTTCCAAATAAGTTGATCACAGTGTAACGTGTTTCTCGGGCCTGTCCCACACGGAGCCATCTCTCTGCAGTAGTTGCACATTTCTCAACAATGTAGTTGGTGACTTTGCTGCCACCATCAGAAGCTGGCTCTGTCCAAGTTAAGTTGACAGAATCCCGGGAGACATCACTAACTTTGACGCCTCTGGGTGGGTCAGGGACATCGGCCACATCCAGTTCAACAGTCTTTTGATCAATTCCAAATCTGTTTTTAGCACAGACAACATAGAAGCCGGCATCTTTTCTCTCTACTCCATTGGGGAAGACAAGTGACGTGAAGGATCTTGTGACAATCACTTGGTAGTGGCCATTATTATCAATGAGATCTTGTCCTTTCTGCCAGGTGATCACAGGATCTGGTTTGCCACTGAAGGGGATCTTGATGCTGATCACTTCCCCTCGGAGAGCATGAACTGCTCCCATGCCTTCAAGTGTTTTGGGCAAGTGTATCTTAGCTGGAACTATATCAAGATAAAAGAACAAAGAACATGATTTAGCAAGACTTAATAATACTCAGCCCCACAAATTAACAATAGCTTGTCTAACACCAAAATAATTTTTATAATTTTGTATTTACCTTCCACTTCCAAGGAGGCAGTGCCAGACACGGATCCCCCTTGGTTGGTGGCTCTGACTTGGTAAACTGTGGCATCATCATCAGTGACACTTGCAATGATGAGCTGGTGATAACCACCCTTAAATTCTTGAATTCTGTACTTGAGTCCATCTGCGATGATTTCTTTGCCTTGTCTGTACCATTTCACAATAGGCTTTGGATGACCGGTCACCTTGCAGACCAAAGTGGCATTGCTTTGATACCGTACATTCAGGTTTCTCAGCTCCTCCTTGAAGTGTGGAGCCTGAATTGGTACATCAGATTTTGGAGTGACAGGTTCTGATATTTCACTCCATTCACTTTCTCCACCTAGGTTTTCACATTTTACACGGAACTCATATTCAAGACCTTCAATAAGGTTTTGCACGGAAAAGACGGTTTCTCGAATTTCTTCTGTTGTCACAGCAATCCACTTGTTTTGCTTCTTCTCACGCTTCTCAAGGTAGTAATTTCTGATCTTTGCACCTCCATCACTTGCAGGTGGTTTCCAAGCCACGACACAAGAATCTTTTGTGACAGCAGTGATGGTTGGTCTACCAGGAACACTTGGTTTTTCTATTAAAAATAAAAAGATATGTCATGTTTAAAAATCCCATTTTAAATAAACAATTACTCCACAGTTCTATGCCACTATAAAGAAGGGGATAGGGTATTCACCTTCTCCTTTAAGATATAGAAACATCCAATTACAGTGAGAGAAAACCATTATACTTTATCTGGGTCTTCCATTTCCTTCCATTTCAACCATTTTTTCTGCTCAAAAGAATTTAATGGGGACAAACGTTTACCATATATCCTGAGACCAGGTTGTGCTTACCAAATGGACTCTTGATGATCACAATGGAGGCGACCTCTAGTGGTTCACTGATGCCAAAGGTGTTCTGTGCTGAGACCCGGAAATAATAGCCGGCATTTTCTGTGAGATTCACAATTCTACAGGTTGTCACTGAGATGGCTGAAGACACCAATTGCCATTCAGCACCTTCCTTGGCCTCGCATTTCTCCACCACATAATTGGTGATCCAGGAGCCACCATCATCAGCAGGTGGCTTCCAGCTGATCACTACAGAATTCTTCAGCAGTGCTTCAATCACAATTGGTCCTGTAGGTTTGTCTGGTTTGTCTGTTGAGAGAAGGTACATCATAGTGAGTTTCACAGCATGTTTCTTAATATCTTTGGAAAGAATGTTATCAAAAGCAAAAGCAAAATACCTTGTATTTCCACATCCAGGATGGCATCAACTGTCCCAAAGGCATTGCTGAGCTGAACCTTGTATTTCCCAGCATGAGTCTTACGTTGGACATTCTTCATGACAAGGTGAGTGTAGTGCTCAGTGTTTTCAATAGTAATGTTTTCTGAGTTTTGCAAAAGTTTCTGGCCATGGAACCAAGTCATGGCGGGTACTGGACGACCAATGTACATTACATGGAGCCGAAGTGTGGAACCCACGGCACCATAATACTTCTCTTTCAGTGGATAACCAGGGTGGAACTGTGGTGCTGCTTGCAGAAGCAACTTACTGCTGGTTTCTACTTCTCCAACTTCATTTGTAGCTACACATGTGTAAATACCTTCATCTTCTTGTTCCTCTGTCATCACTGTTAGAGTATGTGTGCGCCCGTCTGAAGACATTTTGTACTTCCGGCTTTGTATGAGCTCTTTACCAAACCGGTACCATTTAATGTCAGGGAGAGGCCTTCCAACAATCTGGCATGAGAGTTGAGCAGCTTCACCTAATTTGGTGGTCACATCAGCCATTTCTTTGCGTATTCCTGGGGCTTCTCCAGCTGCGCATGATGAAAGATGATGTTAAATGCACCGTTACTACTGAATCTATGATCTATTTATGTATGTCAGCAATGGATTTGCCTATTGATTAACACTTTAGTAGATGCTATGATGTACCCCAAAGAGTTCTTAATTTTTCTAGGGTAAGATGGAAAATGGTGACTAAGTGAGCACATCATCCTACTGTATTATATTGTGACTTTTCTTTTCTAGTTGGGAGGGCATTAAGGACGTATCATGAGGTTTGGAGGGAATAAGAATTCTCGGGATAAGCTTATAGGATGTATGCTTGTTAACCTTCCAAATCTTGCTAAGAGGTAACAAAACCAAAAATCTTATTGCATTAGAGGGAGAAACTTAGAATGCTTAGTTTATTGTCCCTAACATCTCCTGCTGGCATTTTGTACTCGGGGTGGCTTCTGATCAGATTTATTAGCCATTCCATGTGTACATATCAAAGTGATTGATTTAACGCTAATAAAGCTTGTCAGTTTAACTTGGAATAGATGAAGAGTTAGTTTTAACAGCTTTTGTTCCTAACAGAGAGCTGTAGGCTACTTACATGTTAGTTTTGTCTTTACAGACATAGCTGTTCTCCGGGGTCGGCTAAGTCCAGTTTCATTCTCTGCAAAGACCCTGAACTCATATTCAGTAGCTTCTAGCAAACCCCCAATGGTGAACTGCCTGTCCTTGATCCGCTCCTTGTTGCTCTTCTTCCAAGCACTGTCTCCAGACTGTCTATACTCAACCCAGTATCCAAGGATTTCTTTGCCACCATCACATTCAGGTTTCTCCCACTGGAGAGTGACACTGTCTTTGGATATTGAAAGAATCTCAAGTTCTCCTGGTTGGCTTGGCTTGTCTGAAATATTTAAGATCATTGAGAAAAGAATTAGATTTTACTGGTGGGAAAAAAAGCAGAGGCAAAACCTGGATTGCTTCATTGGTTTTTATCCCTTTTGGGAACACTTTACTTACCAAAGGGATCTTTACAAATAACTGGTTCAGAAGCAGGGCTGGTCTCACTAAGGCCAACATCGTTCTGTGCAATGATACGGAATTGATATTCGGCATCAGGAACGAGGCCGGTGACAGTGTACATCGTGGTGGTTATCTGGGTTTTGTTGTGTCTGACCCACTTGTCAGTGGATGTTTCCTTGCGTTCAATGTAGTAGCCTGTGACTCGAGAGCCACCGTCATCTTTAGGTCGGGACCAGGACAAGCTAACAGAACTTTTGGTCACATCAAGTACTTCAGGAGGATTGCTTGGAGGTTCTGGTGGGTCTATAAATACAAGTGAAAAGTAGACATGGGTCAGAGTGCAATCTCAGATCTTGTGAACCGTCAGTTTTAAGAAATGTAAGCATACAAATCAACTTTCATAACTTCGAAGGTGAAAGAGCACTTACTCAGTGGTGTTTTTGGTATGACTGGCTCCTCAGATTTCAAGGGTTTGCTTATGCCAAACTGGTTTTCTGCTGAAACACGGAAGTGATATTCCACATTTTCTTTGAGGCCCTTTACCACCAGAGATGTGCCTCGGACTCTGGAGTCAATGGTATACCAGGCAGCCTTAGGTACCTCTCTTCTCTCAAGGATGTAGCCCAAGATGTCAGCACCACCATCATCAGCAGGAGGTCTCCAGCTGACCCTTACAGAGCGAGCTTGTATGTCATCATATTCAAGTGGCCCTTCTGGAGTGTTGGGGCTTCCTATCACTTTGACCTTGATGTAAACGGTCTTCTTGCCACATTTGTTCTCCAGAACAAGGTCATAAGTTCCAGAATCATCTCTGTCTGCTTCTTTGATCACAAGCTCAGTATGTGTGTCAGATGTTGCAATCATGGCACGCTTACTAATATCTTGGCCTTCCTTGGTCCATTTACATATTGGGAATGGTTTTCCTTTGATTGGTATGGTAAGTCTGATGACTCCACCTTGTCGAACAAAGACACCTTCCTGGTATCTTTCATCAAGTTCATAGTCAGGGTATTCTGAAGATAAAGGAAAGATTACATACAATTTATTTTTTGAGTGGGGGAGTAGGAACAAGTCATAAGGCAATTCCAGCAGCAAGTAAACACTCAGGTATCTTACCAAGCATTTCTGTGACTTTGACTGTTCCTGGTACCTCAGCAGGTTCCCCAGGTCCACCAGCATTACAAGCTAGGACACGGAATCTATATTCAGCGCCCTGAGGTAGGTGTGTTAGGGTGTATTCCCGAATCTTGGTTGGGGTGGTGTTACATTTGGTCCATTCACGTTGATCTACTTTTTGCATTTCAATCAAGTAACCTGTGACTTTAGACCCGCCTTCATCTTCTGGAACACTCCAGGCCAGGGAGACTGATGTTCTTGTTGTATCAGTAACTCTTGGATTTTGTGGCTTTCCTGGTGGAGCTGGGAAGAAAAGGGACAAAAAGTATATTAACAGGAGTTGCTACAGAGTGATAAATTGACTGTGCAATCTAACAAATTCAGTGTGTTGTTGAAATATTGTTAGCATTTTTGTTTTCCACATTTTTGAATTCTATATTCTGTAGTTTTGTTGTAGTAGTAATTCTAAATCTGTATTTCTCAGAACTCATAGAACTATATACTTCAGAAGGTTGAGTTTCACTGCATAAAAATTGTATCTCAACAAACTTGGATTATACCAAATATATTTACCAATTGGATCCATGGCAACAATGGGTTTGGAAGGACGACTTGGTTTTCCAGTCCCTCTTGCATTAATGGCTGTAACACGGTGTTCATATTCTAAGCCTTCAATAAGGCCAGTGGAGCGGTATCGTGTCATTGTCACTGGTACTTTATTTACACGGACCCATCGATCTGCTCTTACTTCTTTACGTTCCACAATATATCCAGTCACTTGGGAGCCACCGTCATCTTCAGGTGGATACCAAGTAAGTGTCATGCCATCACGGGAGACATCAAATATCTGTAATGTTTCTGGAGGTCCAGGAATACCTGTAACAAGACAGAAAAATAAAATGTGACAACCCGAACAAAGAAATCCTGTTTATGTATATTATAGTTTCAGTTGATATTTTAGAAGGTATGAAAGACAAATGGTCATTTTCCTAGTGCCTTCAATTTTGTGGGTTTTTCATTTTTGCTGTATCTTGTTTTCTTCAATTTTATAAATATTAAGCATAAATTTTATACTTTCTCCTATTGGATTACCTATAGTCCCTCCCTCCCTCGCATTTTCTCTTCATCTCTATTTTTCTTAGACTCCCTTTTCTTTTTCATTTCTTCCAACCAAGTAAAGAAGTTAAAAAAAAAATCTACCACTGTTGAAAGCTGCCAAGCAAGGCTGCTTAGAAAACCTTAGGAAAACCCAGGGGATAATTTTACAAGCTGTTTTTCTTCACATTGGGACTAAATTCAACATCAGATATAGCGGACATGGTGGAAGAACCCAAGAACTTACTGATGCTGCTTCGGCATTCTATAACCTCAGACTGCAAGAAAGAGCCAATGCCAAAGCGGTTTGTTGCAGCTACTCGGAACACATATTCATTTCCTTCAGTGAGTCTGGTAAACTTAAATGTTGGTCTTGTCACTGATTCAGAAACTGGCAGCCATCCTGGACGATGGGCATCACGTTGTTCTACTACATAGCCACTGAGTGGAGCACCACCATCCAATTCAGGTGGTTCCCAGGATATAGTAACAGATGTAGCATCAATTTCATCGATCTTGATGGGCCCAGTCGGTGGGCCAGGCTTGTCTATGAGAGACAAACATTAGGAGATTAACTTTTACTTCAAATCAAAACTGGTGTCTAACCATAAACAACTAAATTGTGATTCTGTCACACATACCAAGAATGATAACTTTAATGGTCTCTGAGGCAGTCCCAGTAACATTCTTCAATTCGAGTGTATATTCTCCAGTATCTCTTATAGTTGTTTCACGGATGGTTAACTTGGTGACTTTAGTGTGGGTTTCAACTGTGACACGTTCTGATTCTCTCAGTTTAGAACCAGCAAAGAACCAAGAAGCAGTAGGAGGTGGACGACCAGCAATAGGTATCACCAGCTCAATTGGTCTGCCAGCTGGGACATGGATGGTCTTTTGAGGCATTGTAGAAAGATCAATTGTTGGTAACACTGTGAGAAAGAAAATAGTCATTTATTTTTATATATGATTTCTGGGGATGGAGTATCTTGAATCCTCAATATTTTCATTTATTTTACTACTATATGGACATTCAGTACTTACCTCTGAGGTCTTGTACAGTCACAGCTGTGACGATCTCTCTTGGTTCTGACACACCTTTCTGATTTTGTGCCCTCACTCTAAACAAGTACTGTTCACCTTCATTCAAGGAAATAACAGTGTGCTCTAAGATGGTGGGTTTCAAAGTGACAACTTTCATCCATCTCTCAGTACCAGCTTTGCAGGCCTCAAGAACATATCCAGTGAGTCGGCTTCCACCATCATAGAGTGGTTTTTCCCAGGCCAGGGTGACAGTAGATTTGGTGACGTCAACCACTTCTAGTTTTGTGGGCACCAAAGGTACTTCTGAGATCAGAACTGCATCTGATGTTTCACAGGGCTCTCCAATACCATAGATGTTTTCTGGAAGCACTCTAAAGTAGTACATGGTTCCTTCTACGAGTCCAGATATTCGGTAAAGAGTCTTGCTGCATTTAGTGGTTACTGTTTTGAATGCTCTCATAGCAGCTTCTCGCTTCTCAATAATGTAATTGTTGACTGGAGCACCACCATCAATTGTAGGGATTTCCCAAGTGATGGTCACAGAATCTCTTGAAACTTCCTTAATACTCACTGAAGGGCAGGGACCAGGAGTATCTTAAAAAAAAAGATCAAAAGGAAAGATTCATATTTACTCTTCATTGTTTGATTGATACTTTTTTTGTTACAGGAAAAATATAATCAATGTAGGTTTCCTCTAGTGAGGTAATCAATAATAGACTAAGGTGTACCTTTTAGTGGTCTCTACTCATAGCTCAAGTTCAACGTTAAGAAAACTGCTTACCATAGACTTTAACAAGGACTGTTGCTGACTTCTTGCCAGATTGGTTTTCAGCTTCAATTGTGTATTTTCCAGCATCATACCGATTAACTTTGTCCACAATGAGTAAAGAGTAGCTCTCTGTGTTGTCAATAATTGCCCGACTGGCAAGGTCAATGCCTTTCTTGCTCCATGTGATGACAGGAGATGGTCTTCCAGATACAGACACCATCAGGCGCAATGAAGCTCCAGCCCTGATAGTAACGGTCTTCTTCAGATCATCTGCAAGCTCAAGATCTGGTATTTCTGGAAAATACATATCAAAATGTAATTAACTCATGAACAGATGGGAGGAGAAGACAATTTATGTAAAAGTTTCTGTGTTAAATACCTAGTCTTTCCACGGGCTCAATCTCAGCAATTGCTTCACTGTATTCACTCATTCCCTTCACATTCACGGCAGCAACCCTGAACGAGTATTTCTGGCCCATTTTAAGGTCTGGCACAGTGAATTCGTTGTTCCTCAGTGTGGCATTTGTATGCACTCGGCACCATTGATCAGTGTCCTTCTCTTGCATTTCCAGGACATACCCTATGATGTCAGCACCACCATCATACATGGGCTTGGTCCATGTCAAGCTAATACTGCGCTTGGTGGTATCCACAACTCTTGGAGCGGAAGGTGGTCCAGGGGTGTCTGAAATTTAAAAGTGAGATATAGGCATTGCACAAATAAGGAAGATTTGGGAATTACAGTATGTTCTCAATATTCACAGATGCATTCAAGGCTTTCCAAGACCTTCTTTGTAACAGGGTTTTAATTTTTTAAATACTCTAGGACAAGACTTACCCTACATTATCACTAATTATTTAGATTTAGATTTAGATTACTCTGGGGATACATCTATTTCTTTAACTTTGACTAGCAATGGTAGTATATTCTCTCTTAGCTCAGTTCTTTTTATAGCTTGTTCTCAGGGACTGTTCTTCAGTTGCTTTTCTTTCACTGGGCTAATATCACCTGTCATCTCAATATTTCTAATGAATATAGGAATCTAGTCCTATCTTTTCCTTCTTCAGTCCCGGTGACTACTCCTTTTACCTCTTGGGCTCAAACTCTATAAAACCCTGTATGTTATTTCCAAAGGCCATATGATATTTTTGTAAGTAATGCTATAATATTAGGGACTTTATGCTCCCCTAAATCTCTTCTCAAAAAGAATTTGCTATTTTCCTTCTCAATACTTACCAGTAGAACTTACATATTGTAATTCTTCTAGGAGAATGAAAAAATATCTCTCATATTGGTAATAAAACAATATGTTGCTTTTCATAAACCAGACAAATACAGCAACAGTTTTCAGCAATGCTAACTGCTACCACTAATATAAGTAGCAGTCAAAATGCTATATATATCTATTATAAGATCATAGTTGTAAAAAAATCTATATTAGGTATATGCTTTTCATAAATTCTGAAGTTCCTGGAGAGACCACACTGGAAGATATTTGCCAAATGGTTTTGGCTGGCACAGGGTTAACTTAGAACTCACATGATGGCTCTCTGCATGAGATGAAGTTGGAAGCTTCACTGGGTTCACTGTTACCAGCAGCGTTCACTGCAGTCACCCGGAACTGATAATCACAACCTTCCATCAGGCTGGTCACCTTCAGCCTGGTATCATATACCACATAGTCTTTGTTGACACGTGTCCAGCGCAAGCTCTTCTTCTCACGTTTGTCTACTAGGTAGTTGCTGATTTCATTGCCACCATCGGATTCAGGCTTTGTCCACTGGATAATGATGTGCTCTTTGCCAGCCCCAACTTCTTCTGGTATGCCAGGTTGTGATGGAATTGCTGTTTGTATGTAATGCAAATAAGAATGGTCAGAAATGTACAAAATCACTGTGAGCATGACTACCCTTCTTTATCGATTGATTAACATTTTAATCACCAAAGTGTTCTTAAAAAGTTAATACTCACTGAAAGAATTTCTGGCCACAATTGGCTCCGATTCAACTGGCACACCAAGGCCGTATTTGTTCACTGCCCTCACTCGGAATGTGTATTCATTGTTCTTGATGAGTCTGGTAACCACGTAGGATACAGTTAGGCATTCTCCTTCAACAATCACCCAATTGAGCCTGCTAGTCTCCCGTCTCTCTACAATGTAGTGAGTTATTTCTGCTCCTCCGTCTTCCTGAGGAAGGCTCCAGGCTAATGTGCACTTCTCCTCGGTCACTCTGCTGACAGTGAGTTTTCCACATGGGCCAGGGGAATCTGAAACAGGCAGGGTGACAAGTGGCGATGAACAGCACACTTGAAAGTTCTATAATGTCAAAAAAACAAGTGCCTTTGATATACTTACCAAGAACTTTGACCACGACAGACACAGACTTGGTGCCACTGGCATTCTTTACTGTCAATGTGTATTTTCCACTGTCACTTCTGTCACAGTATTTGATCACAGCAGTTGCCCGCTTGCCAGTGTACTGTAGAGACACCTTTTCACAGAGATCTAGTTCCTTGTCTCCTTTGGTCCAGATGATTTTGGGTTCAGGTTTGCCACCAACAGCAGCATCAAGAACAAGATCTGAACCTGCTCTGATGGTCACCAGATCACCTTGTAACCTGGCGTCTAATTCAGCTTTGGGTGGAGCTGTCAATAGGCAAAATAGGTATGAATGAGTGTCTGACAGTTCAGACATCCACTTAAGTGTAGTAAGATAAAAGGACAACACTGTTTCTTACCGTATTCATCTCGGCAAGTGACAGGGCCTGTAGATTCAGAGCCTTTGCTAATCACACCTGCTGCATTCTTGGCCAAGACACGGAATTCATAAGTGTCCCCTTCACTGAGAGCAGTTACAGTGAAGAAATTATCAGAGACGATGGTATAGTTGCACTTTAGCCAGCGACCATCTCCAACTTGGCTGACTGGCTTCCGTTCTATGATGTAGCCCACAACTTTGCTGCCTCCGTCATAGACTGGGGCGGACCAAATTAGAGACACTGTTGATCTTGTGACATCTGTCACTTCTGGTCTACCTGGTGGATCTAGAAGGGATAGAAAATAAAGTTTAAAAATACAACTAAATCGTAATACAAGGAACAGTAACAAATACACCTTTAGAATTTTATACATACCAACTGGGTTTTGAGCCATGATAGGTCTTGAAGCTTCACTGGCCTTGCTGACACCTGCAGCATTAAGTGCATATGTTCTGAACTGATACTCCAGTCCTTCTACTAAGCCTGTCACTTTGTAGTTGCACTCCAAACATGGTACTTTGTTTTCTTTCACCCAAAGAATGGTGTTACGTTCTTTCTTCTCAACCCAATAGCCAACGATTTTACTGCCACCATCATGGTAAGGTTCTTCCCAGCGAATTGACATGGCATTGGCAGACACATAGTAGACTTCAGGTCTGGTAGGAGCACTTGGTGGAACTAAATATAGACAGGAATATGTAAGAATATGGTTTTATGAAATTCAGTGGAAATATTTAAATATATTTTAAACAGACTTTGAAATTTGTTTTTCTTACCAAATGGGTGTTCAGCAACAATTGGTGCTGATTCTAGAGGCTTGCTGACCCCAAATCTGTTCTCTGAACTGACCCGGAAACAGTATTCTTTGTATTTTGTGAGGTGAGTGACTTTAATCTGAGTGCGCTTCACACTGGAGTTGACAAGCTGCCAGGCTGTTGTACCCGACTCACGCTTTTCAACTATGTAATTAGTAATGTCAGTGCCACCATCGTCTTTGGGTTCAGTCCATGATAGGACACATGATTCAGCCGAGACAGATGATACCTCAATGGGACCAGTTACTGGCCCTGGCCTTCCAATGACCACAACTGTGATAGTAAATGTTTTAACACCAGCTGTATTTTCCAGGGTCAGGAAGTATCTGCCAGAGTCACCTCTCATGCTGTCCTTTACGGTCAGGGTGGTCCTGTCTTTTGTTGTTGTGATGCTCATTCGATCTGTCTCCTTGAGTCTCATTTCTTCTAGTTTCCATGTTACTTTGGGGGCAGGACGACCACTGATTGGCACATCAATGGTAAATGTGCTTCCAGCTTTGCAAGTTATGAGCTGATTGGTGATTCCAGTGAGATCAGCAGTGGGCTCAATCTGAGGCTCCTTGATGATGACAGATGAGAAGGCTTCTCTGGGTTCACTATAACCAGCATCGTTCTTGGCTTTCACTCGGAATTCATATTCAGTATTCTCAACGAGGCGCTCCACTGTGAAAGTCAGCTGTTTGGTGTGGCCAGCTTCGACCCAGAAATCAGATCCCTTTTGTCTCATTTCCAGCAGGTAGCTAGTGATCCGACTACCTCCATCGTGGTCAGGTTTAAGCCAAGCCAAGACTGCAGAGGATTTGCTAGTGTCCACGACATCAAGTCTCCTAGGTGGGGCAGGCTGTTCTGTGGCTACAATTGGTTCTGGCATTTCATAGGGTTCACCAACACCATACTCATTTTCAGCAGAAACACGGAAATAGTATGGAACACCCTCTGTCAGATCGCTGACCTTAAGGATCTGGCGAGTGCATTTTTCACTGACAACCTGCCAGCTACGGCGACTCGCTTCTCGTTTCTCTATCACATAGTGATGGATTCGGGCACCACCATCAAGGAGAGGGGCATCCCACATTAGTGTGGCAGATCCCCGGGTAACGTCTTTGAAGGTAATTGGACCAGGTGGTCCTGGAGAATCTAGCACCTTCACGGTGAATGTTATCGATTTTCTACCACTGTTGTTTTCCACTGTGAGTGTGTATTTCCCTGCATCATTTCTGTTGCAATTTTCCACAGTGAGGGTGCTGAAGGAATCTGTTGTGTGGATATCAGCCCGAATGCTAAGGTTAGAGTCAGGCTTGCTCCACACAGCTGTAGGAGTAGGTCTTCCCTGGTAGGCAATGAAGAGGCGAATGCTAGCTCCCGCTCTAACAATGTGAGTCTGCTTGAAGTTTGCATCTATGTCTAACTCAGGAGCGGATAACCGATCAACTGCTTTTATTGTACCGGTCACCTCACAGCTGTCTCCTTTCCCAGCACCATTGATAGCACTAACCCGGATTTTGTATTCTTCCCCTGCCTGTAGATCGGTGACTGTGTACCTTGTTTTTACACATGGCTCCATGTTTACTTTGTGCCAGTCCCCTAAGTCAGCTTTGCACATTTCTATTATGTACCCAATTATTTCCATCCCGCCATCAAAGACTGGCCTGGCCCATTCTAAGCTCACAGTTGTCTTTGATGTGTCTGTCACTTTGACCACTGCAGGGGCACTTGGTGGGTTAACAGGCTCTCTGCATTTGATTAGTCTTGAGATTCCACTTGCTGGCCCAACGCCCGCAGCATTTTCAGCCATGACATGGAATTCATACTCGTTGCCTTCTACCAGACCAGTGACTTTGAATCTTGTCTCAGAGATTGGTCGTTTACTGATAACTTTTACCCATCTTGTGCTTTTCTTTTCTCTTCTTTCAAGGATGTAGTGTTGAATCTCATTGCCACCATCTGATTCTGGCCTTGTCCAAGTCAGTGTAATGCTATTGCCTGTTACATTACTGGGTTCTGGAATTCCAGGGGCATCTGGAACAGCTATAAAAGGGGAAAATCAGTTAGATTTATTTGCTAAAAAAGTTAATCTTATGACATGACATCATTTAGTAGAACTGGAAACTTACTATATTGTATTTGAGCAACCACAGGGTCAGACTCCAGTGGCCTGCCAACACCAAACTTGTTCACTGCAGAGACACGGAACTGATATTCATTGCCAGCTATGAGTTTAATGGCAGTGTAACTGTGGGCTTCGCAGTTATCCTCAATTAATGCCCAAGCAAGTCTGCTGGTTTCACGTTTTTCAATGATGTAGTGGGTGACAGGAGCACAACCATCATTGAGTGGTGCATCCCACCACAAGGTCATCTTCTCACCAGTAATATTAGTGAATCTTATTGGCCCAACCACTTTTCCTGGTGTATCTGTAAGAAAAAGTTTTAAGAATTACTTTCTTTTTTCTTGTCCATTAAAGTATAATTAACCATATCCCTAATCCAAGTCCAATAAATTATACTGAATTATTTTAAAATACCTTGCACTTTCACTGTGATTTCTGCTTTTGTGGAACCAGATACATTTTTGGCTTCCACTGTATAAACACCACGATGATCTCGAGTTGCATCTCTAACAAAGAGGCTGGTAGAGCCAAGAACATCAGTTATTTCTATGTTCATTTTTCTCTCAATTTCAATTCCATCTTTGAACCAAGTTACTCGTGGTACTGGTCGCCCTTGAACCAAAGCTTTGATTCTAAGGCTGTCTCCAGATTTAATAACAAGACCATCAAAGTACTCAGGGCCAAACTCTACTGTTGGTGGAACTGTAAAAGAACAGAAACATTACTTAATAAAGACAGACACAAGTATCGTTTTCATTAGAACCATATCACAAAGCCTGGGAAGGTGATCATTTCCACACCACCAAAGGCCATTTTGAAAGTAGGAGTAGTAATTGAGAGTTTCAACTACAGGATTAAACATTTCTCCCCTTTTAAGTTATTCCCATTGTTACTCCTGGTATGTGTTTACTTTGCATTGCTTTTTGTAGAAAGAGAACTGCAAAACTTGCCAGTCTTTACTTCCTAATAGTGTTATAAATACAAGCTAGTTCCTGGGAGAAGCCACTAGCTTCACACAAGCAGGTAATGATTGTATTGCTTCATTTATATTTCATTTGAATAACTAGTACAGATAGACAGCTATTCCTAGGAACTGTTTAATTTAAAACTATGGCTAAAACTACAAACCTAAAATCTCATTCCTACCTGCTTAATATTTACATGGAAATGGTGTAAAATAATTGAAACAGTGGTAACTAATGGATATCAAAAAGGACTTAATTTATCCACTGTTGTGGGATAATCTTTTTGTATACTGTGAGGGGGGTGTCTTTGCCAAGGTGCATTCTGACTAAAAGCTAAATGGCCAATAGCTAGGCATGAGAGGATAGGTGGTATTTCCTGGGAGAGAGGAAGAGGAAAAGGAGTCTAGGTGCATGAATTTTGCTAGCAGACTGGGAGCAAGTTGGACATTCCATAATGAGGAAAGGTAAAAGTCAAATGATAAAACATAGATTAATAAAAGCAGGTTCATTAAGTTATAAGAACTAGTGTGTGTGGGGGGGGAGCCAAAGTCCAAGCTTTCATTCATAATTAACATTTTTTCCATGTCATTATTGGGGAGCTGATAGTCCCACAAAGGAAAGTCAAACTACATTTGAGAAAGCCTCCTACAATCCACATGGTAGCTTTAGCCAATCGATAGAAAAAGACTTCTGTCCCTTTTTACAGACCAGAAGCCAAAAACATTTTTTTTAATGTACATACTTTTTTTTTCCACAATGGAAGTAAGTTGGAAATGCTTACCATTTTCATCTCTTGTCATGATGAGGCCAGAAGACTGTGAGGGAGGGCTTATAGTTCCGACAGCATTTCTTGCAATTATTCTGAACTCATATCGATCCCCAGGACTAAGTCCTGTAACAGTATACTGACATTCACTGACATCAGTGAAGTTGCATCGAACCCAGCGATCATTTCCTTGCCGTTTCTCAATGCTGTAGGCCACTATCTTACTTCCCCCATCACGTAATGGTGGATTCCATTTAAGGGTGATGGTTTCCCGAGTGACATCAATGTAATCAGGAGTGCCAGGTGGGTCTGAAGAATTACAGGGAAGTTAAATATGATGCTATGTCTGTAATCATCCTTTAATTACCAATAAAGTAAAATGACACGGGTAAACCTTGCAGGCACATTTGTATTACTAAGTTCAACTTTTTGCTTCATGGTCTTTCAAAGAATTCTAAATTACTTTATTAGACTGAGTTAAAAATCATCCCTCTGGCTTTACATAACAAGAAGATAGAACCAAGAGGGTGACTTCTGAAAGAGAAGCAGTGTTTGATGTATTTATTGCAAATATTTGGTTGCTTTCTTAAATATATTTGAATAACAGTTACTTACCTACTGGAGAAACAGCTAATGTAAACTTGCTTGGGTCACTTGGTGAGCTTAGACCAGCAGAATTCTCAGCATATACACGGAATTGGTAGTCCAGTCCCTCTATTAAGCCAGTAGCTCTATATTCTCTCCCAGATATTGGTGATGTGTTAACCCTTTGCCAGAGGATGCTGTTTCTTTCTTTCCTTTCAACATGGAATCCAGTGACTTCTGAACCACCATCATAAACTGGTGCATCCCAAGTTAGTGACATGCCATCTGAGGTCACATTGTATATTACTGGCTTTCCTGGGGGGCCAGGAATCCTGAATTGGTGTTTTGCCACGATAATATTTGAGACAAGTGGCTCACTAACTCCATATCTATTTTCTGCTCTAACCCTAAACTGGTATTCAGAATCTTTGACCAGATTGGAAACTTTGAAAGTTGTTCTGGCAACACTTGAACACACCATCTTCCAATTAGTTTGTGAAGCTTCCCGCTTCTCAATGCTATAACAAGTAATTTCTCCTCCTCCATCATCTTCAGGTATGTCCCATGACATGATCGCACTGTCAGCCTTGATTTCATCAAATCGAATGGGTCCTTTGGGCTTTGATGGTGGGCCAAGGGTGATGATTGTAATGGGAAATGAGTTTCTACATACTGCATTATCAAGAATAACAGTGTATTTCCCTCCATGCTCCTTCTTTACATTCTTAATACTCAAGGTAATTTTGTTTTCTGTTTTACTGAAACGAACATATTCACTTTCTTTCAGGGGCAAACCATCTTTTAGCCAACTGATGGATGGCTTGGGTTTTCCTTTATAAGGTAACTCAAGATGTACATTATGTCCAATTCTCACAGATATCTGTGCCCCAGGGATTTCTGACAAGTCAACTTCAGGCGTAATTACAAGCTCTTTCACTGTAAGTGGCCCAATAGTGACAGGGTCGCTCTGTCCTTTCTCATTTCTAGCAGACACTCGGAATTCCAAGACTGATTGCTCTTTAAGCTGTCCAATCTCAATTTCGCAGGTCTTACTGATGCCAGCATGGGACCATGCTTGTTCACCTTTGCCTTTCCTTTCCACAACATAGTCTGTGATGATGCTCCCACCATCAAAGTCAGGTTTGGTCCAGCTCAGGACAACAGATGTCTTTGTAGAATCTTTCATTGAGAGATCACGGATAGGTGCTGGTACCTCCGCAGCCTTCACAGGCTCTGTAGTGTCACAGGGCTCACCAATTCCAATTTCGTTTTCTGCAAGAACTCTGAAGAAGAATGGCGTTTTCTCCGATAAGTCTGTTACCTTAAAGGATGTGCCGGAACACTTGTGTGACACAACAGACCATGTTCTCTTTGTGGCATCTCTCTTTTCAATGACGTAATTAATGATGGGAGATCCTCCGTCAATGAGAGGAGGATCCCATAGCAATGTGACTGTGCCTAGGGAAACATGTTTCACCTGTAGCTTCTGGCAGGCAGCTGGTGTATCGAGTACTTTAACACTCACAGTGGAAGACTTTGGTTGGCCCACTCCATTTTCTATTGTCAGGATGTATTTTCCTGTGTCATTGCGAGTAACTTGAGGAATAACAAGTAAGGACGATGAATCAGTGTTTTGGATGTTGTATCTGGCATCACTGCTAAGATTCTTGTCATCTTTCCTCCAAGTGACAGTAGGGGGAGGCCTGCCTTTAAAGGGAATCAATATTTGCACATCTTCGCCAGCTTTAGCTATGACAGATGTTCTGAGAGCCACATCTAGGTCGATTTCTGGTTCCTCTGTAGACACAAAAATGAACATTTACAGTGATTTTTAAAGGAAAACGAGTCTTTGCGTAGAACTCATAATAAGACAACAAAGCATTATCATAGTGGTTGTACATACCAAGGATGTCTTTAGCCTGTACAGGTTCAGTCATTGTTATAGGTTCTCCCTGGCCAGCGCAATTGACTGCTGATACTTGGAAGTAGTAATTGACTCCAGGTTTCAGATTAGATACCACATATTCTGTAGTTCTGACCTCTCCTTTGGTAGAGACAATAGTCCATTCCTCCTCCTCTCCTTGTCTCATCTCAACAACATATCCAGTAATATCACTGCCCCCATCATAGACAGGTTTACTCCAGCCAAGAGTGATGGATGATTTAGTTGAATCTGCAATTCTTATCTTGGCAGGTGGGCCTGGAGGATCTGGAATGGCCATTTACAATGCAGTGATTACACAGTAATCTGAAACTCAGCCACACAACAAATGAAGATGTGTGTATATGAGTACTTACCAATAGGATCAGCAGCCTTGTAGAAGTCAGATGGTTCAGAGAATGGACCCATTCCAGCAGCATTTACAGCACAGACTCGGTATTGATAGTCACTGTTTTCAGTGAGTCCTGTCACCTTTTGTCTGGTGTCACGAATTGTCTCCTTTAGTACTTTAAGCCATGCCAGACTCTTCTTGTCTCGTTTTTCAAGGAAATAGCCATTTATGTCACTACCACCATCTACAGTTGGCCTGTTCCAGACAACAGTCATCGAATTCTTGGTAGTCTTTGTCACTTCTGGTATGCTTGGTGGTCCAGGTGTAACTAGGAAGGAAAGAACAGATGAGTTTAAAGATTCTACTTTCTCATCTTTAAATTCTGTCTAAAGTATCAGTTTAGTAATGACAGTGTCTGTCCTGTGAAAAGGAAAGTAATGAGACAAGATGAGATGCCAAAGAAAATCAGTTTAAGAAGATATCCATAAGCTATCAGAATAGCTTATATCTGTGAATATATTTTTCAGGTTTTTTAGTTTTCTAATGAAGCTATAGCTCACCAAAGGCATTCTTGGCTACAACTGGATCAGATTCCAGTGGCTCGCCAATTCCATATTTGTTCACAGCTCGGACTCGGAAGATGTACTCATTCCCTTTGATAATTTTGGTAGTTGTAATAATGCACTCTTCCAGATTTTCAGCCACCATAGACCACACAACTCGGCTTGTCTCACGTTTTTCCACGATGTAGTGAGTGATCTTCGCACCACCATCATCAGCTGGAGGCCTCCAGAGCAGAGTTATCTTTTCTGCAGTGACAGTCTTAAATTCAATTGGCCCACCTGGAGGTCCTGGTTTGTCTGCCAATGAAAGAAGAAAACAATTGTTAGGGCCTTTAAAAGGCCAAGTGACTTTGAATTACTACACATTAGGTAAACAAAATATGATATTGCCCATGTTAAGCACCTACCGAGGATCTGCACTCTGATGGTAGCTGAGGCTGAACCCATGGCATTCCTTAGTTTTAATTCATAGCTTCCACTATTAAGGCGGTTGGCATCCTTGATGAGTATAGATGCGAGGTCTGTGCTATTTTCAACACACACCAATGCATTGGTTTGTAATTCTTTATCATCCTTGTACCACTCAATTGTAGGCTCGGGTTTGCCAGAAATACCAGCTCTGAGCCTCACAGATGTACCTGCTCTATATTTGACAACTTCTGTATATTCTAGAGGTAAGTCAATAACAGGCCCACCTGCAAGAAAACAGATGAAGAAACAGTTGAAATTTTACCAGGATGAAAAATGTAGTTGCAGAAACTTCAAAATAGGCCGTTGGCTGTTTGCTAATTGTATGCACACGTGTTGTAAGTAGTATATGCAGGTCTAAGCCTACTCACTTTATGGGGAAGACAGACTTTGTACCTCAGGGTAGATACACTCATTGCATGGGGAAGTCAGTACTTTCTATGTATTTTAACCTCTGGTAGACATTTTATTCCAGTGATGAAAACAGGATCAGGGATGAAGTGTTATTGAAGAAATAGTACCACAAGTTTTCTTTTACTCTAGACTCTCTTTCCTTTGCTTCTGACCATTTCCCATTCATATTTGTTTTCTTCCCACTATCCAAATATGAGCCTATCATGTTATTCTCGAAGCTTAGGTTCTCTACTCACAGAGCTACATCTCCCTTGAGCAGACACGCTGCCAGGCTTCTTATGACTGCTCAGACATAGAACTAAGTTTGACTGGCCTTACAGTGGAACAAATACTCAGAATCTACAAAGCCTGGCTAATAAAGTGTAGCCCTGGGGTTTCCAACAAGAGGAAGTGAGAAGATACTTTTGATCAAACATGAAGAGGCTCACTTCCATTTTTGAAAATGAAAACTATTAGAAGGTGTCACAAGGTACTTGACTCTCATGAAATTCTCATTTCCAAGCCATTGCTAGTTGAATGCCACTTGTTTTAGAATGGCCAAATACTCTAAGCCTTAGGTTTTGTTTTTTGTTTTTTGTTTTTTTTTTTTCAAGACAGGATTTCTCTCTGTAGCCCTGGCTGCCCTGGAACTCATTCTGTAGACCAGGCTGGCCTTGAACTCAGAGATCTCCCTGCCTCTGCCTCCCAAGTGCTGGGATTAAAGGCATGTGCCACTACTGCTCTGCTTTAGGCTCACTTTTGTAACTGGATTAATCTGTGTTATTGAACTAAGAGAGTGAATTCATGGAAGAAGGGCTCTTGGGGGAACTCCTCAGTTACTGGTAGGAGCTGTTAATACTATCATCGTTTAGGACTCTGTGTGGTCTTTCATGAATGTAGGAGAAAGATTTGGCGATTATGCACCTGTGAGTTAAATAATGAGGCTGATTACCTAAAATCGAGTGAAAGTACTGACACAGACAACCAAAAATAAAATAAAATAAAATAAAGTAAAATAAAAAAAATCCAAAAGTTTGAAAGGCCTTTATATATACACTACCATCAAAATCTTATCATTTTTAGTGAAATCAAGGGAGATGTGAAGCGGTTAAAGAATATTCCTAAGTATTCATTCCAGCTAGTTTATAGTTACTCTCACAATCCATTAAAACACATGGTAAAAGTCATTAAAGAAAACAGTGAGTGAAAACTGCTTACCATAAGAGTCAATGCATGTGATGGGGCCTACAACCTCAGATGGATTGCTGATGGAACCAACGGCATTTCTAGCAAAGACCCGGAATTCATACTGGGAATTCTGAGTCAAGCCAGAGACGGTGAATTGAGTCTCAATAACATTGGTGAAGCTGGCCTTGGTCCATCTCCCATCTGGAAGGTCACGCCTCTCAACAATGTAGCCTGTAATCTTGCTTCCTCCATCAAAAGCTGGTTGTTGCCAAGAAAGGTTGACAGAGTTCTTTGAAATATCAGTGATCCGAACATTTCTTGGAGGTTCTGCAATAACGAGACAGCAGATCAGTTAGACCAATTCATTTTGCTTTGAAGAAATGAAATTTACATTAAGTTATCAGAACTGCTCTTCTATGACAAATACATCTGACAAGTACATACCACAGGCATCAATAGCCAAGACTGGTTCAGAAGGATGGCTGGGTTTTCCAATACCAGCAGCATTTTCAGCATATACCCTGAATTCATAAATAAGTCCAGCACTGATTGTTGTGACTTTGAAGTGAGTTGTACGGATGATCATTTTGTTGGCTTTTTGCCACAAAATACTATTTCTGTCTTTCATTTCCAAGTGATAGCCTATGACTGCACTGCCTCCATTGGACACTGGTTCATGCCAGCCCACAGTGATGCTTTCTCGAGTAACATTAGATACCCAGGGTGTAGATGGTGGTCCAGGTGTTGCTATAAAAGAGAGAAAAATCATAGGTTAATATAGACATTTAGCACATTTATATAGTAAACAGCAATCTGGGGTGTCTAAGGTCAACAACTTACTGTATGGTAGTTTGACAACTATGCAAGCTGAATCTATGTGATCACTGATGCCGAAGCGATTTTCTGCCTTGATTCGGAATTGGTATTCTTCTCCTGTGGTCAGTTTCATGACTTTAATCATGGTTCTTGCCACTGTTGCTGACACTTCAGACCACACTGCTGTACTTGTTTCTCTCTTCAGTACAATGTAATTGGTAACATGGCTTCCACCATCATACTTTGGTGGCTCCCATTTGAGAGTCACACTTTCTTCAGTGATATCGCTAATGGCAACGGGGCCAGTAGGAGGACCAGGCCTGTCCAGGACAATGATGTTAATGAAAGTTTTGGTGGTTCCACTGGAGTTGGCAGCAGTGATCTCATACCTTCCAGCATCAGTGGTAACACTTTCTTTAAGATTGATGGTCAGGTTCTCAGCAGTTATCTCAGTATTAAATCTCATGGTTGCCTTCAGGGGCATGCCATCTCTTGATAAGGTCACTTTGGGTAGTGGTTTTCCAGAAATTGGAATGTCAACTTTAAGGTTGGAACCAGCTCTGACATACACAGTGTGACTTGGGAAATTCTTCATATCAATTTCAGGTGGTTCTGAAAAATAGAAATATAGAAAATAAAGGTAAAAAATGCCTAAAAATTAACCTACTTCAATGCAGAAAATGAAAATTTGCTTTTGGATAAGATTAGACATACCTAGCTGATCCTTTATGAGGACAGGAAGTAGGAGCTCTCTTGGGTCACTCAGACCAGCTTGGTTTTCTGCAAAGACCCGGAAGAAGTATTCATGATTCTCTCTCAGACCAGAAACAACATGATGGGTTGTTTTCACCACGGCACATTTAACCCAGTTTTTCTGTCCTTTTTCCAGTGCTTCAACAACATAGTGTACGATTCTGCTTCCACCATCATGTTCTGGCTTCAACCAGCTCAGTGAAACACTGTCTTTGGATACACTTGTTACTCCAAGTTTTTCTGGTGGGCTTGGTTTTTCTAAAGGAAAAAAAATGAAGCATTGAAAGAAAGGGGACAGCTATTACATTTCCCCTCCCACATGTATCCTTCATAACAGTGTCAAAGAAAAACTTAAATCAAGGCCACGAATCTACTTTGACTTGCGTCTACTTATGGGACAACTTTGGCTTTTTAGTCAATCAAAGCTCCACTAAGCTGTGTCATATGTTATAGTACTTAAATTAGGTCTCAAATAACCAGATAAAATGACAAAGTTCATTGTGGGCATATAATGGAGGGACAAGAGGAGCAATCTTGTAAGAAACTTCATACAGTATGTGTAGCTAGATTTGATTATCCTTAAATCCCACAAATCTTATGCTAACTTTCTAGCTATATCAATTATTGGAGATTTGTTTTGTATTATGGCATAAATAGTTTGGGGCTGTGAACCAAAAGTCTTTAAGACTAAATATAACTAATTAGAGTGATTCATATTATTATAGTAAAATATGGACTTATTTTGTTCTTAATATGTACCTGTTATTTTGACACCTTCTTTCGTTTCAGCTGGCACACCAACACCAAACTCGTTTTCTCCAGACACTCTGAAGTAGTAAATAGCTCCTTCTTGTAAGTTGGTTACTTTGTAAGAGAGGCGGTTGCAGTTGTTAGTGACAGATACCCACGCCTTCTTGCTGGCCTCACGTTTTTCTATGTGGTAATTCTTCACTGGTGCTCCACCATCATTTTCAGGAACATCCCAGGACAGCATAGCAGTCTCCTTGGTTACTTCATGTACAGTAATATTGGCTGGAGGACCTGGGGAATCTAAAACTTTGACAATGAAGGTCATCGAAGCAGCACTCAAAACATTCTGAATTGTTAGTGTGTATTTTCCAGAATCGTTTCTGCTGGCATTTTCAATAGTAAGAGATGTACGAGAATCTGTGGAATCAATGTACGCTCTAGTGCGGAGGTCAGTGTCAGGCTTACTCCACGAGACATTGGGTATTGGTCTTCCTCTGAAAGGAACAGTCATGGTAAATGAGGAGCCAGCCTTGACAACCAAAGTCTTCCTCATTTCACTGTCAACATCAAATACAGGTTCTTCTTCTCTTTCTTTTGCTACCTGGGGGTCAGAGCTATCACTGGGGTCACTGGCACCAACCTTATTGACAGACCTCACTCTGAAAACATATTCAGCTCCGGTTGTTAGCCCACTCATTGTATATTCTGTGCCTCTGAAACTCTGAATGGCAGCTTTCCAGTCAGTTTCATCAGACCTTTTGTATTCTACCGTATATCCTGTTATTGGAGCCCCACCATCAAACAAAGGCTTAACCCAACCGATGGTGATAGTTGTCTTGCTTGAGTCTACAATTCTGGGTTTGGATGGAGGAGAAGGCAGGAACACTGGGTCTTCTGCTCGAACTAAGGGAGATGTTTCACTTGGAAGACTTAGGCCAGCAGCGTTTTCTGCAAAAACCCGATACTCATATTCGCATCCTTCCCGGAGTCCTGTTGACTTCACTCTCAGATCATAAACTGGTTTTTTATTCACACGCATCCACCGTAGGCTGTTCTTCTCACGTCTTTCAATTATGTATCCGGAGATGTCACTGCCTCCATCAGTCTCAGGTCTTGACCAGCAAAGTGTCATGGAATCTTTGGTCACAGATGTGATTTCCAAAGATGTGGGTGGACTAGGAATGGTGAACGGATCTAGTGCCTTCACAGGCACACTTTCTAGAGGCTCCCCGACACCGTATTTATTAACCCCAGTTACTCTAAAGATATATTCGTTGCCTTTGAGTAGCTTGGTCACCTTACAAGATGTTGTCCTCAACTCTGCTTCACATATTGTCCATGCGAGGCGGCTTGTTTCACGCTTTTCTACAATGTAGTAGTCAATATCTGCACCACCATCTTCTTGGGGACGTCCCCAGGAAAGAGAGCACTTCTCAGCAGTAAGACCAGTTATTTCAAGTGGTCCTGCTGGTGGGCCAGGTTTATCAAGTACTTTACAATTAACTGCCATAGTTTTTGTTCCTGCAACATTCTTCAGTGTAAGTACATACTGTCCAGTGTCTCGTCTTACACAGTCTTTAACTGTTAATGTGGTATTATAGTCTGTTGAGACAATTTCTGTTTTTGCCCTTTCCTCAATTTCTACCCCATCTTTGGCCCAGGAAATTACTGGCAGAGGTCGCCCCGCAATGTCTGCATTTATCTTAAGGACTTCTCCAGCTTTGACAACAATGACATCTCGGAATTTGACATCCATCATAATTCTAGGTGCTTCAACGTCATCTTTCACTGTAATAGGTCCAGTGGATTCAGATGGTTCACTAACTGAATCAGCAGCATTTCTTGCAAAAACCCGGAATTCATAACGCTGGTCTTCAGTGAGCTCAGTTACTTCAAAGTATGTTTCCTGTACATTAGTGAAGTTGCATTTCAGCCACCTGCCGTCAGGAAGTTCTCTGCGTTCAACAATGTATCCAGTGATCTTAGCTCCACCATCATAACGTGGTTTAGACCACTTAAGAGACACTGATTTCCTTGTGATATTGGTAACTTCAGGTTGTCCAGGAGGGTCACAAGGATCTCTTGCAGAGACTGGTTCACATGCTTTACTGCATTTGCCAATTCCAGCAATATTCTCAGCATATACACGGTACTCATACATCAGCCCCTCATCAAGACCGGAGACCTTCATCTGAGTATCTGCAATGAGCACTTTGTTTGCCTTTGACCAGAGAATGCTGCTTCTTTCTTTGTATTCAAGGTGATAGCCAATGACTTGGCTTCCTCCGTCATTAACCGGCACCTGCCAGCTTACAACCATGGTGGATTTTGTGGCATGCACAACTTTAGGAGTACCAGGAGGCCCTGGGGGGCTGAATGGATACTCAGCAACAACAGCTGATGATTCGCTGTAGGAGCTCTTTCCATACCGATTCTCTGCACAAACACGGAACTGATACTCACTTCCTGTTGTCAAGCGGACTATTTTAATGGACGTTCTTGCCACTGCCTGTGAAACTACCTGCCATGTTGTAGAAGTGGTTTCCCTCTTCTCAACAATATAGTTGCTAATTTGGCAGCCACCATCATATTCTGGAGGAGTCCAAGAAATGGACACATTGTCACAACTAACTTCATCAATGCGTATGGGTCCTGGAGGTCCTGGCCTGTCAAGGACAATGACAGTAATAGGAACTGTTATGGATCCAGCAGTATTGGAAACGCACAATTCGTAAGTTCCAACATCTTCTCTTGAAGCTTCTTTAATAGATAGCGTTGTTACAGTCTTCGTGGAAGACACGTTGACTCTAGTTGTCTCTCTAAGAACCTGACCGTCTTTTTGCCAGGTCACAGTAGCCTGAGGTCTTCCTTTGAATGGGATGTCAATTTTGAGTTGGTCCTTAGCCTTAACATTGAAAGTATTGAAAGGAAGCTCAACCGAAGGCTTTATTTCAATATCTTTTGCAATGACTGGCACTCCAAGCTGTCTTGGGTCACTTCTTCCTTTTTCATTAACTGCAGCTACTCTGAAGACATATTCTTCTCCCGCAGTTAGGCCAGATATGGTTGCCTCCAGTGTCTTCACTTGTGTGCATGTGCTCCACTTTTCGCTGCCTTTTGTCTGCATTTCAACGACATAACCAGTGATTTTGCTGCCACCATCGCTTTCTGGCTTCTCCCACTTAATTGTAGCTGTATTACGGGTCACATCTACAAGGGTCACTCTTCCAGGGGGAAGTGGTGGTTCAGACACTTTAACAGGTTCTGTTGTTTCAGCTGGTAAACCAATACCATATTCATTGGAAGCCAGGACTCGGAAGTAATAAGAGCACCCTTCTTGTAGATTTTCAATTTTGAAAGTGTTCTTAGTGCAATTGTTTGTAATGGTAGCATAAGCTTTTCTTGTAGTTTCTCGTTTCTCAACGATATAATTTGTAATCTTTGCTCCTCCATCAATAAGTGGTGGCTCCCAGGACAGTGTCACTGAGTCTTTCTTCACTTCTCTCACAGTCAGGTTCACAGGTGCACTTGGTGAGTCAAGAACTCTGACATTGACAAAAGCCGTCTTGGAGCCACTGTTGTTTTCTAGGGTGAGGTTGTATCGACCGCTGTCAAATCTGGTCACATTGTCAATCACCAGCATCGTATATGAACTAGTCACCTCAATCTGGGCCCTCTCTGTGAGAATGCCTTCAGCCTTTTCCCATTTAACTTCAGGTTCTGGCCGGCCTTTGATAGTGACAAATAAGCGCAGAGTGGCACTTGCACGAAGAGTGACCACCTTTCTGAGATCAGCATCAAGTTCTATTTCTGGTGGCTCTGCCCTCTCCTGAGCAACAACGGAGCCGGGGATCGTGGCAGGTTCACCTACACCTTCAGTATTGAAAGCACAGATACGGAAGTTGTACTCGGTATTCTCTTTCAGCTTGGTCACTGTGAACTGCTTCCCTTGCAATCCTGTTGGTGGAGTACAGGTAGTCCATTCATCAGCAGCAGCTTCCTTGAGCTCAATAACATAGCCTCTAACAGGTGCACCGCCATCATAAATGGGCTTATTCCATGCTAGCGAGACAGAAGATCTGGAGGTATCTGTCACTTTGGGGTTGCTTGGTGGACCTGGAGGATACAAGGCATCACATGCCCGGAAGAAAACAGATGGCTCACTGGGTTCCCCAACACCAGCTGCATTCTCAGCGGCAACTCTGAATTCATAGGAATGGCCTTCTGTGAGACCAGTTACCCTGAACCGAAGATCTGTTAATGTTTTCTTGTTGCACTTGGTCCATCTTATTCCCTCCTTATCTCGCTTTTCAAGAATGTACCCCTCAATTTCAGCACCTCCATCATCCACTGGCCGTGTCCATGTTAGTACCATGGAGTCTTTGGTGATTGCTGAGGCCTCTGGTGTTGAAGGAGGGCCTGGAAGCTTATAAGGATTACAGGCTATCACAGGCTCAGATTCCAGGGGCTCTCCAATTCCATATTTATTTACTGCCATAACCCGGAAAATGTACTCATTCCCAGGAAGTAATTTAGTGACTTTGTAGTTAAGTGCCTGTACCTCAGTGGAAACCTGGGTCCAGGAGAGTCTGCTTGTTTCTCTCTTTTCAATAATGTAATGTGAAATACTAGCACCACCATCTTGCAAAGGTGGGTTCCATGCCAAGTAACACTTTTCGGCTGTAACTCCAGTGACTTTAAGAGGTCCTTCAGGAGGCCCTGGCCTATCCAGCACCTTTACGGTGATAGGTATGGTCTTGGTGCCACCTACATTGCTGAGCTTCAAGGTGTACTGCCCTCCATCAGTACGGATGCAGTCTTTGACAACAAGGGTTGTTTTCTGGAGAGTAGATTTAATTTCCATCCGAGCAGCTGTTTCTTCGAGTTCGTTCCCATCTTTTGACCAAACTATATCAGGTATAGGTTTGCCACGGATATCAGCTTCAAGAACAAAGGTCTCTCCAGCATGAACAATGATGACATCTCTATATTTTGGGTCCAGTGAGGCATTTGGTGCATCAATTTCATCCCTTGCAGTGATGGCACCACTGCTTTCAGACGGCTCACTAAAGTTGCCAGCTGCATTTCTTGCAATTACTCTAAATTCATATCTTTGGTCTTCTACAAGCCCAGTCACTGTAAATTCAGTTTCCACAACATTGGTGAAGCTGGCTTTCATCCATCGGCCATCAGGTAGGTCTTTCTTTTCTACAATATAACCAGTTATCTTGCTGCCACCATCATAAGCAGGTTTCTTCCATTTGAGTGTGACACTATTTCTTGTGATAACAATGGCTTCTGGTCGGCCAGGTGGATCACATGGGTCACGTGCAACATAGCACTCGGACACTTTGCTAGGCTTGCCAATGCCCACAATGTTCTCAGCAGAAACTCTAAACTCATATTCAAGTCCTTCATCAAGCCCAGTGGTTTTGAATTTGGTGTCTTGGATGGGGATCTTATTCAACTTAACCCACAGAATGCTATTCTTTTCCTTCTGTTCAAGATGGTAGCCAATAACTTTGCTGCCTCCATCATTAACTGGCTCATGCCATTGCACAAGCATTTGATCTTTTGAGACAGATGTCACAAAAGGGGTTCCAGGAGGTCCAGGTTCTTTAAACGGATACTGTACAATAACTGGTTTAGAGTCCAAGGGCACACTCTTTCCATACCTGTTCTCAGCAAAAATCCTAAACTGGTATTCAGTGCCTGTTTTCAGTTTGCCTATTTTAATGGTGGTTCTGGCAACTGTTGCTGACACCATCTGCCAGTTGGTGGTGGTAGTATCTCGCTTCTCTACAATGTAGTTGCTTATTTGGCACCCGCCAGTATAGGCTGGAGGTTCCCAAGATATGACCACAAAGTCTGCACTAACTTCATCAAACTTCACTGGTCCAACTGGAGGGCCAGGCTTTTCCAAAACAATAATGCTGAGGTTTTCTGTTGCTGTGCCTGCGCTGTTTGTTGCCGTGACACTGTATTTTCCAAAGTCATCTTTGCTACTCTCTTTAATATGTAAAATAGTCGAAGTAGCTGTTTCTTCAACATTTACTCTTGTGGTCTGTTTAAGGGGCTCACCATCTTTGACCCAAGAAATTTTCGGTCTTGGTCGGCCTATGACTGGAATTTCTATTTTCAGATCCTCTCCTGCTTGGACACTGTATGTATTAAATGGTAACTTAAAACTAGGCTGTATAGTCAAGTCCTTGGCTATGACAGGAACGCCAAGCACTCTTGGGTCACTTTTTCCTTTCTCATTGTAAGCTTTGACGCGGAACTGATATTCTTGTCCAGAGCTCAGGCCAGTAACAACTGCATTACAGACTTTGGATTCAGCCACTACACTCCATTTTTCTGTTCCTTTGGGCTGCATTTCAACCACATACCCCAGGATTCTGCTACCACCATCATGTTCAGGTTTCTCCCACATAAGTGATGCACTGGTTTGGGACACATCGGTGAGTGTTACCTTTCCTGGTGGGGAAGGAGGCTCAGAAGCCTTCACAGCATCAGAGGTTTCTGCAGGAACACCAACTCCAAATTCATTCTCAGCCATGACTCTGAAGTAATAGATGGCTCCTTCAGTCAGATTCTCAACTTTAAAGCTTGTTTTATTGCACTTACTACTCACATTAGCATAGGCCTTTCGGGTTGACTCTCGCTTGTCAATTACATAGTTCTTGACCTTTGCCCCACCATCAATGAGAGGCGGTTCCCATACCAGAAGGACAGAGTCTTTTCTCACTTCCTTGACAGCTAAATTCTGTGGGGGCCCTGGAGTGTCAAGTACTTTCACAGTTACAAAAGCTGACTTAGACCCGCTGCTGTTCTCCAACTTGAGAATGTATTTCCCGGCATCATTTCTGTCACAGTTATCTATTGAGAGTTGGGTGAAGTTAATTCCCTTCTCAATTTGGACTTTATCTGTGAATTCACCTTCTTCTTTTGACCAAGTGATCTCAGGTGTTGGACGACCTTTGAAAGGAATGTGGATTCTGGCAGATCCACCAGCTCTTACAACAATTCCTTTTCTTAATTCAGAGTCAAGGTCAAGTTCAGGAGCTTCAAGTTTATCTTCTGGTTTCACGGTACCAGGAACTGAGGCGGCCTCACCTAAACCAACTTTGTTGAGGGCACAAACTCGTATTTTATATTCTTGGTGTTCAGTGAGTTTGGAAATTTCAAATCGAGTGACTCTCAGGCCGGTCTGTGGAGTAACTACTTGCCATTCTTCTTCATCTGCTTTACAGATTTCTACGATGTAGCCCAGGATCTCACTGCCACCATCATAGATAGGTTTGCTCCAGGCAAGTGTAATTGAACTTTTAGTGGTGTCTACAATGTGTGCATTGGTGGGTGGGCCAGGTTTGAACACAGGATCACAAGCCTTATAATAAACAGTAGCTGGACTTGGTTCTCCAACCCCAGCGGCATTTTCTGCAGAGACTCTAAATTCATATTCATGGTCTTCTGTTAATCCTGTTACCCTGAGCCGCAAATCTGTGATGCGGCGTTTGTTGCATTTTATCCACCGAATACCACTTCTGTCTCTTTTCTCCACAATATAACCAATAATCTCACTTCCACCATCACTGTCTGGTCGATTCCAGCAGACAGTCATAGAGTCCTTGGCAATGTTTGTGACTTCCAAGCTCTTTGGTGGTCCAGGAAGCACAAATGGATTTTTCATGAGCACTGGAGCAGATTCCAAAGGCTCTCCAATACCGTACTTGTTGACAGCCATTATTCTGAAAATATATTCATTCCCCTCTAAGAGCTTGGTAACTTTCAGAGAGTTAGTCACAACTTCTGAAGCAACTACGGTCCATGCAAGTCGACTAGTTTCTCGCTTCTCAACAACATAGTGAGAAATGTCACTGCCGCCATCTTGAAGTGGTGGAGACCATGCCAAAGTGCATTTTTCACATGTGACTCCTGTAACCTGAACTGGCCCTTCTGGGGGTCCTGGTCTGTCTAGCACTTTCACATTTACTGGGAATGACTTAGAACCAGCAACATTAGAGGCTCTCAAAATATACTGTCCACCATCAATTCTAATGGCATCTTTTACAATAAGCAAAGCTTTGAAATCTGTGTTCTTTATTTCACATCTAGCAGATTCTTCAATTTCCTTATCTCCTCTTAGCCACTCAATGGTGGGTAGGGGCTTGCCATGGACATCAGCCTCAAGTCTGAATGTTTCTCCAGCATTTACCACTATTGTGTCTCTGAACTTCGGATCCATTGAAATCCGTGGGAGTTCAACCTCATCCTTGGCAGTTATTGGTCCGGTGCTATCAGAGGGCTTACTTATTGCACCAGCTGCATTCTTTGCAATGACTCTGAATTCATATCTTTGATCTTCAGTAAGTCCTGACACAGTGAATTGAGTTTCAATGACATTTGTGAAACTGGCTTTCATCCATCGACCCTCAGGTAAATCGCGTTTCTCTACGATGTAACCTGTAATCATACTTCCACCATCATACACAGGCTTGGTCCACTGTAAAGTGATTTCATTTCTCTTAACTATTATTGCTTCTGGGGTTCCTGGTGGGTCACAGGGGTCTCGAGCTACATAGCATTCAGAATTCTTGCTTGCCTTCCCTACACCAACAATATTTTCAGCATAAACTCTAAATTCATACTCGATGCCTTCTTCAAGGTTCAGTGCTTTAAACTGGGTGTCATGAATAATGGTTTTGTTGACTTTTGTCCACAAAATACTATTCCTTTCCTTTCTCTCAAGGTGGTAACCTATGACTGGGCTTCCACCATTATTGATTGGTTCATGCCATTGTACAACCATAGAGTCTTTGGAGATGGCTGTGACAAATGGTGTTCCTGGAGGGCCCGGTTCTTTGTAGGGATATTGAGCTACGATTGGTTCAGACTCTAAAGCAAAGCTCTGTCCATATCGGTTTTCAGCAAATATTCTGAATTGGTATTCTGTACCAGTTTTCAATTTGGTTACTTTGAGTGTAGTTCTGGCAACAGTAGCAGAGACGACATCCCATACTGTGGTGGTTGTATCTCTTTTCTGAACAATGTAATTGGTTATTTGGCAACCCCCTGTGTATAAGGGAGGGTTCCAGGATAATGTAATACTCTCAGCACTGACTTCATCAAATTTAACAGGCCCCTTTGGAGGATCAGGTTTATCTAAAGTTATAATTTCAATGGCTGCTGTTTTCTGACCAACAACATTGGCAACTGTGATTCCATACTGGCCACCATCGTCCTTATGAGTTTCTTTAATACTGAGTGTGGTGAGGTCAAGGGAGTCAGTAACATTGATTCTTGTGGTCTGCTTCAGTGGCACCCCATCTTTAGTCCAGGAAATGGTTGGTTTAGGACGTCCAGAAATTGGTACTTCTATTTTCAAATCTTGGCCAACCTGTACACTGTAACTGCTGAATGCTGGTCTTACATCTGGCTCAATGACCAGATCTTTGGCAACTATTGGAACTGCAAGGGACCTAGGGTCACTTCTTCCTTTTTCATTTACAGCAACGACTCTGAAAAGATATTCTTCCCCCTGAGTTAGGTTGGTGATAACTGCTTCAAGGGACTTGACCCTAGCACACTCTGACCACTTATCAGTGTTTTTAGCTTGCATTTCTACAATGTACTGAATGATTTTACTGCCACCATCATGTTCAGGCTTTGTCCAACTCAAAGAGACACTGTTTCTGGTGACATCATCCACGGTTATTTTCCCTGGAGGTTGTGGGACTTCTGCAACCTTGATGGGATCTGCAGTGCGGGCGGGAAGGCCAATACCATATTCGTTCTCAGCGGTGACTCTGAAGTAGTAACTGCAACCTTCTTGAAGTTGTTCAATTTTCCAAGAATTCTTATGGCAGTTTGTTACAACAGCAGCATATGATTTTCTCGTGGCTTCGCGTTTCTCAACAATGTAATTTTTAATTTTTGAACCTCCATCCAACAGAGGAGGTTCCCATGTAATTGATACTGAGTCTTTGGTGATTTCGGTGACTTTCAGGTTAACAGGTGGGCTTGGTGTGTCCAGAACCCTCACAGTCACAAAAGCAGATTTCGTTCCACTGCTGTTTTCCAATGTGAGAGTGTATTTTCCACTATCATATCGATTGACATTATCAAGGACAAGAGAGGTGAAGCTGCTAGTGACATCAATGATAGCTGAGTCTCTGATTTCACCATCTACCTTCCCCCACTTAACTTCTGGTGTAGGACGACCTCTTATAGGAACAAACAACCTTAAGGAGCCACCTGCCCTTATGTTAATAACCTTCCTTAGTTCAAGGTCAAGATCTACATCAGGTGCCTCAAGCTTTTCTTCAACCATTACAGGTCCAGGGACATCAGCATGCTCCCCAACTCCAGCTTTATTAATGGCACAGATCCGGAAGTTGTATTCATGCTTTTCCAATAGCTTCTCTACTTCTAGATTTGTTTTATTGATCCCAGTTGGTGGTGTACACATTGTCCACTCACCAACACTCACGTCACATTTCTCAACAATGTATCCTTGGATTTCACAGCCACCATCATATATAGGTTTGCTCCAAGAAAGGAAAACTGAAGATCTGGTAACATCCATGACTTTGGGGTTGTTTGGAGGGCCTGGCTTATAAATGGGGTCACAAGCCTTTTGGTAAGCAGAAGGGGGGCTTGGTTCACTAAGGCCAGCAGCATTTTCGGCTGAGACTCTGAATTCATAATTGTGATTTTCTATGAGTCCAGTCACTCTCAAGCGCAGTTCTCCAATGAGACGCTTGTGACATCTTGTCCATCTTATGCCTTCTTTGTCCCGTTTCTCTAGAACATATCCTAGAATTTCACTGCCACCATCAGATGCTGGCCTTTCCCACACAACAATCATTGAGTCTTTGGTCACAGCTGTAACTTCTGGAGCTTTGGGTGCATCTGGAACTACAAATGGATTCTTGGCAATTAATGGCTCAGATTCAAGAGGTTCACCAACACCATATTTGTTTACAGCCATTATGCGGAATATATATTCATTGCCTTCTAGAAGCTTTGTAACTTTGCAGCTGAGAGTTTGTACATTGGCATCAACCAGAGTCCAGACTAGGCGGCTGGTTTCTCGCCTTTCCACAATATAATTTGTGATATCACTCCCACCATCCTGAAGTGGGGGTTTCCATGCTAGTGTACATTTTTCTGCTGTAACCCCTGATATAGCAACAGGTCCCTCAGGTGGGCCTGGTCTATCAAGAACTTTGACGTTGACAGTAACCGATCTCTCTCCCGCAACGTTTTTGGCCTTCAGGATGTAATTGCCACTGTCAACACGTATTGCATCTTTGATGCTGAGACTGGTGGCAAAGTCAGTGCTCTTTATTTCTAACCGAGCTGTGCTTGAAAGTTCCTGGTCACCTTTAACCCACTGAGTGGTTGGTATTGGTTTGCCGTATATATCTGCATCAACTTTGAATGATTCACCAGCATGAACCACAACTGTGTCTTTGTATTTGGGGTCCATGCTTATTCTCGGTGGCTCTACCTCATCTCTTGCTGTTATTGCCCCAGTGCTTTCTGAGGGCTCACTGAACACTCCTGCAGCATTTCGAGCTATAACCCTGAATTCGTATCTGTGATCTTCAATTAGGCCAGTTACCTCAAACTGGGTGTCAATAATATTTGTAAAACTGGCTTTCATCCAGCGGCCATCAGGTAATTCTTTCTTCTCAACGACATAACCAGTGATCTTGCTTCCACCATCATAGGTGGGTTTCTTCCACTGAAGAGTCACAGAATTCCTTGTAACAATGATTGCCTCTGGCCGTCCTGGTGGATCACATGGGTCTCGAGCTACGTAACATTCTGATGGTTTACTTGGCTTGCCAATGCCGACAATGTTCTCTGCAGACACTCTGAATTCATATTCAATGCCTTCTTCAAGGCCAGTTGTCTTGAACTTGGTTTGAGGAATAGGTGTTTTATTTAGCTTGACCCAGAGGATGCTGTTTCTTTCCTTGCGCTCTAGATGATAGCCAATGACTCTGCTCCCACCATCACTGACTGGCTCATGCCACTGTACTTCCATGCTGTCTTTGGAGGCAAGTGTGACAAATGGTGTGCCAGGTGGACCTGGCACTTTGAATGGGTACTGGGCAATTACAGGCTCTGAATTGAGATAGGTACTCTTCCCATATCTATTTTCAGCAGCAATTCTAAACTGATATTCACACCCAGTCTTGAGTCTGCAGGCCTTTATGGTTGTTCTTGCCACAGTAGCTGATACAATTTGCCAGGTGGTCGTGGATGTGTCCCGCTTTTCGACAATATAATTATTGATAGAACTTCCTCCATCGTACTTGGGTGGTTCCCAGGAAAGAGTAACACTGTCTGCTGTCACTTCATCCATTTTGACTGGTCCAGTTGGAGGCCCTGGTTTGTCAAGAACAATAACATTAAGGGTTTCAGTAGCTTCACCTGCAGAGTTAGTCAGTTTAACTGTGTAATGGCCAACATCTTCTCGGCAGGCTTCCTTTATCGTCAGTAGGGAATTGTTCTCTGTGCTCTCTGCATTTACTCTAGTTGTTTGCTTCAGTGGCACCTCATCTTTATGCCAGGTGACAGCTGGGGTTGGGCGTCCAATAAATGGTACATCGATTTTCAGGTCTTCACCTGCCAGTACAGTGAAAGTATTGAAGAGGAGTTTGAAGGCGGGTGGGATAACAAGGTCTTTAGCAATCACTGGAACACTCAGTTGTCTGGGATCACTGATTCCCTTTTCGTTCTGAGCTGAAACACGGAAAGAGTATTCTTCACCCTGGATCAATCCAGTGATGGTAGCTTCGGTGACTTTCACTGTGGCACATGTGGCCCATTTGTCACTGCCTTTGCTCTGCATCTCTACAATGTAGCCAAGAATTCGGCTGCCTCCATCATGTTCTGGCTTCTCCCAAGAGAGAGATACACTGTTTCTTGTGACGTCCATCAAAGTTATTTTCCCTGGAGGAAGAGGTCGTTCTGATGCTTTCACAGACTCTGCGGTTTCAGCAGGCAGTCCAATGCCATATTCATTTTCAGCAAGAACCCGGAAATAGTAACTGCAGCCCTCTTGAAGCTGGTCTACTTTCCAGGAAGTCTTATGGCAATTTGTTGCCACAGTTGAATATGCCTTTCTTGTGGATTCTCGCTTCTCAACAATGTAGTTCTTTATTTTTGAGCCTCCATCAATTAGAGGAGGCTCCCATGTCAATGTGACAGATGTCTTTGTGACCTCCTTTATCTTTAGATTCTGTGGAGGGCCTGGTGTATCTAGCACTCTAACATTGACAAATGCAGACTTGCTGCCCGAGCTGTTTTCCACAGTTAGTATGTACTTGCCACTGTCGAATCTGTTAACATTTCCAACAATAAGCAGAGTATAAGAGCTTGTGGAGTCTGTGTTGGCTTTATCCAAAGATTCTCCATGCTCTCTGGCCCACTTGACCTCAGGTTTCAATGCTGGCTTTATCCAAAGATTCTCCATGCTCTCTGGCCCACTTGACCTCAGGTGCTGGTCTCCCTTTGATGGGAACAAAGAGTCTCAGGGTGCAACAGGCTCTTATAGTAACAACTTTGCGTAAGTCAGCATCTAGTTCAATCTCTGGAGGCAGCATTCTATCTTCTGCTTTTGGAGTTCCAGGAACCAGGGCTGGTTCTCCAAGTCCTTCAGAATTCATGGCATAGATACGGATTTTATATTCCTGATTCTCTATGAGGTTGGTGATGGTATAAGAAGTTGCCTTGAGCCCAGCTGGGGGAGTGACAACCTGCCATTCATCTTCTTCAGGAAGGGCAATCTCAACCATATACCCAGTGATTTCTGAACCTCCATCATAGATAGGTTTATTCCACGCAATTGAAATGGAGGACCTGCTTGTATCAAGGACACGTGGGTTGCCTGGTGGGCCAGGTTTAAACACAGTGTCACAAGCTTTGTAAAATGGGCTGGTAGCACTTGGTGCACTAATTCCAGCTGCATTTTCTGCCATAATTCTGAACTCATATTCATGTCCTTCTGTCAGTCCAGACACTTTAAATCTTAAGTCAGTAAGAGTCTTTTTGTTGCATTTTACCCAGCGTTGGCCAGCTTTATCACGCCGTTCCACAATGTAATTGATGATTTCACTTCCACCATCAGAGTCAGGATGTCCCCAGCACACAACCATGGAGTCTTTGGTGATGGTTGTGACTTCAGGGTTCTTGGGTGGGTCAGGTGGTCCATAGGGATCCACTGCAAGCACAGGCTCTGACTCTAGTGGCTCTCCAACTCCATATTTATTTACAGCCATGACACGGAATATATATTCATTGCCTTTCAGGAGCTTAGTGACCTTCAGTTTTGTGACTTGGGCTTCTGTGGCAACATTTGTCCATGCCAACCTGCTGGTTTCACGTTTCTGTACTATGTAATGGTCAATTTTGGCACCTCCATCATCCAGTGGAGGCAACCATGACAATACACACTTTTCTGATGTCACGTCAGACACAGCTAAAGGTCCTTGAGGTGGTCCTGGTCTATCAAGAACTCTGACATTGAAAATGTGTTTGGCAAAGCCACCAGGATTAGTTGCTGTCAGGATGTAAGCCCCACTGTCTGTTCTTGATGAATCCTTGTTTATCAGATGAGTGGAAAAGTCTGCAATTTTTATCTCCAATTTCCCTGTGCCTTCAAGCTCCTTTCCATCCTTAGTCCATTCCATTGTTGGAGGTGGGCGACCGGAAACATCAGCTTCTAGCTTGAATGCTTCACCAGCTTTTAAGGTGATAGTATCCTTAAATTTAACATCCACCATTATTCTTGGCGCTTCAAGGTCATCCCTGCATGTGATGGCATCTGATGGCTCAGATGGTGGACTAATGGCACCTGCAGCATTTTTGGCAATCACACGGAACTCATAAGCAGCATCTTCAGTTAGGCCGCTGACTGTAAATTCATTCTCTAAAATGTTGCTGAAGTTGGCCTTCAGCCATCGTCCATTAGGAAGGTCCCTCTTTTCAACCACATAGCTAGTGATTTTAAATCCTCCAGTATATTCAGGCTTAGCCCACTTCAGTGTCACTGTGTGTCTCGTAATGTTTAGAGGTACTGGTTTCCCAGGTGGGTCAATGGGATCCAGAGCAAACATTGGTTCAGATGGCTTGCTTGGTTTGCTCTTGCCTGCCATGTTTTCTGCAATTACCCGGAATTCATAAGCAATGCCATCTGTAAGCCCAGTTGATTTGAAAATGTTGCCTGGCACTAATGCTTTGCTCACAGTCTGCCAGAGAATGCCATTTCGTTCTTTTCTTTCAATATGATATCCTAAAATGGGGCTTCCACCATCAGAAAGTGGTTCATGCCAGCTAATTGTCATAGAGTCTTTGGTGACTGCAGTAACCTGAGGGGTGCCAGGAGGCCCAGGCACCTTAAATGGATAGTTAGCAACCACAGATGCCGATGTGATGCCAGGTCCGACTCCATATCTATTTTGTGCTCTTACACGGAATTGATACTCCACTCCTGTGGTCAGGTGAGTGGCTTTGTAGGTAGTACGGATAACAGTTGTTGCTAACTCTACCCATGTAGTACTATCTGTCTGTCGCATTTCTACTACATAGTTGCTTATTGGTACACCTCCATCATTTTCTGGTGGCTCCCAAGAGAAGGTTACAAAGTCAGATGACACTTCATCAAATTTTATTGGTCCTGTAGGTGGTCCTGGGATATCATGGACTTGAATGGTTATGACATCACCAACCTCTCCTACAGTGTTCTTTGCTGTTAGTGGATAGGGTCCACTATCACTTCTAACACACTCATTGATATTTAAGATGGTTGAAGTTGCTGTGTTTTCAACATTAACTCTCTGTGTCTGTTTAAGAATTTGGTCTCCTTTTTTCCATGTAACTGTGGGCTTTGGTCGACCGAGTACTGGAATTTCCACTTTGATGTTGTCACCAGCTCTGGCAATGACTAGCTTCTGATAGATGCCACGAAGATCCAACTCCGGAAGCATTGTCTGCTCCTTGACGATGACAGGTCTGCTTTCTCTAGGAGCACTTCTGCCCGCACTGTTAACTGCCATCACTTGGAAGGTATATTCCTCTCCTTCAGTTAGATTCCTCACCACACATTCTAACCCTTTCACAGTTGAGATGTGGGTCCACTGGTCAGACCCTTTCCTTTGGGCTTCAATCACATAGCCAGTGATCTTGCTGCCACCATCATGTCTGGGTTTGGGCCATGCCAGGCTGACTGTGCTCTTGGTTATGTCCATAATGTTAAGACTATCTGGGGGTAATGGTGCTTCAGAGGCTCTTACAGGCTCTGTAGTTTCTGTTGGTTCACCAATTCCATATTCATTTTCTGCCATTACTCTGAAGAAGTATTCACAGCCTTCTGTCAAGCCAGTTACTTTATATGTACATTTATGGCACTTAGTGGTGACTGTGGAGTATGATTTCCTTGTTGCTTCACGTTTCTCCACAATGTAGTTGGTTATACGTGAGCCCCCATCTATCAAAGGTAGGTCCCAGTGTAGGGTGACACTGTCTTTTGTGATGTCTGTAGGCCTTAGGTTAAGGACAGGACCTGGTGTGTCTAGGACTCTGACGTTGACAAAGCCACTCTTCTTCCCAGCTGGGTTTTCAATGGTCATCACAAATTTACCGGTGTCATATCTGTTACATTCTGGGATGATGAGAAGAGTAAATGACTCTGTATTTTCGATGTTGGCTCGGTGCTTCAGGTTGATATTATCTTTGGTCCATGTCACTTCAGGGGCAGGGCGACCTTTAATTGGCACAAAGATCCTGATGCTGAGTCCTGCCCTAACCACAAGTGTTCTTCGCAGCTCAGCATCTAGCTCAAAATCAGGAGCCATTTCCTTCTCCACAATTTCAACATTTGGAATCACTGCTGGTTCCCCGACACCTGCATCATTGATGGCACTAATTCTAAAATTATATTTTTCTTTAGTTTGAAGATCAGGAACAACAAACTGGGTGATTCTAAGGGCTGTTCCTGCTGTATCTTTTATCCAGGCATCATCTCCTACTTTTTGATGCTCCACCACATAGCCGGTGATTTCAAGCCCACCATCATAATGAGGTTTGCCCCATGCTAAAGATGCGGATTTCTTGGTAGTATCAGTGACATGCGCATTTGAAGGTGGTCCTGGAGGATCTGAACAAAAGGAAGAAGGATAAAAATAATTAATGACAAGTTTTGCTTCTGGGTACTTTATATAAAACATTGGAAGGCTGAAATGAAGGTTGAGAAAGATGATAAATACTAACATGCAGCATCTTTCATCAGGACAGGATTTGAGGCATCACTAGGTGGACCAATGCCTGCTCTGTTTTCTGCACTGACACGGAATTCGTAGGTATTTCCTTCTTGTAGTCCAGTTACTTTGCACCTGAGATCAGAAACTGGAGTCTTGGTTGCTCTCACCCATCTCAAGCCTTTCTTTTCCCGCCTTTCAATGTGATATCCTGTGATCTCGCTGCCACCGTCATCAGTCGGTCTCTTCCAGCTGACAGTGGCTGTGTTCTTAGTGACATTTGATATCTCTGGTTTCCCAGGAGGGCCAGGGGGACCTACAAAAGAAGCAGATTTGTGGTAAATTCCTGATTTACTGAACTGTTGTGTAAATGTTTTCATGGCAACCACTACCACAGCTACCACTTGTTCTACATACCAAATCTGTCTACCATTTTGACAGGTTCAGACTGAACAGGTTCTCCTTTGCCGTAATGGTTTACCGCTGACACACGGAAAAGGTATTCATTTCCTTGGATAAGTTTGGTCACCACATGCCTGCAGGCCTGAATATCTTCAGATACCACAGTCCACAAAAGCCGACTGGTTTCTCTCTTTTCAAGAACATAAGCCTTAATTGGTGATCCGCCATCTTCCAAGGGAGGTGTCCATGTAAGTGTTGCTTTTTCAGCAGAAACGTTACTGATTTCGATGGGACCTGGGGGACCAGGTACATCAAGGACTGAGACCTTCACATGTTCTTCCTTTGTGCCAAAAGGATTGGTGGCAGTGATGGTGTATTCACCGGCATCCTTTCTTGTGGCATATTTGACTGTCAGCATAGAAGATGTTGGGGTTGAAGTTATTTGGGCAATATCTGATGGTCTGATATCTTTTCCTGCCTTGGACCAACTTGACTTTGGAAGGGGTTTGCCAAGAATGCTAATGGCACTTAAAACAATGGTATCCCCTGCTTTGACTGTTAGCCCATCTTTAATTGTGGGATCAAGGACAATGGTTGGTGCCTCTGCAGAGGAGAAAAAAAAAAGTTCATCAGAAAATGAAGAAGGTTTAATTTTCTGCCTTTTTGTTGGGAAAACTGTAAGTATCACCTACCGTACTCATCCTTGCAAATGATGGTTCCTGTGCTCTCTGATGGAGCGCTGATAGCACCCGCTGTATTCTTTGCTCTGATTCTGAATTCATATTTTCCACCTTCAACAAGGTCAGTTACAGTAAAGGCACAGTCTGGAACATTAACATGGTTGGCTTTCATCCAAGACTTAGATGGCAGGTCCCTCTTCTCTACTATGTACCCTGTTAATTTATGACCGCCATCGTATTTGGGTTCTGTCCAGATGAGAGTCACTGAATTCCTTGTTACACTAATAACCTCAGGTTTCCCAGGAGGATCTAAAACAGAAAGGAAAACCCATCAAATAAACCACCAATGCTTCCTTCATGTAGCGAAATCCCCTAGGCTTTTCTTTATTAATGGCTTACCAATTGGATCAAGTGCCACAACTGGCTCTGATGGTAGGCTGGGCTTCCCCACTCCTGCTAGATTGATAGCCATAACTCGGAATTCATATTCAAGACCTTCAGTTAATCCTGTCACTTTGAAATCTTTCATCCTTATAGGAGTCTTGTTAGCTCTCTTCCATAGAAGGCTGTTTCTTTCCTTGAATTCGATATGATACCCTACAAGTGACCATGAACATATCAATTCAGATAGACATTATACAGATTGGTTTAAAAACACACACACACACACACACATTACCCAAGTTGTTTATTTGCAGATATAGTGAAAAGATGATCTTACTTTGCTATCTATATTTTTATCATAGAGGCATGACACCACTTTTTTTCTTCTTACAATATACATAATTATTATCCTTTTGAAAAATAGCAGATAATAGCTCTAAAAGTTATTTTCTTTATGAACTGTTAATTGTGTACATGAAAAGAAATATGCATTACTGGTTATGCAGATAATTTTTTAAACAAAATGTTTGTAAGGAATACCGATGCATAGTTGTGGACTTTGGGAGCCCAATCCACATACAGGGATAGCCCCTGAGCCAAGACACACAGGGGTGGGCCTAGGCCCTACCCCAAAGGATAAGATAGACTCGGATGACCCCCTATGGAAGGCCTCACCCTCCCTGGGGAGCAGAAAGGATATGTGATAGGTAGGGTATTAGTTGGGGGGTGGTGGTTAGGGGATGAGGGGAGAGAGTGGGAACTGGGATTGACATGTAAAACAATCTTGTTTCTAACTCAAATAAAAATAAATAAAAGGTCAAAGGATGACAGTAAATTAAATACCTGTAATTGGTGAGCCACCAGTTTTTTTGGGATCAGTCCATGTTAGAGATACTGAATCATGTCTGACATCCACAATATTGGGAGGTGGGGGGGCATCAGGCACATCTAGGGGAAAAGCAGAGTATGTAAGATTTATAAAAAGGAACCTCCACAAAGCCATATTTCACTTTTTAAAATTTTGCTTCAACATACTTACCAAATGGATGTTTGGCAACAATTGGCTCTGACTTCAGGCCTTCTCCTACACCATATTTATTTTCAGCACTGACCCTGAAGGTGTATTCTATGCCCTCATGTAGTCTAGTTACTCTAAAGGTGGTCTTCTGGACAGCTGAAGCACATGTCACCCACTTGTTATTCACCGAATCTCTCTTCTCTAGTACATAGTTGGTGATTTCAGAGCCTCCATCATCCTTTGGAGGACCCCACTTCAAGGTCATGGCCTCTGCTGTGACTTCATCAAATTTGATTGGGCCAGTGGGAATGCCAGGCTTGCCAACCACCTTTATAGAGAGAGTTCCTTCCTTGGTGCCAGCAACATTCTTGAGTGTGATTGTATATTTTCCAGCATCAGATTTTTGGCAATCATATACTACAAGAGTTGTATTAACTGCAGTTGACTCAACACTGACTCTTGTGTCAGTTGCTAAAGGATCTTCCCCCTTCTTCCAAGACACTGATGGTGCTGGCTTGCCCTTTATGGGGATCTTAAGACGGAAGTTGCTATTTTCTTTAGCCAAGTAGCACAAATCAGGTAGATCCTTTAAGTCAAGATCAGGAGCCACTGTGAAAAAAAAAAGAGACAAATTATTTGCATTGAAATTACTAAGACTAGACAATAACCTTAGACTACTATGGTTTTAGAAGGCATACATTTGGTAAGCCAGTGTGTTAGGGCTCCAGCATACACTTCTGATGATTGGGGAGAGAAAGTGAAGACGCATAGGGAGATGCTTACCGACATCATCTTTTGCCATGACAATGATTTCACTTGGGGTTCCTTCTCCATTTTCATTTTCAGCACTCACTCTAAAGGTGTATTCCTTCCCTTCCTTCAGATCTTTCGTGGAGTACTGTAGGCTCAATGATTTCATAACTCGTTGCCACTTATTTTCTTCAGTCAGGAAATCGACCACATAGCCAGTAATTCTACTTCCGCCATCACTGCGAGGCTTCTTCCAGCCAATGGTACAAGATGACTTAGTTACAGCCAGCGCTTTCAGGTCAACAACGGGTCCAGGGGTTTCTGAAAGAGGAGAAATGATGAGTCTAAGCCACAGATAACCAAGGTGGGCTGTAGTTTAACAGGATGGGTCATAGTTCATTGCTTACCAGAGGCTTTGACGGCATCACGTGTTTCACCTGGATCACCAATGCCGTACTCATTTTCAGCGAACACTCTGAAGAAGTAGGATTTCCCTTCCTCCAAGTTAGAGACTCTGAAGCTTGTCTTTGAGCACTCAGTTGTCACTGTTGACCAGGATTTCCTCTCTGCATCCCGTTTCTCAACCACATAGTTTATGATGGGGCTCCCGCCATCAATGATGGGAGGATCCCAGGTAATGTATGCAGAGTCCTTGGATATTTCCTTAACGGTCACATTGACAGGTGGTCCAGGAGTATCTGAATAACAAGTAGAGGTTAAGTAAGAGATGGACACATTTAAAAATATATACAAACTATGGTTTCAAACACACATGATTCTTTTTTGAATAGACTTACCAAGCACTTTCACTACAATAGTGTACTCCTTTTTCCCACAGCTGTTTTCCAAGGTTAAGATGTATTTTCCTGCATCATATTTGTTCACATTTTCACAGCGCAAGAAAGTGTCAAAGTCAGTTGACTTTATGTCCAATCCAATCCTTTCTCTTAGATTGGCGTTTGGTTTAGACCAAGTGATCTTTGGAGGTGGGCGTCCTTTTACAGGCACGTAGAGTCTCATCGTAACTCCAGCACGTAAAATGAGTGTTTTTCTTAACTCAGCGTCAAGTTCTCCCTCGGGTGGGACTATTTAATTTGGGGATGAAGAAAGTTAAAGTCATAAAAATTTAAGCATCACACATATTTTTAAAGACAGTTCCATCATCCCTAAAATACATTTTATTTATAGAACCAATTTCTTGTTTGTTTTTTAAAAAATATCCTTAACAATTTGATACTCTATTGATCTTTTCATTTTTTTTTTAAAATCTTACTTTTATTTTTGAAATATGTGTTTATGTGTATGTCTGCATAGGTGAGTGCAGAGCCCCTGGGAGCCAGAAATGGACACTGGGTACGTGGAGGTAAAGTTATAGGCAGTTGTAAGGCACTTGATGTATGTACTGCAATCCAAACGCAGATCCTCCAGAAGAGCAATATGCCCTAAAATTACTGACACATCTCTCTAGCCCCCAAGATCTTTCCACCTTTCAGTGCACTTTTGCCAACCAAGCATTCCTTAAAGGACCTGTACCCCTCTTCACGTGAGTCCTGAAGATCTAAGCCTCCATCTATGCTGAAGGAATGCTTCCTCCCACCTTGATTCTTCTTTCTTACATTCAATGAAGACATCCTGCATATCCCCTGGCTCCCTTTGTTATTTCATTGTAGGAAGAAACTGTATAATAGATTAAATATACTGCCAAGAAACTTTTTTAAGACAGGAAGGAGTTATGGTGATAACATGAATAGAAGAAAGGAAGAGGACTTCCAGAACTTTCCAATTACATACTTGTAGAAGGCTTGTTTGGATGATTGAATAACCAGCAAAAGGATAATAAATAGGCCATGACTTTACAGAAAGAAAGAAAGAAAAAAAACAAGAAGACCTCTTTATTCTTAGAATAAATTTCCTTATTCTTTTGAAAACCACCTATCGCCTTCATTCCATTTGGCCTGCTAAAAAATCATGCAGTGCCACCTACCCAACCTGTACTGTGCTTCTGGAACTTGTAGGTGTATCTAGATAAGAGTTGATTCTCTCTCTTAGAATATGATAGGCAGAAAATCTCATCTATGTCTGTTGGTAGTACTTACTTAGGATGTCCTTGGGGCAGTGTTTATCTGGTACGTCACTGGGGTCACTGTACCCAATCTTATTAACAGCATACACTCGGAACTGATACTCTGTGTTTTCCATCAGGCCAGTCACCTCAAAGCGGGTTTTTTGTAGCTTCTCTGGTAAATTGCACCTCACCCAGTGATCTGAATCAGCTCGCTTTGCTTCCACAAGATAACCAATGATGGGGCTACCTCCGTCATAGGCTGGCTTGCCCCATGATAGACTCACAGAGCTACGGGTGGTATCATATACTTTTGGGAAAGCTGGTGGACCAGGAGGATCTGAGAACAAATGACAACAGAAAGGTTTAGTGATGACTTCCTTCCTGGCTGTTTAATGCTGAATATGGAGCATAGGACTCTCTCAAGCACACTTACACAGTGGGTCCTGAGCATAAACTGCTTTGGATGCATCACTGGGTTTGCCAGGTCCAGCTTTATTTATGGCAGTAACTCGGAATTCATACTCAGTCCCTTCCTGGAGACCTGTTGCTTTTAATGTTCTTTCTATAACAGGTTTTCTGTTGACTTTAGTCCAGTTAACTGCCTGAGTTTCCCGCTTTTCAACCAAGTATCCAGTGATGGGTGAGCCACCATCATCTGCAGGGGCTTTCCAGCTGACTGTCATGTGATCTTTTGTGACATTGCTAATGACAGGAGGGTCACAGCGTCCAGGTGGGTCTGTAATGATGGAATGGATAAGTTAGTTTCCTAAACAAAAAGATAGTATTTAAAAAGGAAACAGCAAACTGCTGGACAGTGCTCTTACCATATGGGTTTTTAGCAATTGCTGGCTCAGTGAGGATGGGATCTCCCACTCCGTATTTGTTTTCAGCACAGATACGGAACTGGTATTCATGACCCTCTATAAGTTTCTCTACAGTGCAACTGGTGATGGGCACAGTAGCAGAGACCTGAGCCCAGTTAGGCCTGCTTGTTTCACGCTTGTCTACGATGTAGTTGGTGATTTCTGAGCCTCCGTCCTCAAGAGGAGGTTCCCAAGACAGCATGGCACGATCTGCATACATCTTGTTGATTTTAACAGATGCTGGAGGACCTGGTTTATCTGAAGGATGGAGAACAAAAATGAACTATTTTACTAAAAGGGGGAATGAATATTGAGAAGAGATCTAGACAGTGGGCTTACACTCCTTATATTGTTATCAACTTCTTGTATGAGCCTGGAAGTCACCTCACTTTTCATAATCCTAGGTAGCTGTAATATGTGATCACTAATCTTCTATAGAGATCAAAAAACACTATTCTGTAATACTATTAATTTTATTCTTAGGAAAAACTTTGTTGTTGTGCTTGAGATAGGGCATCTGTAGAAAAAGCTGACATAGCATTCCCTGAATACGGGAGCATGACCTTGAACTCTTGAACCTCCCGCCTGAGATTACAGGAGTTCACTGACATGTACAGCTTGTAAACTTATTTACAGCCCAAGTGAAGCATGGGATTGTAATCAAATGCTTTAGTTACCTAGTACTTTAAGCTTAATGGTGGCTGATTTGGAGCCACTGGAATTTTCGGCAGTTATGGTATAGTCTCCCGAGTCCTTCCGGTTCACACTGAATAGCTCCAAGGTACACAAGTTCCGCTTCATTGCCATCTTTATGCCTTCTGCTGGTTTTATTGGTGTGCTATCTTTCTTCCAAGAAACTGTTGGCATTGGTTTACCAAACACAGTAGCATCCAAGCAGACATTAGTCCCAGCTTTCACGGTAAGCAAAGACTTCATATCAACACTGAGTTCTATCCTGGGAGGAACTGGAAAGAAAGAAGATTAAAGGTCTTAATGTATGCAAAACTGCATTGTGTAATTACTGCTGGTAATAGTGATAAATTAATACTTGTTTCATGAATAGATTTTATCTTGTTACTAATTATTAACATTTAATACTTGGGATTGAACCCAGGTCTTTGTAATGCTAGGCAAGTGCTGTGCCATTGAGTTACACACCTAGTCTTACAACCTTATTTGTATTTAATAATTATTATAGACATTTATGAGTACAACATTTTTGCAAAGATATGCATTTGTGGAATGATTCAATCAAGGAAACTCATACAACAGTTACCTCACCTATTTAGTCGGCATTTTTATTGTGTGAGATGAGAACACCTACAGTCTACTCCTTTAGTAATCTTGAGACCTCTTATACATTATTGACTCTGGCACCAATGCAGAGTCACCAAAACTGATTTTTCCTGTCAGACTGAAACTTTTGACATTCTTTCCTTCTTATCTCTCTTCCCTCAGCCACTGATTTTTATGCTACATATTCATTATGAAAGCAAAATAAGTTTAATATAGAAATTTGACAACACTGTAAATAGATAAAAGTAAATCCCCATAATTCCAACACTAGGTTTTCAGCACTATCATGTTATTATGTCTTTGTCATCTTTCTGTGAACATGTATGATTAAAATCATACAGTCCTTAGCTGTGTAACCTGCCTTTTTTGTTTGGCTTATTAAGATTCTTCATAAGCATAATTTTTAGTGCTGAATACAAAGTTAATCCCCTATCATTTCTTTTCCCCTCTCCCATAGGTGCGCATTTAATTTTTTTCTTTATTTTTTTCAAGTCAGGAGACATGAGTATCCTGTAAATGTTATAATATGCATCAGAACCTTACCATTTTCTGCAAGGATAGTCACTGGGTCGGAAGGCTCAGAAGGCGGGCTAATGTTCACAGCAGTCTTAGCAATCGCTCTGAATTGATACTGAGCATTCTCTTCTAACCCAGTAGCTGTGTACTCTTCCTGGGGTATCTGGTGAGGTGTGGTATTGCAACGAACCCACTTATCACCAGGAAGTTTGCAAGCTTCTACAAAATAGCCAATAATTTTGCTGCCTCCATCGTGCTTTGGACGGGCCCAGATAAGGGATGCACTGTTCTTGGTGACATCAACAACTTCAGGTTTCCCTGGGGGATCTAAAGAGAAAGAAATAGTCCCAATGTTGATCTTACTAGCAGAAGTTGAAACTCCTCACAGCATCACTCCTGTGATGTTCCACAGGATAACATTCATGTCATGTCAACCATCTATCTGGTATCTGCTTTTGAATGCTTGCTATACATTTATATATAGTCCATTTCATGGTAAGAGTTAGAGTTTATTCCAGGATAGAAGTGCTAAGTTTCAGAAGCAAGGTTTAAATGTGTCTCTACAATTCTAAACAATGGTCACTTACCTACTGGCATCCTTGCAGTTACATATTCTGTTGGTTTGCTAGGTGGGCTGGATCCAGCTTTGTTTAGAGCATAAATTCTGAATGAATATTCTAGACCTTCTACAAGGCCAGCACAAGGATATTCAGTTGACCGGACAACAGTGTCATTAGCTTTCACCCAGAGCAAACTGTTTCTTTCTTTGCGTTCAATCAGGTAACCAGTGATGGGGCTTCCTCCATCACTGTCTGGTCTATCCCATGCAACAAATATGCAGTCTTTGTTGACTTTAGTGACTCGGGCATTTTTTGGCTCACTAGGAACATCTAGAGATGAAGATAGGGAAATGTTAGTTTCTGTTTTAAACTAATACCCTTCAAAGAATCTCTCTCTCTCTCTCTCTCTCTCTCTCTCTCTCTCTCTCTCTCTCTCTCTTTCTCTCTCTCTCTCTCTCTCTCTGTGTGTGTGTGTGTGTGACCACCACCACAAAAATCACCTCCTCCAACAAAAACACTCACCAAATGGGAACTTAGCAAGCATCTTTGGAGATGTAAGAGGCTCTGAAATGCCAAATCTGTTTTCAGCACGGACACGGAAGATATACTCCTGGCCAGGTATGAGCTTTCCAACCCTGCAGGAAGTCTTGGTGACTGAAGCTAGAGCTGTGACCCAATCCCCACGGCTTACATCACATTTCTCTACTATGTAGTTGGTGATGTTACTGCCTCCATCCTCAAGAGGAATGTGCCAAGACAGGGAGCAAGCATCAGCATCTATATCAGAAATGTCAAATGGAGGTTGAGGGGGCCCAGGAGCATCTGTATAAACCAAGAGGAAAGACATGTAAGAACGGAGATTTAATAGTTACAAAAAAATGTTCTGATTTCCATATTTAATGGCCACTTGTCTCGTGTGTAACCTACCCATGACTGTAACTTTGATTTTCTGAGTGTCTGTCCCAGAGCTATTCTCTGCTGTGAGGCTATAGTAACCACTGTCTTTCCTAGTGACATCCTTTATGATCAGAACGGAAGAACTGTCTGCTTTGTGGATGGCCAGGTGGCTGGATGTAACAACTTCATCATCTCCTTTCTTCCATTTACAGAGTGGGTTGGGCTTTCCATACACATGGGCTTCAACTCGGAGTTTCTTCCCAGCTTTAATAGTGATTTGCTCAGGCATGAGGATCTTTGGTGGCACTGAAAGCAAAGACAAAATCCATTTCTTAGGTGTGGAATTTTTCTGGGTTTTTCAGATTGTTGGTTGGAGCCCACTAGGTGTTTCAAATTAATGATTGAATTTCTAACCAATTTTTTTGTAATTGAAATTTTTTAAAAATAAAATTATTTATTTAGTTTACATACCAGTTGCCATTTCCCTTCCCTTCTCACCTCCCAGGTCCCCCGACCCCCCCAATACCTATTCTGTTCCTACCCCACAATCCACTCCTCCTCCTTTTCTTTTTAGGAAAGGGCTGGTCTCCTATGAGTATCAACAAAACATGGCATATCAAGTTGTAGTAAGACTAAGCACCTCCCCATGTATTAAGGCTGGGCAAGGCAACCCAGTATGGGAAGCAGGGTCTCAACAGTCAGTAAAAATATTGGAGATAGCCCCTGTTGCCACTGTTTGGAGTCCCCAAAGAGGACCAAGCTACCAATATTTCTAAAAATTCTTAAATGTAATAGAAAATATCAGATACAGCCTACATAATGGTGGTACAGTTTCCTATTCTGCATGTACAGAACTTAATAACTCAAGGAGAAATGTCTACCAAAACCAGCTTTTTAATCACATGATATAAAGGAAGCAATGACTGCTTACAAAGATAAATTCAATTATTTAGTTTCAAAACTCTGCAGAAAAGCCAGATATAGGAACAGATATTCATGCAGATAATAGGTCCATACACAGAAAATGAAAACAAACAACTTACACAGCTGTTCTTTGGCTTCATAGACACCCTCAGCTTCTCTTGGCAGGCTGACTCCAACAGCATTTCTAGCTGCAACTCTAAACTTATATTTCTTTCCTTCCTTTAGGCCAGTGACAATAAGGCTGAGGTCTTTGACCACCGAGTACTCTGTCCAGCGATCTGCAGGCTGGTCTTCCTCCCTGTAACTAATGATATAGCCATCAATTTTCGCACCCCCATCACGCAGTGGAGGTAACCAGGCCAGTGTAGCACTGTTCTTTGTCATTTCTGTCACTTCAAGTTTTCTTGGAGGATCCGGCTCACCTAGAAAAAGAATATAATTTAGAAAATTAGGTACCTTTATAATCCCCTTTGTTAATGTATGTAAGAGTTTCAGTATGACTTTTGTACCAAATTATATGAGATACGTAGTTCAACATCTTGAAAATATAGTATAACATGAAGCAACTAACACAAGTTTTATCCAAGAGAGTTAGATATTTACTGCAACATTAGGGTTTTGAGTCCCTTTCAGTGTATTATAATTGTATTGATCTCTTAATCTTGATAAACTAGAGGACTAGAGTCAAAAGGAGAAAGAAAGGAGATTTCTTACTGAGAGGATCTGATGCAAGCACAGGCTTGGGGATATCTGTTGGGACCCCAGGACCATATTCATTGACAGCGGTTACTCGGAAGAAATATTCATTCCCAGGAACAAGATTGGTTACGTTGAAGCTTGTCTTCTTCACTTCAGGTGTAACTGTTGACCATGTTTTTCTTTCTGCCTCACGTTTCTCCACAATGTAATGTGTCACTTGGCTTCCCCCATCATTTTCAGGAGGGGCCCAGGAAACGTGGCATGATGTCTTAGTGACATCCGAAACTTTTAAATCAGACACAGGTCCAGGAGTATCTGTAAAGAGACACATACTCAGAATGCATGTCCCACCATCATTCTCATTAACTCATTTGTTTTTGGAGCAGGAAAAACATAAGCTTTTGGATAACGCACCTAGTACTTTCACATTCACAAAAACAGCCTTTTCTCCTGCTGGGTTCACAAGGGTCAAGGAATATTTTCCTGAGTCATCACGGGTAGAATTAGGAATGACAAGGAAGGCCATGGTGTCAACTAGATCGACTTGTCCTTTTCTGACCACGTTATCAATACCCACTTTGCGCCAGGTGACTTTGGGGGCTGGTCGTCCTCTCACTATTGCAAATAGTCGAATAGGGCAGCCTGCCCTCACTACGACCAATTTCCTCATGCTGGCATCCAAGTCGATCTCTGGAGGCTCTGCAGATGACATCAAAGACATTAGTTGACTCTTCAGACATGAGGGAGCCCCATGAGAATGAATATGGATGGGTATCCACCACTAAAATATTACCTAGGATTTCTTTAGGCTTGATGGCTTCTTTTAGTTCAGCAGGGCGCCCAATGCCAACTTGATTTTGGGCACACACCCTGAACTCATACTCCTGGTTTTCATCCAAACTTGTAACTGTGAATTCCATGCGGACAAGTTGAGCAGCAGCATTGCACCTTTTCCAGCCCTCATCAGGTGAGGCATCTGCTATTTTAGGTCTCATTTCTACAACATATCCAATTATTGGTGCACCTCCATCATAGACTGGTTTTCCCCATGCGAGAGTTATGGAATTTTTGGTTGTATCAACAACTTTGAAATTGGTTGGTGGACCAGGAGGTTCTGAAAATAAATTATATAAGAAATATATACACAATTAATTATCACTAATGAATCTACTCTTTTCTCTGTGTTTCCTATATATGTGTGCTCAAGTTTGAGTGTGTGTACATACGAGTTCATGAATGTTTAGGCCAGATGTCAACTTTCTCTATTGTTCTCCACCTTATTGATTGATACAGGGCCTCTCACTGAAACTATTGCTTACCAATTTGACTAGACTGGTTGGCCAGTGAACTCTAGGGATCTGCCTATCTATGTCCCCCTCTTAGCCCTGGGGTTATATGTTGGGAGCCAAATCTCAGGGCTTGGCATGAGATCCTAGGCCATGCTTGGCAGGCCACCTTTTCACCCTTTATAGCAGCTCCTTAGACCCTCAGCTAAAGAAAAGAAACAACCTGACCCAGTCCTCCACCCACAGGCTCCGTCACCTAAGCAACCCTTCCTGGCCCTCTTACTCATGAACTATTTTTTTTTTTTTTTTGGTTTTTCGAGACAGGGTTTCTCTGTGTAGCTTTGGAGCCTATCCTGGCACTTGCTCTGGAGACCAGGCTGGCCTCAAACTCACAGAGTTTGTGAGTTTGCCTCTGCCTGCCTCTGCCTCCCGTGTGCTGGGATTAAAGCCGTGCGCCACCAACACCCGGCCCTCATTCACTCTTTACCCTGCCAAACATCCTCTTTGTGGCTTCCTAATATCCTGCCTATACCAACACCTGGTGCACAAACAACCCTTCTGTCCCTCCCCTTATCCTAACTATATAAGCTAGCCTGAGAAAAGTAAAGTTTGCCACTTGATCAGAATCCTATCTTGTGGTCGTTCTTTCTGCGTCTCTTGTCCCCATTCCCTATCCCTGACTCTCTTGCCCCAGGTTGATGTCCTGCAGGTCGGGACAGTTATAGATGTGTGCTGTCATGCCTGGCTTTGTATGAGAGTGCTGGTGATTTGAACTCAGGCTTATGTGGCAGGTACTTTACCCACTAAGCCATCTCCCCAGCCTCATGATATTTTGATGTGTATTTTTATAGTTAATTTTCAATCCAAACAAGGTCATTTTAACTTTTTAATTCCCAAGACTTCTTTATTTTCCTTTCTAAAAGTTAGAATCTACCAGTGCATATTTTTTGGTGATATGATACAAGGTCTATTTGGAGAAATATTAGTTAAAATGCTATTTTAAAAATATGGAGTGACTTGTTTGTCAGACACTTGTACACAAAAACTTTAAGAATTGGCTTAATATCAGAAAAAGGAGGAGCACCTTACCTATTGGATCTTTTGCTACCACTGGTCTTGATGGTAAGCTAGGTTCTCCAATGCCAACTTCATTTTCTGCCTTGACACGGAACTGATACTCATGTCCTGGGAGGAGATTCTGCACTTTCATGCGTCTCTCAGGGATGGCACTCTTGTTAACAGGGACCCAGCGGACTGCATGTTTTTCTTTTCTCTCCAAATAGTATCCTGTGATGGACTTCCCACCATCATATTCAGGGGCATTCCAAACCACAGTCATCTCTTCTTTGCTTACTTTAGTGACTTCTGGAGGATCAGGGCGACCAGGTCTGTCATACTTGGTTTTTGCTATGACTGGCTTACTTTCTGTCGGAGGTCCTGTGCCTATTTTGTTTTCTGCACGGACTCTGAAAATATATTCATTCCCTTCTATGAGACGAGTCACTGTAGCACTGGGTGTCAAGACATTAGCAGAATAGGTAGACCATACCATTCTCTTGCTCTCACATTTTTCTAGAATATAATTTTGAATTTCACAGCCACCATCATCTTCTGGTGGATCCCAGTGGATAGTACACCTATCACTGGACACATCAGTGATTTTCAGGTTTCTTACAGGACCAGGCTTATCTAAAACATTGACAGTAGCATAGGCCACAAAACTGCCAGCTGGATTGGTTGCTGTGACTACATATTTACCACCATCACTTCGCTTTGCTTTGGTAAGAGAGAATTTTGATGACTCAGCACTGGTATCAATCTTGACTCTTGGTGATCTTGTAAGATCTGTAGCATCTTTGTCTTTGGTCCAGGAAACTTCTGGGAATGGTTTGCCTCTCACACCTGCCTCGAGTCTAATGGTGTCCCCTGCTTTGACAGTTAGAACCCCACTTAATTTTAGATCAAGTACTGGCTTCTGTAAGTCTTCCTTCACAACAACTTCCTCTGTCCTTACCCAATCACTTTCTCCGCCTTCATTCTTGGTTTGTACTCTGAACTCATAAATCTGGTTTTCAACACACTTGTCAACCATGTAATGAGTTTCCTTAATACTTCCTTTGTGTACTCTTTCCCAGTCAGTCGAACCCTTCAGCCTCCTCTCAACATGGTATGATAGATTTGGGCTGCCACCGTCATAATCAGGCCGTCGCCACTTCAGATAGACAAATGTCTTTCCTTTATCTGCAATATGAAGGTTTTCAGGCTCACCTGGCCTGTCAATGGGGTTGATGGCCAGAATTGGAGTTTTTGTTTCAATGGTTGGCCCAACACCTACTTTATTCTCTGCACAAACACGGAAATAGTATTCATTGTTGGCTAACAAGTTGGCTTTGATCAGTCTCTTGGTGACATCGGAGGCAACAATTGACCAGCCTTTCTGATTTGGTTTACGATATTCTACTATGAAATTTGTAATTTCTGAGCCACCATTATCTAGTGGGTTTTCCCATGAAATTGTGCAGTTTTCCTTGGTTACATTGCTAACCTTCAGATTCTGGCAAGGCCCCGGTCTGTCAAGGACGTTAACAATGGCTGAGCCTTGGGCATGTCCACTGCTGTTCTTAGCAGAGATGATATACTTGCCATGGTCAGCTCTGACAGCTTCTTTAATTTGTAACTCCACACGAGGTAGATCATGAATTAGGTCAACCCGCTTGTCTTTGACCAGTACTTTGCCCTCCTTAGACCAAGTTATGTCTGGCTCAGGTCTGCCTTTGACTCGAGCAAGAATTCGGATAGTTTGACCTACCCGAACGGTGATGATGTCACGGCATGTGACGTCAAGTTCTACTTCTGGAGGATGAAGGATGTCTTTTGCAATCACAGATTCTGCTAGTTCTCTTGGCTCTCCCTCACCCACGATATTAGCCGCCTTTATGCGGAATCTGTACTCATTTCCTTCAATCAGTCCAGGTACCCTGAAGGCACACTGCCTGATGAGTTCATCTTTATTAATCCTATCCCACTGTGCTGTGCCAGGTTTCTGACATTCTACTACATAGCCGAGAATGGGGCTGCCACCATCACTGAGGGGCTTTGTCCACACTAAGTCTGCAGATTCTTTGCTCTTGTCTTTTAGCTTAGGATTTATAGGTGGTCCTGGTGGTTTGATAGGCCGGCAAGCTTTTATTGGGTCAGAACTTGGGGATGGATTGCTTAGTCCAGCGAGATTTTCAGCAAAAACTCTAAACTCGTATGTATTTCCCTCATAGAGTCCAGTCACCCTGAACTTCAGGTCAGCGATAGGTGTTTTGTTGACCCTCACCCATTTGCCAGTTATTTCTCGGCGTTCTACATAATAGCCAGTTATTGGGCTGCCACCATCAGATTTTGGCAGGGTCCAAGACACTGTTGCAGCATTCTCAGTAATGTCAGTTACCACAGGTTTACCAGGAGGAGATGGAGGATTGAACTTGTGTTTCGCAACAGTAGGTATGGAGTCCAGGGGAGGACCGACACCCATCTTGTTCTCTGCTTTGACTCTGAAGATGTATTCACAGCCTTTTTGGAGATGTGGAACCTTCAGCTTCAGCTTACTGCTTCCTGCAGAGACAACACCCCATGTGCCTTTCCTTGTATCTTGTTTCTCAACAATGTAATTTATCACTGGGCTTCCTCCATCATCCTTAGGTGGTTGCCATGAAATAGTCATGTATTCAGGGGTGACATCCAGAATATTAATAGGACCTGTTGGTGGACCAGGAACATCAAGAACAGTAAGATGGACGGCTACTGTTTTGGTACCAGCAGCATTGGAAACTGTGAGCTGATATTCCCCAGTGTCCTTCCTTAAGCAGTTCTTAATGGTCAGCACTGATGAGAAGCTGTCAGTCTCAACTGTGTAGTGGTCATCCGTTTGAATCTCAATCCCATCAGTTGTCCACTTTGCAGTAGGAACAGGCACACCTCTTATGATGGCAGGGAATCTTACTGTGGTACCAGCCTTTACAACGAGCCCTTCAATTAATTTGACATCTAATTCCACAGATGGAGGCACTAGAAAGCAAGCAAGAGGTCATTAGTTTTGAATTTTCACAGTATGAATAATTTAAAGAAGAAATAAAATAATAATGCCATCCAAAATCACCTAGTTTCTCTTGGCACTCTATTGGGATAGTTGTATCAGGGAGACCAAGACCTATGATATTTTCAGCTTTTACTCGGAATCTATAGGTCTTTCCTTGTTGTAAGCCTGTAACAACACACTCTAAGTTTTTCACAGTCTTGAACTTGATCCAGTCTTGGGCACCTTCTTCTTGATATTCCACCAAATATCCAGTGATTGGAGAGCCACCATCACGATCTGGTTTATTCCAAACAAGAGAGACCTCAGTCTTGTCGACATCTACATGGTGTAGGTCCTTAGGTGGCCCTGGGGGATCTTTGAAAGAAAAGTTAGGATGAATAAGCAGTAATCCCAAATCTAGTCAGACAATAATTCTATATTCAGAGGGAGTAACTCACGGAGAGGATCCAGAGCCTTGATGGGCTTAGGTGTTTCAACAAAAGGACCACGTCCATATTGGTTTTCAGCAGCTACTCGGAAGAGGTACTGATTGCCTTCATTCAGATGTTTAGCCATATGGCTCTTCTTCTTTGATGTGGTTGAAAGAGGGGACCACTGCGCAGTGGCAACATCTTTCCTCTCAACCACATAGTTGGTTACAACAGACCCACCATCATCCAATGGTTCCTTCCATGTAAGGTAACAAGAATCTTTCCTAATTTCACTGACTTCCAGATCTCTAGGTGGCCCAGGTTTATCTGAAAAGTATTAAATAACAGATAAGAGACAAGAAAAAAATATGTATTTGAGTTTTTTTTAAATGGCATGAATATTAAAATGCATACCTAAGACCAGTACTTTTACTGAGACAGTTTTTGAACCAGCTGGATTCTCCACAGTTAGGGAATAAATTCCACCATCTTCATGGGCAGCATTACGAATTTCAAGCTTGCTTCCAACCGGAGTAACATCAATTTGTGCTTTTGTTGGAGCCTCTCTGTCTCCTTTTTTCCAGGTTACTTTAGGGAATGGCACTCCTTTGATGATGGCACTAAGTCTTAGGGTATCACCAACCTTAATGTGTTGTTCTCTTGCCATGTTGGCATCAAGGATCAGCTCAGGAGGTTCTAAAATAAAGAAAATGCCTTCAGGTTGGATTCATTAGTGCATGTACAACATTCATAGAGCATGTACAACAGGTACCTATTTTTTCACAATTGCAGAACACAACATCTCACTCACCAAGTCGGTCTTTTACTAAAACTGGTTCGGGAACGTGGGCTGGGTCTGATTCCCCAGCCTCATTGACTGCCAGCACACGGAACTTATAGGTCTGACCATCCCTGAGACCAGAGACTTTATATTTAGTTTCAGGGCATGACTCAGGAGTGTGATTGGCTCGTCTCCATTCTTCATCTCCAACTTTCTGGTACTCCACAATGTATCCCAGTATCTTGCTCCCACCATCATGACGTGGTGGCTGCCAAGTTAGATCAACTGAATTACAAGTTGTGTCTATTGCTTCAGGATTAATAGGTGGGCTTGGTTTAGCTATACAATAAAAGAAAAAATTAAAAGAAGTTAAAATACAGCTGAGAAAGGTTGGATAATATGAAAACTGAATGATTGTTTTAATACTGTACCAATTGGATCTCTAGCAAAGACTGGTTTGGATGGTGGACTTGGATCTCCAATACCAATTTCATTTTCTGCAGAAACCCGGAATTCATACTGGCATCCTTCTAGAAGATCAGGAACCCTAAACTTAGTGTATGGATGGATAGGTTCTTTGGTAACTCTAGCCCATCGTTTAGACATAGTTTCCCTCTTTTCCAGGATGTAGTTTGTGATAGGCTTTCCTCCATCATTTGGCTTGTTCCAGGTTACTAACGCAGAGTCTTTGGTGACCTCTGTGACAATTGGCTGCTCAGGTGCATCAGGAACTCCTGTAACAGATGTTAGCAAAATGTGTTAAAAGTTTAAACCTCCCTATTAACTCTGTCAAGCCTTGGGTCCTCCCCGCACCATATTACATACTGAAACGATCTTTGGCTTTCATTGAATCAGACACCAGAGGGTCACTTATTCCATACAGATTTTCAGCATGAATCCGGAAGATATAATCTTTTCCTTCAAGCAGTTTCGGGACTTTGCACGTTGTTTTAGCACTGGCAGATGTCACAGGCATCCAAATGTCTTTACCCAGTTCCTTCTTCTCAATAATATAATTGGTAATTTCACTTCCTCCATCATCTAGAGGTGGCTTCCAAGAAATAACCATGTATTCTTTGGTGACCTCATCAAAAATGACAGGTCCTACTGGTGGTCCAGGACGGTCTGTAGAAAAAAGAAAGAAAATTATTATAGCACAAAACATTATCATCACTTCTGCTTCTAAAAGGAAAAGGGGTCTATTATTCTTGATAAGATAAATAAAACTTACCAACAACATTGACTTGACAGAAACCTTTCCTGGAGCCTGTACTGTTCTCCACAACTACACAGTATTTTCCAGAGTCTGAGCGTTTGGACTTGGTCTTCTCCAGAGCAAGTGTTGTGGGAGTAGTCTTTATGTGAGTGCGGTCATCTTCTAACACATCAGCTTCATCTTTGAACCAATCAACCTTTGGCTTTGGTTTGCCTGAGTAACGGCCAGTGAGGGCAAAAGCTTCACCAACTCGAACTGTAAGCTTATCTCTGAAGTCGAGGTCAAGTGTTGGGGGAGCTACAATGTAGAATTATAGACAGGAGTCATTTTTGCTATCCTATGATAAGGCTATAGATGTAGATGTTTTCAAAGTATAAACTGTAACAGACACATACCCAGCTCATCTTTGCAAGTGATTGGCTTGGTGCAAAATGACGGCTTGCCTTGTCCAACAATATTGACGGCACTGACACGGTACTCATAGGTATCCCCTTCTTTTAAGCCTTTGACAGTGTATTTTCTGCTAAGCAGATTGTCATTTGTCACCTTGTGGAACTTCTCAGTGCCAATGAGGCGGCTTTCTAGGACATAGTTAATAATTTCTGATCCACCGTCGTACTTGGGAGGATTCCAAGTCAAAGACACAGTATTTTTAGTGACTTCTTTGACTTCTAGGTCTTCAGGTCTCTCTGGTACAGCTGTAAATATTACAACAAGGAAAAGAGTGTCACAGTGAGAATACAGAAAAGCAGCATAAGTACCCCTTCCTGAGGATTGTTTTTTAAAAGCAAACCACTGGCTTCAATGAATCTTTAAACTGTTCTCACCGTAGAACTATTAGAGTGAGAAAAGATTCCAAGGAAACCAATGTTCTCAACTGACAGATGAGGAAATAGAGCTTCATTTGGGTTAAATACCAAAAGGTCTTAAGAGTCAGCAGTTTTAGAATTAGGAAAATGACTCAGTTTATACTTGTATCATTGAATGGAAAACTTACAAAAAGAAAAAAGAAACAAGACAACATAATAAATACAGGGAAGGAATTTGATGACTCATACATATCCCTGTCATTTCTTTCAGTCACAGAAACAATGATACAATGACATTAGATATTTAACAGCTGTCTTAATGCTTGGCAAGTGAATAACATGTAAGGCACACACACACATGCACACACATGTGCACACACATACACACTCAAGCACACACTCATGCACACCATAAGGTAGTATTAAATGGATAGCAAGTGGTTAACCATGAACTAGTTTTCACTTGTACTTACTTATTGGATCTCTAATGACAAGTGCATTTGGTGTCTCAACAAATGGGCCCATGCCAATACTATTTTCAGCTGCAATTCGGAAAAAGTAGGATTTTCCTTGAATAAGACCCTGTACGGTAGCATTTTGTCGAGTGACTGTGTATGTCACAGGGGTCCAAGCTTTGCGGTCAGCTTCCCGCTTCTGAATGACATAGTTGGTGATTGGAGAGCCTCCATCGTCTTCTGGAGAGAACCATGTAAGTTTGCAGGAGTCATTGGTTAGGTTGTCAGAGAGGAATGGTACTCCAACAGGTCCTGGAACATCTGGGGACAAGAGGAAAAGATTTTAAGCCATTTGTCTCCTATGCTCAATCAACATGTTACCCTTTTTTTTTTTTTTTTTTTTTTCCAAAAAAAAAAAAAAAAACAAATTTGTGTGTGTGCCTTTTAAAAATGGAAAACAGGGAGATTTTTTTTTTCTGCATGACCAGTTAGTTGATGGGTGTAGAAAGCCCTGATTTTAGAAGTTGAGATTTTACTATGGAAACATACCAGTTATCCAATCAAAGTAGTATTTGTTGATGAGTAAAAGGGCTTAGAAAGTTGAAACCTAAGGGCTTGTGGGTTATTGATGTATGAAATACTTTTGACCATCTTTTATTACTTACAATAATAGGGGACTGACTATTATTATATTGATATGATATAGCTGTTTAGAGTGTGGCTCTACTGAATTATGAGTACTGAATGGGATAGTATCATTTTCTGAGCAAATAAAGGGATTAAAGCAGACACAGAAGAAGCTGGCAGAGTTGAACTCTATCTTCAGTGACTAACAATGCAATACTGATAATCACATATACCAATTCTCTGGAAATACAGAATCCCCAATAAAGGTTTTCTCATTGTTACAATCATTAGTAAGGGTAGAGTCTCATGATATGAATGGTTATTGTGGTGAAACTGTAAACATTCATGAGCATTTTCAGGAAAGGTGCTTTCATAGAGACCACGTAATTACACAGGAGGTTCTTAAGGTGGCACGTCTTGTTAAAAACTGTAGCATATAAAATCTCACGTAGGGGAATGGAAATGTGGCTAAGTGGTTAAGAGCATTTGAAGCCCTTGTAGAGGACTTTGATTGGTCCCCAATGACTAACAACCATTTGGCATTCTAGTTCTAGGATATCTGGCACCCTCTTCTGGCCTCCTCATATACTTCATACAAATGGCACACATACATATATGCAGGCAAAACACCATAAACACTAAAAAAAATGAAAACAAAATAGACCTTCATGTGTAGCAGGAGTACATCAATGTGGAATACATATAGGATTAAAAAATGCAAAAAGGGACATTTTAAAAATTCTAACATGGACAGTGATTATGAATTATTTTTATTTTCCAAAACATTTATAACAACATAGCATTGTTGCAGATGTAATTAAAATGCTGATTTTTAAAAAGTTGCATTTCTGGATATTATGGCACATGCCTTTAATTCTAGCACTCAGGATCCAGAGGCAGATGGATCTCTGAGAATTTGAGGCCAGCCTGGTCTACATAGTGAGTTCCAGGTCATCCAGAATTACATAATGAGAACCCTGTCTTGAAAAAAAGTAAAATAAAATGTTGCATAGACAAATAGAAATTATTTACCTAATACATCCACAATAATTGTCTTCTTTCTTTCTCCACCTTCATTTTTGGCAAGAAGAGAGTATACACCTTGATGGCTTCTCTGGCAGTTTTTGATGACCATGGAAGAACTAATGGCTGTGGTCTCAATGGTGGCTTCTTGAGGTAAGGCTCTTTCATTCATGCTCCAGGTGACAGTTGGAGGTGGCTTCCCAGATACATAGGCTATGATTCGGATCACCCCTCCAGCATGGACCACTATTCTGTCTCTGACACTGGCATCTAGCTGAAGGTCAGGTGACACTGGGAAACAATTGAAAATGGCAAATGTGACTTTCATCTTTCACTATATAGCATAAACATTGATAGACTAGCAGAAGTAGTAGTAATTACCAATTCTGTCCTTCATTTCAATAATATCTGTGACTTCTCCAGGTTCTCCAATGCCAGCAATGTTGACTGCTCTTACTCGGAATTTGTAGAATGCTCCTTCTTTTAATCCAGTCACAACGAGTTTTGTCCCTCTCACTTCTTTATCTTTACCCTGGGGGAAACAACAAACATTTTGTAATTGCAGTATAATATAATATGTATACTGTATCTAATAAATATGTATACTGTATCTAATACATAATATTTGTGCTTTAATAACTTTCTCAAGTATAACCACTACCTACCTACTCTTCTCAGGAGGTTTTAGGGATCAAATATTATAAACAATGGATGAATGACTTGCTACAAATTGTGTTTAGCAATCAGTGGTAAATGATAGTAAAAACTATACTGTTCATTTGTTTCATCTTTCCAGAATTCATAACCAAAAGATATGTGAATAACTTGTCAACTCAATTTTTATTTTTAATTGTTCCATCTACTCACACTGTATCTACTCACACTGTAATAACTCATTATGTATAAACAACTGGCAATAAACATTTCCATCTCCTTAAATATTTACCATTTCTACCTGTTGGAAGATTTCAAACCCTTCCAGTTTTTTAAAAATAAAATCTATGCTAAATTATTAGTAACTACAGTCATCATACTGTGCTATTGAATGCTAGAACTTGTTCTTTCTAACTAACTGTTTTGGTACCCAATATAGGACCTTCTTCACACTTCCTACTCCTGACCTGATTAGTTTGACATAAACAGATATTTTTCTGATGTTTAGTCACAAACACAGACAGAAACAAATGTTCTTGAGAAAAACTAAAACTTATTCACAGCACGTGTCTTTAATGGATGTTTTAGCTACCTTTTCCCATTCTTCTTTTCCTTCTTCCTTAAATTCAACAATGTATCCAGTTATTTTGGATCCACCATCTTTTAATGGAGGTGACCATTCTAAGTCCACAGACGATTTTGTCCAGTCTGTCACTTTGGGGAATGGAGGACCAGGGGGAGCTGGAAAGAACCAGAGTACATCAGTGTTCTTGATTTCAATGGTATGTTTAGGAACCATTTTTTAAAAGAATGATTTAAAGGCTTACCAACTGGATCTCTAGCAGTCACTGGATCTGAGGGGAGACTTGCCGGACCCACACCAGCAGCATTGATGGCATACACCCGGAACTGATAGTCAGAACCTTCAATAAGACCAGTCACTTTATAAGAGACACCCAGAGTCATGGCTTTGATAGGATCTCGGTTAACTCTCTTCCATCTCTTTGAGGTGGTGTCTTTCATTTCTAACCAATACCCAGTCACAGGAGAGCCTCCATCATATTCTGGCTCTTCCCAGTTGACAGTCATGGAGTTACGAGTCACACTGCTCACTGTTGGCTTATCTGGAGCTCCGGGGACAGCTGTGAGAAAAATATGTTAATTGACAAGAAGTTATTAAAAACAACAACAAGACAGAAAAAGGATAACCTCATATGTGAAAATGTCCTACTCACAGAAGAGGTTTCGTGCTGTTTCTGGTTCACTGTCAAGTGGCTCTCCAATGCCGTATTTATTCTGGGCCATGATTCGGAATACGTATTCATGGCCTTCTAGCAATTTGGGAATTGTGTACATGCATTCTTTAGGCTCACTGGAGACACGCACCCATGTCTTCCTGTTAGCTTCTCTTTTCTCAATGACATAGTTTGTAATCTTAGACCCACCATCATCTTTAGGTGGAAGCCAAGATAGTGTCATTTGATCAGCTGAAATAGACTCAAACTTTATGGGTCCCACAGGGGGGCCAGGGCGACCTAAAAGATTTTTTAAAAAGAATATTTTATTAGTTGAATGATTTTAAAGCCAAATTTTATTAATGAATTAAAAAGAAACCCATGTAGTTTTAACCAAACAGTGCAATCATTACCAAGGACATTGAGTCTCATCTCCTTTGATGCTGTCCCCAGGTTGTTTACAGCTGTGATAGAATATAAGCCAGTGTCACTCCGGCGAGACTGAGGAATAACTAAAGTGCAGGTGTCATCTACCACCTGTTTGTTGACATGGGCATCATAGAGAACAGGTTCTTTGCTGTCAGGCTTCTTTGGAGGAGCTTTAAACCAGGTGAGAGTTGGGAACGGCACACCTTTAATTTTGGCCACGATGTTAACATCAGTTCCTTCTTCCACTTCCATGAATTCTTTTAGCTCAATTGATGGTGGGCCTAGATAATCAACAACAAGAACAAATGTTGACACAGGGAGCAAAAAGCACTAAAGACTAGAACGTGAAATTTAATGTGGTTATAAAGCCTATTTGGGTCACCTGAATTCAGACTTCATTGTCTAAACTGATAGAAAGAATGGGTCTCTATTTAATACTGTTATACTAGTTTGCGGGGCAATTACATCTAGCAATCCTTTATTGGATCTCCACACAGTCACCTATCTGCTATAGCCTCTCCCTCACCATGCTTCATCATACAAATGAAAATTCTGACAAAGGGCAGCGAGGAGTGAATATCACAGTAGCTTTTGCTTGGCACTCCACATTATGATGTTTTTAATAATTTGCAGAGTTATAAAGTCATTTCCATGCTTATTTAAAGGTTCCAATGTGAATTTTTATAAGAAATATAATTTTTGGTAGAAGCCAAACTGTTTTTTTCTTTTCTATAAATTTATTATGAGTATGCATAAAGGATTGGCACAATCACAAGACCAGATAAATATATAGTGATAGTGATGGTAACAATAATTAGAAGAGACTTATTTATATTTTATCTTCCCAAAACTCAAAACTAAAATGAGTTTCTCAAATAAAGGGAAAATTTTGATTGGAAAGATACATTGGTTTTAGTAGGTACTAAGCAAATTACTGGCTTTCTGGCCTTTTTAATTCCCTTAATTTCTGATAGATAAGACAGCTTGCCTTATAAAGGCAAGAAAATTAGGTATGTCTTGTCTATAGTATAAGCAATATGGAAGGTCATTTGCTAATTCTACCCATAATAGGGTAATAAGTAATTGAATAATGTGGCCATGCCTACATGAAGCCCATAGAAACATACTTTATTATTAGCTACATAGGAAGGCAAACCCAGAGAAGGAAATTCGCTGTTAAGTACATACATGTCTGGTCTTTGACAATCACAGGACCAACAGTAGCTGAAGGCTTGCTGACTCCGGCCTCATTGACAGCTTTAACTCTGAATTCATATTCCCCACCCTCTATGAGGTCTTCAACAGTGAATTCCAATTCTTCCACGTCACGTTTATTGCACTGTCTCCATGCTTCTTTCTTTTTGCCAGTTGGGTCCCATGCAAGGCACTCAACAATATAGTGGGTGACAGGAGAGCCCCCATCATTCTTTGGAGGTTTCCACGACAGATGTACCGTGTTCTTTGTTATAAGACCAATCTTGAGTTTAATAGGAGGGTCAGGAGGATCTGTAAAAATGTTTATAGGAATCGTTAAGCATGGTTGTTAATAATGTAGCTCATTCTTAAGACTGTATTTTAAACTTGCATTTTGAAACTTACAGATTGGATCTCTAGCAGTGGTCCTCTGAATGGTTTCTGCAGGTGGGCCAATCCCAAAACGGTTTTCTGCTCGCACACGGAAGAAGTATTGCTGCTCAGAGATGAGATCTGGCACTACAAATGTGGTGCTTCCACAGTTTGGATTGACTTTTGTCCAGGCTTTCCCATCTATAGTCTTCTTCTCAATGACGTAGCCTTTGATCCTATCTCCTCCATCATCATCTGGCATCTTCCATGAAAGTCGGCAGCTACCCCTTGTGATGTCACTAACCTTCAAGTCTTTGGGTGGGCCTGGTGCATCTGTTGGTTGCAAACCACAGTGTCAACATCATTGTTTAGATGCTGAGAACAGTTTGCTCTGATTCTGTAGCAACTGAGAACACCTTTCTTACCCATGACTTTAACTCTGCAGTTGGCAGTTTTCTGTCCTGCTTTATTTTTGGCTGTGATGCTGTATTTGCCTGAGTGAGCTCGATTGCACTCTGGGATAATGATGACAGATGAGCTCTCGGCAGTCTCCAGCTGGACAAAGAAAATTGTAGTCATACATCAAATGATATCACAGAGTTACTAAGGTCAATCATCTTTCTAGTTAGTTAAGCTATCGCCTCTTACCTGTGCATCTTCAGGTATATCATGAATTCCATCCTATTAGAAAAGAAGACAATTAAGTTTTAAATACTGCTTCTGGTTATTCAATGGAAGACATAGGAAAATCCTAGAATGATTATTACCTTCATTGCCTTCTTTGCCTTTCCATCAAATTCCCAAGATGATTTTGGTGTTGGTCGTCCCTTGATGACAGCAGGAATTCTGATCTGTGATCCAGCTTTACAAACCAGGCAGTCTTGTGCTCCGATGTCAATGAAAACCTCTGGAACCTCTGGAATACCACAGTAATCAGACAGCCATTAGCTTACATTTCTCAAAGAGGTAACTGCTATATTTCCAGTACATTAATTTCACAGTATAATCCAAAAAGGTCAACACATAAGCCAAATGAGAATGAGTACCTTGAATGTCAGTGGCAGGGATCTCTCCAGTTGTGTCACTTGGTTCGGACTCACCAGCTTCATTGACAGCTTTCACTCTGAAACGGTACTTCCTGAGTTCCTTCAGGTTAGGCACCACACATTCACAGGTAGTTAGAAGTTTATCAGGTTCATTGACTCTCTTCCAGTCACTGGTACCTTCCTCTTGCATTTCTACAATGTAGCCTTTGATTGGGCTGCCACCATCTTTGGCTGGAGGTTTCCATGCTAGTGAGATGCTTGACTTTGTTTTATCTTTAACCTCTGGGCGGGAAGGTGGCCCAGGTGGGTCTAATAAGGAACAAATAAACAAACATCACATTTTGAAGATATGGAATGCTATTTTTATGTATACCATAAGACTTTCACTATATAAGACATTTATTGTTGTCTGTTATGTTAAAATGGATTGCTGAAAGAGTTTAATAGTGCATTTTCTTTTAGTATTAATGCAGAAACAGAAAGCAAGCAATCTCTGGGGAAAGGATTACTCGCTATCTCTGGCTAGAGCTATCCTCTAAGAGTACACCACTGGTGAAAAGCTATTTGACTTTTGAGATCCCACTGAAGAGATTCAACAGTGTATTTTAACTGAAAAGTTTACTTTCTACAATATGAAAATTTTAAAAATATTTTCATCTCTAGCTGGGAAAACCTCTGGATACAAACTAATCTCAATGTTCTTTAGGGGCAGAACAGTGTTTCCACTCATCACATCATAATACTTTCCCAACGGGGAAACTCTTCTATCAACAATGAAACTCTTCTATCCTGTTGCCTGTGGTTTCATCCCCCACCCCACCTTGTGTCTAGTACAGACCCTTGAACAGTCCATGCTCCAAACTAACTTTCTGAATGAATATGTGACTACCTTATTGTACATTTTTTCTCTATAGCATGAAGATATCTTAAATATTTGAATGAAAAGTAGAAAATGCACTGAATTATGAAAATTACTGTATTTCCATTTCTGAGCTGATCAGCTCATATATGATCCAACAAAAAGTTTTTCATTATTTGACCTCAGATATTCTGTCTGATAATTTGATGTCTCAATAAATACTTAACATTTTACTTTTTTATTGCATTCTTACTTGAGGATCTGATTGTTAATGATTTCCATAGTAACTAATGAGAGTTTTGAACCCTTACTTTATTGGTCATTTCTTTATCATGTAGTTAAAAAAAAACACGAGCTTTAACTATGTTATCTAGATATGTATATATAGTTACTTCACTGTGACTAGTTGTAATAAATGGGTGAGAAATTTAAGAGTAACCTACATAGTAACTTTACCCATTAGAAAAGAGTCCTAGAAATAAAGCATACTTACATATGGGATCCCCTGCAACAGCTGGGTCTGATGGTTCACTGGGAGGGCCGATTCCTGCAGCATTTATTGCCATGGCTCTAAATTGATATTTCACCCCTTCAATCAAACGTGGAACATTAAATTCCACACCCTTCAGTCCCACTTTGGTTATTGGTGCTCTGCTAACTCGTGACCAGTAGGCACCACCTTCCTCTCTCTTCTCTAGCCAGTAGCCAGTAATTGGAGAACCTCCGTTGTCCAAAGGAGGAGTCCAGCTCACAAGCATAGACCCCTTGGTGCGTTCTAAGACTTTCGGTTTTCCAGGAGGTCCAGGGAGGCGATAAGGGTCTTGAATGACGACTTTGTCTGATTTGCACTCATCACTGATTCCATATTTATTCACTGCCCTCACTCGGAACTCATACTGACCATTGGGGATAAGCTTCCAGATCTAGAAATATAGGTGAATAAAGAAATCAGAACAAATCTGCTTGGACTGAAGTTTTTGCTTTTTTTAAAACACAATTCGTTTGGGGATGGATCACCATAAGAAGGAAACTCATGGACTTAAATCACAGGAAAGACTGAGGAAAAGAGAAACCCTTTAAAATAAAGATACAGATCTTTGTAGTTTCTAGTGGATTTCGAGTAAGAGAGCAGCAAGTAATATTTGCTAAGTGGCCTTATATGCATAATGGTAAGCGCCAAAGTAATAAATAGCTGATGCTTATATGGGATTTTTAGTTTAATCATTAAATTGTAAAGTTATATTAAAAGTGGTATCAAATCAGAATTCTGTCCTATTAATGTACATAAATTTGGAAGCATTTACCCCATATCTTCTCTCAACAGCAGTGTTAGTGACTTCTTCCCATTCAGACTTCTTCCTGCTGGCATCACGTTTGTCAATGATGTAATGGGTAATTTCACTGCCACCATTGTCTAGAGGGGCATCCCATGTCAGATAGCAAGACTCAGCTTTAATGTCAGTAACAGCGAGGTTTCTGGGTGGAGATGGACGATCTGGAAAGGAACCACAGCAGGGACTGAGAAGCCATTCTTAAGTAGGGGGTGGCTTTCTTTCCCACACAGGAGGCAAGTCTCTTACCATACACTTCCACATGAACGTTGCGGAATACGGAGCCAAGACGATTGGAAGCGGTAATTGTGTAAGTGCCCTTGTCCTCTCGGACGGCTTTGGGGATGCTCAGCTCAGTCTTGGCCTCGCTTCGGGATACTTCTTCTTTGGTTATTTTAAGTGCATCAGTGGGTTTCTCGATCACTGTTTCGTTCTTGGACCATTCAATCTTAGGCATGGGAAGTCCTGTCACATCTGCAGGGATGTTAACCGGCTCTCCTGCCTTCACTTTGATAGTGTCTCCTCGAACAGCCAGGCGCAACTTAATAGTTGGAGGGACTGCAGAGAGAAGTAAAGAGGGAAAAAAGTATTAAGAATGTTCTTCCACGTCACCAGCAGATTAATGATATTAGATATGGAATCCATACCTTCATCATCCTGTATGACTACGTTAAGAGGTAGGGATGGTTCACTTTCACCAATGTCATTGACGGCTTTGACTCGGAACTCATACATTTGGTGCTCATCAAGATTATCAACCAGAAATGATGTGGTTGGGCAGAGTCTCTTGTTAACTCGTTCGAAGTCAGGTTTGTCATGACGGCGTTTTTCAATGATGTATCCTTGGATGGGACTGCCACCATCACTGCGGGGCTCTTTCCAGTCAAGTGTAATAGTGGATTTTGTCCTTTCTGTGTATGTGAGCCTTTCAGGAGATGTTGGAGGGCCTTAAAGCAGAAGCCATTGAAAATGTTGAGTATGAAACAATTTGCATAAGAAATAATATTGCACTTCTATTTGTGTGAAAAATAGATCAAATGGCATTTTGAAAATCCTTTTCAAACCACGACAGTAACAACAATGACAGCCATTTTCACTAATAGCATTTTATTCATAGTGAATGTCTCATCAAAATCACTAATTAAAAATAAGTCAAAGGTATGTGTACATGTCTTTTGTATTTAGTATTTTAGATTGCTTGCCTGTGACACTGACAAAACTTCTAATCCTACCAAGCTAGGAAAACAGGTGTGTGAAGTTCTGCTCTGAATGCCGCTAGAGAGCGATATGGTTTTTCTTTTGTGACCAGACAGTACTGAAGAGTCAGATTGCCTCAGTGGAAAGATCATTTATGAAATATCTCAATGGTTTTGTGTCCTTAAGAATAGGCTCTGATGGGTGTGACTAGATCTGTCCCATTCTAGCTGATTTGCAGATGGAATCCCAGCTCTATTCTGAGGCCTCTGGTACAACCTGAAATTAATGTACTTTATGGGGCAATTGAAACTGTGGTGTATGATGTAATTCTTATCTTTTTCCAGGTGTGGTGGTGGAAGGAAAACTATTTCTTGAGGAGTGGATTTTCCTCCAAGATCTCATTTTAAGAGGGACATTAATACATATTACTTAGTGTGAATACTTTTAGTGTTTCATTTTAGCTTCTGGGAGACCTCCTCTGGTTGGTTTTCTATTCTTTGAGGGTTCTTTCTGATTGGGGGGTCTCCATACCCTTCCGGTATGAATACTTCTTAGCAGTGTAGTAGAACTAAATTACTTATCCCATGACAATTATCTGCCCCACAATTCTTTTAGGAAAGTTGTGAATTCTATATAATTGCTAGATTGTTTTATTCATTCATTTATTTTTTTATTTTTTTGTTTTTGAGACAGGGTTTCTCTGTGTAGCCTTGGCCGTCCTGGAACTCTCTCGGTAGACCAGATTGGCCTTGAACTCATAGAGATCTGCCTGCCTCTATCTCTCTAGTGCTGGTATTAAGGATGTGTGCTACCAACCAACACCCAGCCAGATTGCTACATTTAAAAATGCTCTATTATATTGGTAATATTGAATGATTCTAAATTATTAGAACTACTTGTAGATTATTAGCAAGAATTTGTAGATCCAAAATTTTTGGCACAGAAAATGCGGCATAATTTATATACATAAGCAAAAATACATGGAAATTTAACAAATATGGTATCTTTAAATTAGCTAATAGATACTTGACTTTCTTTTACTACCCCCTAGCTAGTCTAAAATCTTGAGAATGTTGGGTGATTGAAGCTGTAAATCTCAGCAAGTGCTTGACCTACCTATATGCAGAACAGTATTATTTATTTGGTAAATACAGTAAAAATCTTTTCTTACCTAGTGGATCAACTGCAAGAATTGGTCCTATTTCAACAGGAGGCCCACAGCCAAACTTGTTCTTGGCAATGACACGGAACTTGTATTCTTGTCCCTCTATAAGACCTGTGATGTCACACTTGGATCTCTCAGTCTCAATGGGTTGTCTCCAAGTGTGCATCTTGGCATCTTTTCTTTCAATTATAAACCCTGTGATTTCACTTCCTCCATCATCTGCTGGATCAGACCAATTAAGCAGACACATCTTTCTGTTTGTGACAACAGGTTTTAGGTCAAGCACTGGGCCAGGGACATCTGGAAAATGAAACAGTAACAAACAAAAAAATCAATGTAGTAAGATCACATGACATGGGAGAATCCTATGAAAATCCTTGAAAGGTTCCTTACCAAACACTTCAACCCGGACCGCTGCAAACTTGGAACCACAGCTGTTTGTTGCTGTGATCACGTATCTGCCATGGTCTTTTCTCAATGCATTCTTGATAATTAGTTCAGATTTGGTTCCAACATTCTCTATTACAACACGTTCTTTATCCAGCTCTCCTTCTTCTATGGTCCATTCTTTTGTGGGCACTGGACGGCCAGTCACCACTGCTGGGATTCTAAGAGTCTTCCCAGCCATGATTTGTATTCCACCCTTGACAGAAACATCCAGTTCCACAGTTGGAGGCTCTGATGAAGAACAGCAGTATATGTTAGTGCAAGGAGGAAGAAAATATAGCCTCTTGCTGGAAAACATCCCATTTTCCCCAGAAAACATTTAAGTACCTTGTGGTTCAGCCACAGTAACAGGCCCTGTTTCTCCAGGTGGTCCTTCGCCTGCTGCATTGACAGCACTCACTCGAAGTTTGTAGTCAGCACCCTCTCGGATTTCTTTGACAGTGAACTGACGGACTTTGATCATCTTCTCCATGCAGCGTGACCACTCATTTGTGCCAACCAACTGCTTATCAACAAAGTAGCCAATAATCTCCCCACCACCATTGAAAGCTGGGGGTTCCCACTCCAGCTCGATGGTTGTAGAGCTTGTATCAGCAACTCTTGGGATAGGTGGCCCAGGTGGAGCTAGGAGGAATGCAGAAAACACAGGTCAAATTCACTGATGGCTTCCAAGTGTAGGCTAGACTACTCTTTCATACTTAAGGAGTCACTTACAGATTGGATCACGAGCTGTTTTAGGATCCGAAGGTGGGCTGAACTTTCCAGGTCCAGCGGCATTTTCAGCACAGACACGGAAGACATAGGTGAGACCTTCTAATAAGCCATCTACCTTGGTTTTCAAAGAACTCAGAAGGGTTTTGTTGACACGAGACCAGTGTGTACTATTGACCTCACGTTTCTCAAGCCAGTAACCTAAGATGGGGCTGCCATTATCTTTTGGTTCATTCCATTTTACTAGCATACTGTTGCTGGTGACATCTTCCACAATGGGCTTATCTGGTGCATCAGGTGGTTCTGATAAAAAAAATTGAATTTTATAATATTATATAAAATTAATTTTACAAAACCATGATAATGTAAAGATTGAAGTATATGGTGAAAGGCCAACTTGTAACACTAAAAGAACCTTACCAAATGGATCTTTGGCTAAAAGTGGCTTTGAAACACATGGTGGTCCAGGTCCTAACCTATTTTCAGCTCTTACACGGAAGAGGTACTCTTTTCCTTCAATCAGTTTTGTTACTGAATATTTGCAGTGTCTGAGTGTTGAAGAGATAACAATCCATTCTGAGTCAGGTTTGGTCTTGTCTTTCTTTTCCAAGGTATAGTTAATGATTTCACTGCCACCATCATCAAGGGGTGGTTCCCATTTACAGAGGACAGAGTTCTTTCTAATATCCTCAAATACAAAGTTGATTGGAGGTCCTGGTGTATCTAATATTTCAAAGGAGATTAGTGATTAAAATTTTGTATAGAACTGGCTGCTATGGAAAATATAAATGTTACTATGGTCTTTTGGTACAACTAGTTTTTCCATATCCTTCTATGTTTATGTTACATTGGCTAACAAATAACAAGGTCAGTTGATTTTTTTCAATAGTGTCTGCTTAGGTGATAAAATGTAACTGAGAATTATTTTCTGAAGCTGTTTCTTTTAATGGGTTCCCAAACTGCTTATTTCTCTGTCTTGCTAAAACTCTTATGTAGATTTTCTTTCTCCATGGGAAAGTGTAGTTTTAACTACTTACCTAGCACAATGACAGTGCAAGGAGCTTTGGCGACACCATGATCGTTCTCAACTTTGATCATGTACTGGCCATGATCGGGTCGCAGGGAGTCACGGACACGCAGCTGAGATTCCCCTTGTTTGCTGTTGTTGATACTCAGACGCTCCGTCAGAGGCAGGTAAAATGGTTCTTCTTCTTCAGCCTCACCCTTCTTCCTCCTAACTGGGGGTGCTGCTCGTTTCTTAATTTCCTCTGGTACAATGACATTTTCATCCTTTATCCATGTGATTGTTGGGTAAGGTGAGCCAGAAATAGTTGCATCAAGTGCTATTTCATCACCCCGTTTTACTTCCAGGCTTGTTTTGAGGATGACTTTTGGGGCATCTGTAATGATTAAAAGCCAGCATTGTTTTTAATTCTAGATAAAACATGAACCCTATTTATTTTACAATGAGAAACTAAGACCCCCAATAAATAAAACATACCAATAGGATCCACAGCTTTGGTTGGGGGAGTGGCCCGAGAAGGTTCACCAATGCCAGCGGCATTCTCTGCTCGCACACGGAATTGGTACTCTTTCCCCTCCTCAAGTCCTTTTGCTGTATAAGTCAGGACAGGTACCAGATGTTCATTGCATCTCTTCCATCTGTCTTCGCCCTTAGCAATCTTTTCTATGATATAACCCATTATCTTGCTTCCTCCATCATACAAGGGTGGCTTCCATGTGATCGTCATTGCCTTAGCTGTAGGATTATGAACCTCAACATCTACAGGTGGATCAGGTGGTTCTGGTGAACAAAGAAAAATACCTATTACTATTGGTGAAACCAATTAATGCAAACATAATAATTCTTGCATATTCTATCCTACCCATCATATGACTATATTCTAACTTACGCTTTGGATCTTGAGCAATGATGGGATTCTTGAGTTCAATATATTCGCCTCCACCAATCTTGTTGACTGCTTTGACCCGGAAGAAGTATTCACCATTTGGTATGAGATCCTTTACGGTCCAAGACAGTTTGTTCTCACCAGACATAACTGGTATGTATGTCCTCCTCCCAGCCTCTCTACGTTCCAGGACATAATGAAGAATTGGGCTTCCACCATCATATTCTGGAGGCTCCCATGTTAACTTGCAAGAACTCTTGGTTATGTCACTTGCTTTAATATCTTTGCATGGACCAGGTAGACCTGTTACACATAAAATTGATAATTACTATCATAAGCTTGAAAAGTTAGCTTTTGAATAGTGAAATTTACCTAATTTGGCATATATACATTTTGGGTGAGGTAATCTTGTGTTACCATCCCTTGGAACACAAGACATTTAGCATATTTATTTACAATCTATTTTAATCAGAAGCATCAACCCGTGAGTCTTTGTGTTAATCAAAATTGCCTCACTAATTTCTAACTACTACCAGGGATGGTAGTTAAGGACAGAAAAGTTTTATTATTTGTGAAGAAGACTGTAGAAAACTGAAATTTATATAATTCAGAAAAAATATTGCTCTCTGAAATATTCCTTAGGTGTGTAAGATATTTTACTTAAATTAGTATTTCATATGCAAATAATTAAACAATCATAGTTTAATTATCAATTTCATCTATAAAATTACTTTTCAAATGAAAGTAACCCGAGGGAGTGTTCAGTTTATAAATGCCAGTTCTTGAAGCTATTTGTACAGAACATCACAAAGCTAGCTATTATAATTTCTGGAACATATGAAGAATGCCTGGTGTTTCATTACAGAACTGTTACCTATGACTTTGACATTGATTGAAGCAGTCGCTGAGCCAAGCTTATTCTCCAGGGTGATGGTATAAACTCCAGCATCTGCATGGACACTCTTAGGAACCTCAAGGTGTGCAGAGATGTGGTCATTCTTCATTGTTAATCTGTCACTTGCTTTAACTTCTTTGCCATCTTTATGCCAGCTCACAGTTGGAACTGGGACAGCTCTGAAGGGCACAGGGATGCTTAACTTTTCACCTTCGATAACAACAATATCATGAGTTTCTAGGTCAATTGTTGGTTTGCCTACAAAACACCAAGGGATAGGAGAAAATATGTTAAAATGCAATGGTCAGGAAGAAAACATATCTTAATAACTATGAAAGATATAGAATTCTTACAGTCTGGGTCTTTGGCAACCACGTTTTCAGAGATTTCAGATGGCTCACTGACTCCAACAGCATTGACAGCTCTCACTCTCAGAACATATTCTTTGTCAGGAACAATTCCCTCTTCAACTTTGAACTTCAAATCTTTTATTGGTCGAGAATTAACTCGCATCCATTTCTCAGTGCCTACTGGACACATTTCAACATGGTAGCCTATGATAGGACTGCCACCATTTTTCTCTGGAGGTTTCCAAGCAATGGCAATGTGTTTTCTCCCAGCATCAGTCACATGCAGATCAAGAGGAGGTGAGGGAGGACCTGGCAAGACAACACCAAAGCATTTACACCACAGTCTCACCATTAGGCCCTGGATAATCTCCTTTGAATGATCAGTACAACTTACTTGTCGGATCTTCAATTGATAGGATTTCTGTGGGCTCACTTGGGTGACCAACTCCTGCTTCATTTTCTGCCCGAACTTGAAACTGAACTTCTGTCCCTTCGATGACATCAGTTACCCTGAAGTTACAATCGGGGCCTGAGGTCTTTCCAGCTTTTACCCAACGGGTGCCTAATTTTTCTTTCTTCTCAATGATGTATCTGTTGAGAGAATCAAACATTCCATTTAGCATTGTGAAAAACAGAAGTTAGTAATGTACATCCATGTTTGACTTTTTTTTTAAGTGAATAAAATTGACATTGTACCTCTGTATTGGTCTTCCACCATCATTTTTAGGTGGCTCCCACTTTAGGTCAACGTGTCGTTTTGTCACATCAACCACTGTCAGGGCATAGGGTGGTCCAGGGGTAGCTGAAGGCAAAATAATCAATGATTAGAAAAACCTGAGGGAAAATTTATAAATTGCTATAAATGCTGTTGCAAAGACTTAAGTTGTGGAACATACTGAAGGTGTCTTTGGCCAGGACAGAATCTCCGATTTCAGTGTAGTCACTTTGTCCTATGGCATTTTCTGCAGCAACTCGGAACACATACAAAGAGCCCTCTGTCAGTGGGGTTACTGTGCACTTGGTCTCCTTGGCAGTGGTGTCCACTGTTTGCCAGCCTTTTCGTCTCACATCTCTCTTTTCCACAATGTAGTTGGTGATGGGTGACCCTCCATCTTTCTCAGGAACTGTCCATTTTAGGTCAGCTGTATTTTTTGTGATATTAATCACTTCAAGCCAACGAGGTGGTGATGGAGGATCTGAGGTAAAGAGGAAAACACATTCCATTTTAGCCTTTACCAAATGTTCTCATAGTTACAATGAAAGAATAAGGGAAGAATAGTAGTGAGGTTTAAATTTTCCCTTAGATTTTAATTTTTAGATAGAGCTCATGAGTGACTTACATAGTTTCTCCCGGCAAAGCACAGGGTCACTGGGGTCACTGGGTTCACTCTCTCCAGCTTTGTTGACAGCTCTTACTCGGAATGAGTATTCCTGCCCTTCCATTAGCCCTGTGAGCAAATGCTCAGTGGTTGGGACCCCCTCAGCCACTCTGACCCAGTCATCTGTTCCAGTCTTCAGCATCTCAATGACATAAGACTCAATCTTTGCCCCTCCATCGTGTTCTGGCTTGGTCCAGTTCAATACTAATGATGTTTTGCCTACATCCTTTACAGTTGGTTTTCCAGGGGGCCATGGAGGATCTGCAAGTCAATGACAACATCATTTGTTTTGTCCAAAGAAAGTTAATATATGCCTCAAAATAACCACAGAAAATCATACAAATAATACCTATGGGATCCTTTATTAAGATTGGTTCAGTTGATCTACTTGGTTTTCCTGGTCCAGCCAAATTTTCAGCCAGCACACGGAATCTGTACTTTTTCTTATTGGTAAGACCTTTCACTCTGGAGCAGGAACAAAGTAACAGCATGGTAAGAAGTAGTAATCTATGTACTATACATAGAAGAGGATAATTTATTTAAATAGTGAGAATCAATTTGTAAATTTAACTGAAAATACTTCAACATAAATTTAACATTATTTTTAGCTCTACTGTCACATTCTTTATATTAGGCCAAATGTATCACTCAAATTGTATCTATAATTATTAATTACCATAATATATTGGAAAACCAAATGCTTTCAAACTCCTAAAAAGTTACTTTTTTAAATTAATTTTTTACATTCTAATCCCAGTTCCCCCAGAAAGTCGCTATTTTAAAGATAACAGATATGTGCCATTGAATGGTATTCATGTCATTTAGAATATGTGACAACAGGTAATAGAAGTAAAAGTGATTAAAATCTCTTAATTTGTAGTCACATATGATCAAAAGGATCACTCGAGTGCAAACAACTAAGTATGTTGCTATTTTAAAGCTTGATGGTGAGCTGGGCATTGGTGATGCACGCCTTTAATCCCAGCACTCGGGGTAGGCAGAGGCAGATAGATCTCTGTGAGTTAGAGGCCAGCCTGGTCTACAGAGCAAGCCAGGATAGGCTCCAAAGCTACACAGAAAAACCCTGTCTCGAAAAACCAAATACACAGACAAAAAAACCCATGATGGTGATATGGGGTGGGGCTTACCTATATGTTGTGTCCTTTACTGGCATCTTATTGCATCGGACCCATTTATCAGTGTCAGGATCTAATCTTTCTACCCAGTATCCAGTGATGGGACTGCCACCATCGTCATCTGGCTCACACCATGTGAGTGTCACTGCATCTTTAGTGATGTCAGATGGTTCTAGGCGAGTTGGAGGTCCAGGTGGATCTATAGACAGGATAATGATTAAAAAAAAGTCATACATTCTGTACCCAACACCTGAGTGCAAGATTGCCGTAAGCATCCTTTTTTTTTTTTTTTTGTTAGCTGATTGAGAATCTTACCAAACTGATATTTGGCTATTATTGGAGCAGCCTGCACTGGCTCACCAACACCATACATGTTCTCTGCAGCAACTCTGAAGATGTACTCTTTGTTGGGTGTTAATTTGGTTGCCTTGAAGTTTGTGTCCTTAACAGTGGATGAGAGCTTATGCCATACATCACTGTCTGTTGCTTTTCTCTCCACAACGTAGTTGGTGATCTTAGATCCACCATCATCTCTTGGTGGGTTCCATGTCAGAAGACATGACTCATTGGTCACATCTGTGATGTCAAAAGCAGCTGGTGGTCCGGGTTTATCTGTGGGTGGTATTACATGGGGAAAAAATGTTTTAAACTGTGTTCTGGTCAAGTAGCCATGGTAATTTCATCCTTTTAAAAAGAAGAGCCTCTCTTACCCAAGACATTCACTTCCACCACAGCAGTGGCCCGGCCGCAGACGTTCACAGCTTCTATGATATATGTGCCCGTGTCACTTCTCTTACTGTCTGTGATTGTCACTGTGGACTTCTTAGGAACGTTTTCAATGGTGATTCTTTGGTCTGGCTTCAGAACTTTATCTGCCTTTGTCCAAGTTATTTTAGGTTCAGGCTTTCCAGTCACAGTGGCAGGGAGCTCAATCTTCGTTCCAGCTTTCACAGTGAGCCCCGCAAGGAGTTTCACATCAAGGAAGATCTCAGGAGCCTCTGAATTGGAAAAGATTATTCATGCTGTTAGTGAATTCAAGCAGACAAGGTCAGAGGCCTGACTGACAAGACAAGAAGGAAATGATAAATACCCTGTGTGTCCACTGCCTGGATCTCTTCCGTGGGTTTGCTTGGCTTGCTAGCACCTTGCCTGTTCAAGGCTTTCACGCGGTAGGCATACCATTTGCCTTCCTCGAGACCTGTCACTTCCATTCTGCCAGAAAACAAAATAGGGGTTTTATTGTCATGTAGATAACCTATGACACTTACAGTTATATAGTATAGTTATTTTTCTAAAATCCATACCACTGACATAGTACTGCCTTTAAATGAAATATCTGGACTGTGGGGAGTAGAGGAAGCTCTGGATGTGACAGGAGTGGCTGAAATCCCGATGAATCATGTTGTTGGCATGAGCAAAATCATGTCCTCAGACCCATGGAAATGGCAAAGTCTTCCTCTGGTCTAAGTGCCAGTGTTGACAAACAATTGACCTTTAGGTAAGGCTAGTGTGTATAAAACGAACGACTATAGCTTCCTCCTCCTGGATGTTTACATCTCCCCTACCCAGACCTCCCACTGAGACCATCTAACCCCTCCTTTTTTTGCTGTATATAATAAACCTGCTGAATTTACTGGTATCATCGTATGTGTCCTCCATTACAGTGAGCATACCCCCACTGGACCACAGCATATCTCTATATCTCTATATCTATCTATCTATCTATCTATCTATCTATCTATCTATCTATCTATCTGCTATGTCTTCCATTTCTTCATTCTTGTGTTGCCCCAGTCAGATTTCTGGGACTAGGCTATGTTTGACTTGTAACTTGATTTTTCATTATTGCAACTAATGAAAACCTTGAGCAAGGCTGTCCATGCTTAGCTGAACTTTGTAAAACCAGTTATAGGTATACTAGGAGAACTCTTGGTAAGGAAAAAAAAATGAACATTTAACGTTGCCCAGGTAAAAATCTATTCTAGTGGGCAGGAATTAGAATTACTTATGTGTCTAAAAAACAAACACCTACTTTGTGTCTGCAACAGGCTCCCCACAGGCAACCCATTTATCAGAACCACGTGGGCACTTTTCAACTATATATCCTTTGATGCGCGAACCACCATCATTTTTAGGAGGATCCCATGTTAGGAAGATGCTCTTGGCAGTCCTATCTCTCCATTTAACATTCTCTGGTGGGTCAGGTACCGCTGTAATATTTAAAGGAGGACATTAGTCTTAGACAGGTTCCCCTCCAGTTACCTCCATTCTACCAACCTGTGCTTTCCCCTAAACTTTAACTCCAGGTCTAAAGCCAAAAGTAGGTAACACAGACCAGGCATGAACTTACTTGCAGGAGCAGACATATTTACAGGTTCATCAGTATATGCAGGTTCTCCAGGGCCACACTTATTTCGAGCACAGACCTTGAATAGATATTCCTTTCCTTGAACAAGATCAGGAACTGTGAATTCTAGATCAGTCACAAAGTCCATAACCTGGGACAAAAAAAAAAAAAAAAAAAAAAAAAAAAAAAAGGCCTTTGACTTTATTCCCTGAGTATTACCTCAAGGAAAAGATTTTTTTTTTTAGCATGAATATAGATACAAACTATTATTTTTTTTAAGACTGGGACTTTTCTATTTAGCCCAGACTGGCCTAGAGTCTACTACTATATAGTTCAGGTTGGCTATAAATCCATGGTCCTGCCTTAGCCTCTATAAGCATGTGCCTCTACATCCTGCTTACTCTAAAGTTGTTTTAAATGAAATCTTAGTGCTATTCTCATATTAATTTTGTATTAGGAAAAAAACAGAAAAGTGGGTATAATAATATTCTTCCTTAAATATGAGAAATAGATTCATAGTTTTCATCCATTAGAAAGATGGTAGTTTGTTTACTAGAAATTTAATTTTAAATGAGAGTAATAATGGGCAGGGGGTGAACTCATTGATGTAGTTGCTATTTAGCATGTGAATCTAAGTTTTGTTTCTAGTACTGCAAAATGTGTGTATATAGATACATGTAACACACACACACACATACACACACATACACACACACACACAGCATAAATGGAGAAAACAGTGGCAGATCAGGTTAACTAAGATAAATCTAGTGCAGTGAGGGGGAAAAAATATGACCACTGGGGCAATAAATATTTCCTTTGAAATGGCTTATAGCACAGTGTTTGCATTGTGAGTACTCATTAGATATCAAGTATATAAGTAAGCTTTCTTTTATGTGTTAAACAAGCCTAGCTGAAAACAAAATGGGACAACTATACCAAACCCTGGCTAAATTCCCCAAGGAATGTTAAAAAGGTTGTGATACTTTTTCATGAGACAAAGGTAAAATGATTGATGTAGCACATGACCCATCTGTATAGCCTCCCAGTCTCCTCCTGGGATTTCCTCCATTCTCTTTTCTAAAATTGCTGCGTTACCATGCAACACTCACTTTAGTCCATGTTTTCCTGCTCATTTCTCTCTTTTCAATAACATATCCAGTTAGTGGACTTCCTCCATCATCGTCTGGTGGTTCCCAAGTCAAGTGTACAGAATCCTTTGTTATGTCACTAAATTTCAGTTCTTTGGGTGCACTTGGGGGAGCTAATAAAAAGAAATACAGTGAAACTCAATATGGTTGAGCCAATATGTGTTAATACAGGCAATCTCATTAGCTAGCAAGAGTTTAATTCCTTACCTATGACATTGACATCAATTTCTCCAGAAATCGACTTCACGGGATTTTCTAATGTGAGTGTGTAAATACCCTTGTCTGTCCGTTCACTTGGAGAAATGACAAGTTCAGCATAGGCTGATATGGTCTTCATTTTTACTCGATCCCCCTCTTCTAGTACTTGATCTCCAAAAGTCCAGGTTGCTTTTGGTCTTGGATAGCCTGTGCTTGGAACCAGGATCTTGATGGGATTTGGGACTATAACTTCCAGGCCATCTTTAAATGCGCTCAAATCCATTGTTGGTTCAACTACCAAAAACAAAAATCAATTAATTTCTAGCACTATATTTATGTCTCTGGCCACCAGAAAATGTGTGTGCTATTCCCTAATGTAAAAAGTAAAATATTTATTTACCAAAGGCATCATCAGCTGTGAGAGGACCAAGGATCTCAGATGGATCTGAAACACCAGCTGCATTCTCTGCAGATACTCTGTATAAGTATTTGTTCCCTTTGTGTAATCCAGTGACCTAAAATTACAAGTTAGCATTAGTTAACATCATTTTTTATTTAATCCCGTGAACTTACACATATATACAATATATATATATATACATACATACATACACACACACACACACACACACACAAATACGTGCAAACTCCTTACCTTGTAAGTCAGTTCAGGGACAGGTTTCATATTGCAGCGAATCCAATTGTCTTTTCCTTCTTCACATCTTTCAATTATATAGCCCAATATTGGGCTGCCTCCATCTTTCAGAGGAGGCTCCCATGTGAGCTGCACTGATGTTTGTGTCTGATCTGAGGAACTTAGGTTCACAGGAGGACTTGGTCTCTCTAGAATAGCCAAAAGATTTGGGACATACAATTTTATTGAGTGACAATTTATTAAGGCATGGAATGATCCTAACAGTCTCATCAAACAAAATAAGTGTATAAACAATGTGGGCACAGTCTTGACTTTTACAATTTTGTTTTAAGTTTGTGGATGCTCTACCATTTATTTTGTGTTATTTGATTAGAATGATTTGAATGAATAGATTTAATTCTTTGGCTACATGCAGTGTTTATTTCCCCTTTTAAGTATTATTATGATCTTACCTATTGGATCAGCAACTTTGACAAAGGGTGTGGCTGTACTTGGTTTCCCAACTCCAATTCTGTTCTGGGCTCTGACACGGAAGCTATACTCCTGTCCTTCAACCACATCAGTGACTGTTGCTGATAGGTCTTCAGCTCTTACAGTCATGGCAGTGTCCCACCTGATAGAAGTCTTGTCTCTCAATTCAATCACATAGTTTGTGATTTCAGCACCTCCATCATACTCTGGTGGCTCCCATGTCAGTGAGACACCAAATCTATTCACATCAGTGATGGTGACATTCAAAGGAGGGCCTGGAACATCTGCATGTCACCACAGAAGAAGTACACATGAATTTGTATTATGTTGGAGATAAACACAAAGCTAAGCTAGTTGGCAATTTACTTAAATACTTCTTACCATATTTGCTCCTGGCTTCCACAGGATTGTCAGTTTCTACTGGTTCCCCAGTGCCAACTCTGTTCCTTGCACTCACACGGAATAGGTACTCTACTCCTCCTTTCTGTAGTCCTGTGACAGTAAACTCACAGCTGTCTGCTCGGTCAGTGGCCAGAACCCAGGTCTTTCTCTTGATATCACGCCGTTCAACAACATAACCTATGATTTTGCTCCCACCATCTGTTAATGGTTCTTCCCAAGCGAGGCTTACTTCACCATCGAATGTTTCTGTGACTTCTAAGTTACGGACTGGCCCAGGAACATCTGCAATTTACATATCACAGAATGTTTAGTAGCGCTCTGCCTTTAAGCGGTGCTGTGCCAATCAAGTCTGAGTGACTCGGTGGCTTACCAATAACTTGTAAATTGATAAAGCCTTCTGCTTTTCCATGCTTGTTCTGAAGCACGATTTTATACCTCCCCTTGTCTTCTTTTTTGGCTTCTAAGATTCTGAAAGAAGTCTGCTCAGCTGTAGTGTCTACAGTTTTTGTAGACAGAGGTTCATTTTCTTTAAACCATTCAGCTTCTGCTTTGGGGTAGGCATCGTAGGGCACTACCATTGTCAGGGGCTGCCCAGCATCAACCACGAGATCCTGATCAGATGTCTTGATTTTAGGTGCAGCTAGTGAGAACAAGAACATACAAATGTATTTGAGTTATATCTTGTAGTTACTCTATACATTTGCTAGCATCATCATAACCTTGGAAGTATGCCACATTAACTTTATAGCAGAGAACACTGTTCAAGGGTTATAATACTTCTCCCCTACTCCAAACCATCAGCCTTTAGAAAAAGAGGGTTGAAGATGGTGTCAGTCATTAACATCTAGCCTTCATTAAAAACAGTAGCAGTGGACCTAGAATACAGTGAAATGGGCTTTGCTTTTGTGGTTGAAACTATTTTATAAACTAGGTTTTTGATAAAGTACTGCCTACCTAGTTCAGGATAAATCAGGTGTGTGTGAGTGTGTGTGTGTGTGTGTGTGTGTGTGTGTGTGTGTGTGTGTGTGTGTGTGTGTGCAAGATATATGGACCAATAGTTTGTTTTGTTTTGTTTTGTTGTTTTTTTGATACAGGGTTTCTCTGTGGCTTTGGAGGCTGTCCTGGAATTAGCTCTTGTAGACCAGGCTGGTCTCAAACTCACAGAGATCTGTCTGCCTCTGCCTCCCAAGTGCTGGGATTAAAGGCATGCACCACCACCTGGCACTAATAGGGTTTTTAGAACAAACTATGCAGTTATCTTGGGCCAAGATGAGTATATATCTGAAAGATCCACAGGAGTTGTGCCACAGTAGAGTGTGGGATTGTCATTAATTCTATGAATTCATGAGCAGCTGCCATGTGCCAGGAATAATCCAATGGTATAACATAAATGCCATTAACTTTCTCTTCATAGTAAGAGAAAGAAGAGTATCCAACATGCGGAATGGGCTTGAAAACCATAGGCTTTCTCAAGGAGTATTTTGCTATAACTGAAATCTACGTAAGCTCTGTGATTTCATGAGAACACTACAAAGCAAAGGAAGGCAACTTACCTGCTAATTCAAGTTTAGCCCTGGCTTCTTTATCTTTGGCAATGAATCTGTATTCACCCTGGTCACGTGGCTTAATATCACAGATCTGTAGCCTGTGTATCTTTCCTTCACTCATCATCTGGTGCTTGTCACCCTGGACAACAACCATATTATTTCTAAGCCATTGAACCTCCACTTTATCTTTGTTGAGCTCAGCCAAAAAGATAACATCTGCACCAGGGGCTTCAAGAATATCTTGAGGAGGCCTGATAATCTCAACAGGGATTTCTGGAAAGAAAATGTAAACATAAAAACACATGTATGCTTGTCTTTTTTATCAACATCATAAAAAATTGTCTCTTCAGCTAGAATTATTCTTAAAGCCAATACACACCTTCTACAAAAAGTCTAGCTCGGGACTTCCTGTCCTCCACGCCACAAGCGTATTCGCACTCATCCTCCAGCCTGCAGTCCTTTATGATGAGTCTGTGTATGCTTCCATCCTTTTCAAATTTGTATCTGAAGAAGAGATTGAATGGTTAGTTAGCTTGCAGCATGAGTGTTAGTGTTAGACTGTCAGCCTGCACACAAAAACAGCAGAGCAAGGGCACCAAACTCTTTTTTTTTGCATACTTTTTGCCTTCCTTGATTTCTCTTCCATTTCTGTACCATTTTACATTGGCTTTCTCTCTGGAGAGCTGGCAGGAGAAGACAGCATCATCAAACTCTGTGACTGTCTGGTCTTCCAGGTGCTCCACGAATTCTGTTGGGGCTTCGATGATAAGCAGCTCTGCAACCGATTTGTCTTGTCCAGCAGTGACAATGTATTCACCTTCATCTGGAAAGCCACAGTCCTTGATGATTAGAGAGTGCTTGTACTTATCAATTCGATATGATATGCGGTTGTCAAAAGCCACTTCTTCTCCATTTTTGGTCCACTTGAGTGTTACGTTGAGACGATTCACCTTACACCAGAATGTGACCGATTTCTTCTCCATTGTTTCAATATCTTTAAGAGGCTCAACAATCCTCAGGTCTTCCTCTGTGGTAATAGAGAACAATAAAGTTGAATTTAGTTGTTTGTATAATATTAATTGCTGGAAAAAAAATTCTCTAGGACCATCTAAGTCACATACCTTCCACTATTAGATTGGCTGCGCTTTTAACATTTTCACCTCTGTGATTAGTCAAAGACACATTGTAATTGGCTTGGTCATCTAAGCGTGCATCTCTGATTCTGAGAGTGTAGACCAGGTCTTTTTGGAGAATGATGTATTTTGAACTATCAAATATGGCTTCTTCATTTCTGAACCATTTGGCTTTGGCACCTTCAGTATTGACTTCACAGTTGAAGACAACCTCTTGTTGTTCTTTTACCTTGGTGTCCTTAAGAGGAACTATGATCTTGAGTTTTTCTGTAAACAATCAATAAGACTTTTAGCATGACAAAGGACCAAAACTACAAATATATCAATCCCAAGAAGCAAGGACAAACTTACCAATGACTGTCAGGTGAGCTGCAGCTCTGGCAGCCCCAACCATGACTACGTAAGTGCCCATGTCTTGTAATGTGGCATCTTTCACTACGAGGACTCTCTTCTTGCCATCAGCAATGATGTCGTATTTGTCGCCAGGTTCCAGTGTCTGATCATCCCTCTTCCACTGAACTTGGAAGCTTTCCTTTGAGATTGTGCAGACAAACTCGGCCTTTTCTCCTTCAAGTATTTCAAGGTTTTGAGGCTTTGAGATGAATTCAGCAGCAAGTTCTGGAAAGAAAAGAGTTGGAAGACATGGAAAGCATAGGCATTTGTATCTTAAATACGACAAGGAGGAAAAGATTAGAGATGCCCTTCTCTGAGATTTTCATACCATGGACTTTGACTTTGCCATCTGTCCGAGAACTTGGGAGTCGACAGTTGTAGCTGCCTGCATCCTCAAGCTGTGCGTTCTGAACTATCAGGATTCTCTTCCTTCCATCAGTAAGAATTTCAAATCTTCCTGTTTCTATGATCTCCTCATCCCCTTTGTACCAGATCACTTCTGCCCCGGGCTTGGAGACTTCACACACTAGTTTGATAGTGTCTCCTTCACTAACTTCAAGGTTGGCAAGATTTTTTGTGAAGACAGCTTCTTCCTCTGTAGAAAAGAACCCAAATTCATTCAGTGAAACTGGAAGTGGGTTTTCCTGACCAGTACATTTAAGCAAAGAAAGACTTCATGCTCACCAAGAACTGTCAGCATGCCGGAAGTTCTGGCTGTCCTCACTTCACAGGAATATTCTGCTTCATCATTCAACAGACATTTGTTGACGACAAGAATTCGTACTGCTCCCTTAGAAATGATGTCATACTTTTTGCCCTTTTTAATTTCAGCACCATCTTTAAACCACTGAACCTGTATTTTAAATCAAATAGATTTTTAAAAAATCATTTTCATGTTGTTCCCTCATATGGTATCCCTAACAGAAACTAGGGGAAGTAGGATCCTGAGGACTTTAAAAAAGCAATCATAAGACATTATAGTATTATGAAGGAGGGCAGATAAAAATATAAATAAAAAGACACAAGAACAAAGTTACCAAGTACTGTTGACCCACTATGATACTATTACCAATTATGAAAATAAACCCAGGATTATGCAAGTTTTGAGTCTTGGAGGCCTTAGATACCACACGTACCACCTTCACTGCTGTGAAAACAAACTGAAAATTGAAGGAATTTGGCAATAATAATAGTTCATGGCAACCAGAAATACTTAGCTAAGATAGGGAATTACTGCTACTTAATATTTTTTTAATCTTAAAAAATAGCAATTCCAAATGGCTCTAAATAATAAATCTCTTATGGGTTCAAGGTTTTTCTATCAATTAATACTAAAGAGAATAATTAAGTCAGGTCCATCTTTCGTGCTAAAATATTTAATCTAAAGTGGGAGTCAGAGAAAAAATTAGCTATTTTTTTCTTTCCTTTTATTTGGCCAAAAGTAAACAAAGCTACTTGATAATCTAAGATAACATCATGTAGTCACAGACCTTGGCATTTTCCTTGGAAATTTCACACTCAAACCGAGCTGTTTCTTTTTCTTTAACTTGAAGGTCCGTGAGTGGTCTTAGGAATTCCACATGAGGAGCTATAAGAGAATGGCATTGGAATTCAAACAAGGCTCCTGCAATTTTATCCTGATACTTTTTTTTTTCTGGTAAACATTAAGAAAAAGTTACACTCCCCCTGCCTTGGTTTTTTCAAGATAAGGTTTCTCTGTGTAGCTAGGCTGGCCTCAAACTCAGAGATCCTCCTGCCTTTGCCTCCCAAGTGCTGGGACTAAAGGCTGTGCTGCCACCACCCAATTAGAAAAAGTGACTCTCTTTTGCAAAGGACTTCTTATTTTCCTCTTCCTATCTTAATAGACTGCAACTGACATTGAAATCACTTGCAGCTTCCATTGGGAATGATGCTTTACTTTGAAACTCTCTAGCTCACATACATTATGTTTTACTACGCTACCAACTTAGTTCTTTTGAACTGAGACTCATCTCTTTTGAATGATTACTGTAGGAAATGCCTTCTCTCTTTCGGTACTATTCCTTTGTTTGAAGGAAACAAAGAAAACACTAGTAAGGAAAGAAACATCATTATGAAACCAGTAGAATTCAAAGACAATAGTCTGAATTCAAAGATAATAGCTCTGTCTATGGCTATAACGCATGAGTCCACTTGGAATCACATATATCAGCTTTTCATTTTTGACTCAGCTTTAAAGACTTCACATGCAAATCAGGCATGTATTAGTGTGACAAACACTGTGCTCTACACAGGGCGTTGATTTGGCTTTTATATCTGTCAGTTCATGCATCTCCAGAAATCTGATGGCTGCTGGATGGGGTAGAGCAGCTGCCTCCTGGCCCTTACATCTTTCAGAGCTCCTATCAGGCCTTTCCAAGTTGACTCTTTGTGATCATGAGGTTCTCAGACCAATGCTAGCTGACAAGCTTGAAGATAAAAGCCATCAAAGCTGAACCTTCTCCAAAAGGAAGTAGATGACAAAGGGAAGAAACTTCATGGGGCTACTCGGAGGTAAGTTAAAGTAGAGGAACCAAAGCATGGAAAGAGTGACGCAGTACAAGATGCTGGAAGCATGCACACTCAAAGCCACTAGGTTTAGTTGACAGATGAGAAGCAACATAGCCAAGCAAATACTGCACAAAAATACACCATGAAAATGTTTTGCTGGACAAATGAATCAACAAAGCAAATGAACTAGCTAGCACTTGGCATACTGAGATGAGGGGTTATTTCTCCACCAGAGTAAGAAGCCATAGTAAAAATGATAGAGTTCTTTGTTCAAAGAATCCAGGACTCAAAGGACCTGGGCCTCATTCAGCTTCTCATCCATCCTTATTCTCAGATTGAATTATGTGATTGGTTGTTATATTATAGTTGTTCTCAAGTATGTTCCTGTTCAAACAACCTTCATTTTCATTTTTCAGACTTCTCCAGGCATGAAAACTTATCTTCCAAATTGAATGAGGGTTCTGTAGTTCTCCTAGTGAGTCAGTTTGTTTTCATCTCTAGCAGGTATTCATATAGTGGGTATAATCACATACGGACAAAGAGCACAGAAGTACAGGGAAACATGGTTGATAGCTTTCCCAAGGCCAGACAGAACACAAGAATGTTTTAAAAAGAAACATGTGATGTATTGGGTTAGGTCAACATCCATACTGTAAGTTGCCAAGAATTATGATTAGGCCAAGATGGGCATGCACAAAGTGTCTTGGTTTTTGGCTACAAAGAGTTGCAAGTGCCAAGTCCTGTGGAGGAATACTTACGAACAACATTCAGGTTACAGGAAGTCTTAAAATCCTTAGCATCGCAAGTGTACGTTTTGATATCCTCAGGGGTGCAATCATGTATAATGAGTTTTTGGACCCTGCCATCAGCGATGATTTCATACTTCTTGCTTTTGAGGATTTCTGTTCCATTTTTGAACCATTTCACCTTGGCATTTTCTCTGGACACTTCACACTCCAGGACTGCAGTGGCCTCCTCTTCGACCGTCTGGTCTTCAAGAGGCTTAGTGAACTCAACTGGGGGTTCTGAAAGAGTCATACTAATTAGCGGCTTCCCATCTCCAAGAGTTCCAGAACTTTCTCTAATTCCCTCTGGCATCTCCAGGGTTGCTTCTGGTCTCTAAGTTTACTCATTTGTGAAGCTATTTTTCACTTAGATGGTTTCCTTAAATAGTGATGTTTTATCATTATTCATACATACAGAGACAAAAAAAATTTCTATGATTTTTCCCTCCCACTGGCTAGCCTAGAAATTCATTATGTAGACCAGGCTGGTTTCAAACTTGTGGCAATCCTTCTGCCTCTGCCTCTTGAGTGTGAGGCTTATAAGAAAAGTAATTATAAAATAGTTATGAAACATAAAGGAAATAATGGCTAACGCTGTTTCATAAAAGGAGTTGGTAATAATTATTTTATCATTTGGTTTTGGAACTAGTAAAAAATACAATTATAACATGTTTTCTCCCTATGTTTAGGGAGAGAAAGAGTATGTAAAATGCACATTTGTTTTTTGTTTTGTTTTGTTTTGTTTTTTCTTCTGAGACAGGCTTTCTCTCTGCAGCCCCGACTGTCCTGGAATTCACTCCATAGACTAGACTGGTCTTGAACTCACAGAGATCTGCCTGCCTCTGCCTCCTGAGTGCTGGGATTAAAGGTGTGTGCACTGCCTCACCATTGATAAAAAACTTTATTTTGTAATGCCAAAATGTAAAACTAGACTTCTGGATACTTGATTTTAATGATTTGTGGTATGCTTGCACAAAGACAATTAAGAGGTTGCATTAATTTATGATTCTCTTCATTATATGTGTGTTTAGAAATAAGCTATGCAATTACCTTTCACAAAGAGATTGGCCTGAGTTTTGAAATCCTTTGCTGTCAGCTGGACTTCTCCTGCATCTTCTAGCTTCACATCCCTGAGGGTGAGTGTATGAACTCTTCCTTCTGAACGTGTCACCACCTAGTTGCGTTTTAAAAGAGTACAGGTAACCAATAAATGAAATAGCCACCTAGAATGCAGGTTCCTTAATTCACTTAGGTAAACTATGTAAGAGTGTTATCTACATTGGTTTATAATCATATATGTTGCATATATATTTTTTCAAGTGACTTCAACATATTTTTCGAAACTTTTAGGCTTTCTTAGTTACCATTATATAAATATGAGGTGACCTTTTATGTTGAAATTGCACACACCAATTTCAATTTATATTTATATTTTTGACCTTGTGAAAAATATGTGTGATTATAGATATGTATGCATTTCTGCTTTGCTTTGGGTTTCTGTGCAGAAAGAATTTAGAGAAGTTAAAAGTGAAAAAAAAATGATTGGCTACTGTAAGTTGAAAGTAGATTTTTTTTCTGAAAGAAAATTGTATTTTCTAATGGGAAGGTAATTATGTAAATACAAACTAACACTCTTTTCACATTTACTTCAGCAATTAAATTTATTTTGGAAATGAATGTGATTCATGATTAATTTGTACAATTTTTGAATTTTGTTATTAAATTTCTTTGATGTTGACTCTTCATCTTCCTATGTTCGAACATCAGTAATAGGAAAGTCAGATATCATTGGGAATGTTGTAAGTAGAATCATTCTGGAGTAATGATTGGGGTTTGTCTAGTTTTAGAACCTAAGATTCCTCAGGAACTCTGCTCTGTCATTGGTTTTAATATTGCTTAAATGTCCTTTTAGAGTTAAGAATTATATCAACTTTAAGAATTATATCGACTGTTTCCTGGTGAAACTATTTGTATTTATTTTGTTAGAGGCAGAAGAAAGAATAAGGAAAACAGTTTCACTGAAACGTATATTCCTCGAACAAGAACACAGCATCGTTATTCGTATAATTGTCCTTAATACTGAGAATAGCTAAAATAATGATAAAGAACAATGTACAGCTAGGAGACAGTAGTTAAGATTTACCCTAGGTACATAGCTGCTACTTACTTGAGGAAGTAGGGTCTGAAAGAGACTTTTAAAAAAATGTATGACTATGAATTTTGAAGTTTGACTTAAGGCCACTTAAAAGGAACTTCATTTTCTAACATATACACAAATACATAATTTCTATTAATGCATTAATTTGCCATCTGAGTTATTCTGAGAAATCTATAGGATATTTTCTGTCACTGAATATATTACCCAGAATATAGTGGGTTTCCAATAAATGGCCTATGCAGACCATAGTCAGTATTTTGACTTTGTTTGAATAAAAAGCAAATAAAAAAGGAAATACAACAGATAGGAAAACAAACCAACAAAATGAATGTCATATATTTTTGGTAGAATATATAATGATAATACTAATAGTTATCCTTTATTGATTTATAATGGAGCATACTGGTGGAACACAGACAGCACTACCAAGCTGTTAAAAGTTAACTACAAAATTACCAAAAGCCTCTGAGAATTTAGCATTTAGCCATTTTTACTTGGCCAAAGGGAATAAAAACCAAAAAATGAAAGAAAAATATAGTTTATTTCCAGAATGCTCTCTTTCAGTTTCCCATGTCTGTAAGTTGTTTTGTCTGTTTGCCTCTTGGTGTAGAGGTTAAAGATTTTTTTACAAAAAGTATAGATAAAAAGGCTTGAGTTACAATGATAAGAACAATTTGTGTTATTAGACTTAATTTATTCAAAACCCATAAACTATAATAAGTGAACATGCTACTTTGCAGTTTATCCTTAAATTCCTTTTGAAAAGAGACATTTAAGAGGTACAAGATCAAGTTCATAGGAGGATTACTATTTTGGGGAGGTGGTAGGGACGGATTAACATTCCTATGCACAGGGACACACTGAGCAGCAGCCCTCTGACTCCAGTGGTCCCACCCTTCCTAACCCTAGGAAAAAATGTAAAGATAATAATAGATTTTCCTATCTGAGTAAAACAAATGCAAGATTTTTAGGAACCTACATTTAAGTCCAAATAGTAGAGTTTTTGCAATAGAATGGAGAGTCATCTTTCTTTTGCTTTCTAATAAAAGCTCCTAGTTTGACCCCTAAATAAGAAAGAAGCTATACAAGACTGAATAGGAAAAAAGTAGTACATATTTACACAAGAACTTGAGATGAATCCGGCACCTGGTTCAGTATTTAGAAGACTTTGTTGTAAGGGAAGTTTTTTGGTGTGTAAATTAATTCTCATGCTATAACTGGAATGTTCTGCTACCTTTTCTAGTTGGTAACAATGGAAACCAAAGGTCATGGTCCTCTGTGTGCTGGGCAGAACTTACCTACCAGATGACTGCCACCAGGTTATGACTTAGTCATCTAGTAGAATACTAATTTTAAAATCTGTTTCCAAACATCTACTACGAGAAGGCATTGTGCTCTAGTACTCCAGCCTCCTGGTAAGACTAAATCCCCTTTTAGGGATTTTTTTTGAGTCTTCAAATTTTGATTTGTATAGAAGTTTTACATATGGTCAGTATTATTTCTGGAATATTGGGCAATGTGAAAGCCATAGAACAAGGAAATGTCCTGTATTTTTCTGTTTTTTTTTTTTTTTAATGTTTTATTTTTCAAGGAACCAAAATACATGGCAAATTTTCAAGCTAATTTGAGTATCACCTCTACACTGTATAGGGCTTGTGTAAGTTTAATTTCCTGATCCAGACAGAAACCCAGGAGGTATAGAATACATAGATTGATTTAGGCCTCTCTGAATAAATGGCTCAGTTTTCACTTTTTGGTGGAAACTATACAAAACTGAATAGGAAAAAGGGTAGACATATTAAAACAAGAAACTTGAGATGAATCCAGCACCTGGGTCAGTATTTAGAAGACTTAGGAAAAGCTAAGGTAGTTTATGCAAACTTCTCAAACATTTATTCATTTACACATTGGATCCCAACACTCTTCATTCTCCCCCATTCCACCAACTATGCTTTAAATAGCCCTCTTGCATTCCAGAATTTGCATAGCCCGAAGCACTTGAGTGTTAAAAATAGCATTGGAGAAATGCTAGAAGAGAAAATCTGCTCAGAAGTTATCTCTCCGACTCTACCAACTGCCTGAAATGGAGTTCTAGTCTCCTCTTAATCCGCTTATATGCAAAACACTAGATAACACAGGAGGAGCCCCTGAGCAGGGCTGCTGCTGAGAACCCAAGTAGAAAGTCCCCTTTCTCTCTCCTTTCTTTCCATCACTCCCACAACCTAGCCTTGATGGCTAATGAGCACTGGCCTTTTTTCCTTTCCCAGGAAAACTACAACCTGATCATATTGAAAGGTGTTACTTCTATTTTAGTAAAACACCATCATCAGGTTAAACTTAACGTAAATTTGTAAACTCCACCTTACAGTTTCAGGGGAAATCAAGTTAGAGGCAGGAGAAATGCAAAGGCTGTAGAGGGGACATTAGAAAGAACAAGCAAAGGACAGTTACAGTGACCCTAAAGGAGAGAGGCAAAGCAGCGACTGTGTGCCCTCCCACTTTTTACCTTATCATCAGGCTCCAGTTTCTTCCCTTTGAGGTACCATTCCACTGGAATATCCTCATAAGAGAGCTCACAGTCAAAGGTGGCTGTTTCCCCTGCAGTCACTGTGACATCCTTTAGAGGCCTCAGAAGACCAATTATCCGTGCTTTACGAGAGGAAAGAAAATGCCTTGTATTACTCATTCTGTAATTCCTCAAGAATAAACAGATTTAATTCTTCATTTCCATGGTTGTTTTCTTCAAGAAGGAAAGAACCACAAGACTGGCTGCTGTTCTAACTTCCATGTGTGTGTGGCCCCGTGGTGCTGAGAAGGGGAGAGCAGGCAGCCAAAGAGCTGGTGTTTGTAGGAGCCCCTTCTTCAGGATATACAAGGTCAGCAAGAAATCTGGGCTGCATCTGTCTCTCTGCCAGGCGTCAAGTTCCTCTTGCTACATAAGGTATGTGACCTCCAAAATAACTAAGGCTCTGATTGGGAGAGACAAGGGGTCCTCGGCCCCACAGCCTGTCCATGTCCATCAACCACTTTGCACCTTCCAAAAATGGGAACCTACTTTTTCTACCTCCCTTCTTGAGTTGAAAATGCCTACACAGCAAAAGTATTCTCTGTAGGGCTACTGTTGGATAGTCACTTGAGCGATATGGTTTTTTAAGAATTTTAAATTCTCAGTTCTTACTGTATGTTTATCTGTTTTGAATGAAAGGATTGCTAGAAAAAAATCTAACTTTAATTTGTTATTGTTGTTCAAAGTCACTAAAAATATCAAGACTTTAGAATCTGAAGAACGTTTACATCAGGAGGTCAAAAAATACATAGAAGAAAGCCAGTTTTTATACATATAGAGTGTTTTATAATCTCAATTAATTTTACATGTGTTCATTTTCCATGAAAGTATGGGGTAAATTTTTTTTTATCAAAAAACACATAATACTTACGCTTAACTCGGAGATGGGCACTGGATTTGACATTGGCAGCTTGGAAATCTACGCCACCAGTCTGGTCCAGACGGCAGTTGTGTAAGATGAGAACGTGTATCTTGCCTTCTTCTTTAATTTCACATTCCTGTGCCAAAGAAGAGAGAATAGTGTTCAGACTTTTTTCATGGATATATAATATAATTTATAAAAAGACACTACAAATGAATGGTTATATACACACTTTTTGTATGAAATACAGCTCCCAGGTACTAATAAAAGAAGTATTTCTTTTAGCTGTGTAATTCTGAACTAGCGGCATTATAGAATACATATGCCTTATACTGTGCTGGGCAAGAATCAGTAAAAATGACCTTCCTGTTCCATTCATAGACCCCAACATCTCTCTTTAGCTACAGGCCCCATACAGAACTTGATACCGTGTGTCAAATGCCCCACATGCACTCTGACTTTTCGCCTGTCCTTTTCCATTTCACACTATTCCTCTTAAGTGCTGACAGGTTCAGAAATAGCCATACAGGTGTTTGGAGCAGCGCCTCTCCCTTGAGTTTCCAGTTGGCATGGATATCATCTTCAGAGATTTCTGTTTCAAAGCGTGCCGTCTCAGTCTCCATCACCTCAACACTGTACAGGGGTCGCACCAGTTTAATTTCCCGATCTGGAAAAATGAAGGGTCAGCATGCACCATTAGTCTCTGCCAGAGAGGACTCCCATGGCAGCTAGAGGGAGACTTATGGGGATTTCCTCACCCTCAATGTCAAGCTTTCCAGAGGTTTGGTCTGTCCCACAGTCGCAGGTGTACTGGCCGATATCGGATTTCAAGGCTTTCTTGAGGATCAGCATCCTCTTCTTGCCGTCAGCCTTAATAACAACATTTTTCGATGGCTTTATTTCCTTCCCGTCCTTAAACCATTTCACAGGTGCATCTGCTTTGCTGATTTCACACTGAAGAACCACTTCATCCTTCTCCACACCTGTGTAATCTTGAAGCTTCCCTGTGAAGTATGGGTCTCCCTCTGCAGGTGAAGATAAATGGAGAACCGTCATGTACCTACAGAGCTGGGGATCCCTGAGAAGATGTAATGGTATCTCAGAGAGTTCCAAGCAAGCTTTAGAATGGTACCAAATTGTCCATCATTTAGCATCTTTAGTTTCTAAATGTTAGGAAGAGAATCAGTACACAGGATGTATCATGACTCAAAATAATCTGCTTTGACTCTTATCTGTTTGGACTTTTAAAAGAATTATCAGTAGCTTGAAGGACACATGTAGTTGAGCTTTTGGGCAAGTCCCTTTGCCATTTGTCCAGTCTTCCAAATTCTTATCCATTCATATCAGGAGCTTCCATAAACTTCAGTTTGTATCACTGCCCGCCCCCAATCTATCAAAAGTTTCCTGTGGGAGTATCTATGTATGTTAGATGTCATAAATGGATTCTCTTATATATACAAAGGACCAAGGAGAATAATGTGATTTGCTAAATTCTTTTTAGCTTCTCTCTGTAGAAACTTGAAAGGCTACAATTCTGAAATAATTTTGATGAAGGAAGGAGAAAGTACTTATGCATCTTATGTTACACGACAAGCCAGTTGTAATCTGATTCTGGCTATTTTGTGGGCCTAAGGGAATGATGATCACCTTACTTTTCTGTAGTTTTGGGTAAATATATTTCATAAATGCACTTGGCAATGCTTGTGGTGGTTTCTTTGGTGAATTTCCATGCAGCATTACACTCACACGACTATTTCATATCTCTCTCACACACACCATACTTTTCTGTTGAATTTAATATGATATAATTCAGTTGTAAGAAATGCCTACCCAGCACGGTGAGTTTAGCTTCTGAACTTATCCCCATAGCCTCCACTTTAATTTGGGAGGTGTCATCAATAGACAGGTCTTTGAACGTGATAGAGTGTGTTTTCCCCTCATCGTGCATGGAGACTCGCTTGCTGGTGTGCAGGCGCTGGTCATTCTTGAACCAGCTCACTGGGATGTTGTCATGGGACAGCTCTACTGTAAACACAGCATTTTCCCTCTCTTTGGCTGTCACGTCCTTGAGCGGGGTTAGGAATTTGAGCCGGATTCCTGTCAAAGAAAACCCAACTCATTATTTCTATCGCTTTAGCAAGGAAATGTAAAATTAAATTAAAAAATATCTAATTCTTTAGGCAGCCTACAGAACAAAAATAATTTACCTTCAATGATCAATTTGCCACTGGTACGTTTGTCCTCAGCTTCAAACATGTATTTGGCTTCATCTTCAAAAGCAGCTGACTTTATCACCAATGAATGCCTGGTGCCATCCTTGATGAGTTCAAACCTGTCATCACCCGTGATTTCCTGGGTTCCTTTTAGCCAGCGGAAGGTTTTGGGCTCCCTAGATACTTCACACTCAAATTTAGCCTCGTCTTTCTCGAAGACTTTGACGTCACTAAGAGGTGTGATGAAAATGAGCGGCAATTCTGAAAGAGAAGCCAGAGCAGACCACATGAGAGCATGCGTGCTCCCCCCCCCCCAGCAACTCTGTTTCTTAGCAGGGACCCTTGAATAGAAAATACTACAAGGCATCTGCATGCATAGCTACCTTTCACTTTCAGGTTGGCTGCTGATTTGGCATTGGCAGCCTGGAAGGAAACCTCCCCGGTCATATCCAGCTGACAGTTATAAAGAACCAGGACGTGTTTCTTCCCATCCTCGATGATTTCACAGTCCTATGAAGAGTGAACATAGACAGTATTTATACATACAGGACTTCTTTCAAGTCACCAAGGAATTATACTTTTGGGGGATGGGGGACCTGAAAAAAAAACAAACAAACAAGCAACCCCCTCCTATCTGACCAGTGCTGCTGTGGTCACTTACAGGAGAAGCAGTCAAAGGCTCTCCCTTTAACTTCCACTGGCCATGCACGTCAGGCTCAGACAGTTCAATTTCAAAGCGGGCCGTTTCACCCACAAACACTTCCACTCCGTACAGCGGCTTTTCCACTTTTATGAGTCGAGCTGAAAGTATACCCAAGGTTCTGTGAGTGGGACTGAGCCAAATACATTGCAGCTTCTGGGATGGGAAAATTTAACTTTGGGGGGAACTCACCTTCAACAGTGACATTGGCCTTGGTGGTGTCTGTGCCACAGTCACACACGTATTCGCCTTTATCTTTAAGTTCGGCTTTCTTGATCTTCAAGATTCGGCGCAGGCCGTCTGTCTTGATGGAGTGCTTGGGCGAAGGCGCGATCTCTTCCCCATCTTTGAACCACTTCACGGGTACATCTTTACTCACTTCACACTTGAGGATGATCTCATCCTTCTCAACACCGGTCTTGTCGTGTAATTTCACAGTGAAGTAGGGATCGGCCTCTGCCAGAGATACCCAGCATATCATCAGAAAAACAAAACAAAACAAAACAAAACAAAAAAAACCCCAAAACTCGGAGACTGAAGCCTACTAAACAACCTGGGGGTGGAGATACAAATTGTTACCCGTTCAGGAGCTGCTCCCACTTACCCAACACCTTCAGATTGGCTGTGGAGCTGAGGTTCTTCACTTGAGCTTTGATCTGTGAGATGTCATCCAGCGTCACCTCTCTCATTTCCAGTTTGTAAGTCTTCCCTTCAGAGGACATGAGCACCGTCCTGGTTGTGTGCAGCTTGACATCGTTTTTGAACCAGACTACATGCATTTTTTCATGAGAGAGCTCACAAACAAAAGTTGCTGTTTCACCCTCTTTTACGGTTTGATCTTCCAGAGGCGATATGAACTTCAGTCGTATGCCTACGGTGCAAGCAGATAACACATTCAGGAACACAGGTCTACAGAAAGATCCTGCTCTGTTCTGTGTGGGTAAAATGCAGCCACCTCATTGTTCTTTTTAGATGGGATTATTCTTCATTTTAAGTTAAGTGTTTTGGGGGTGATGGTTTATTGTGTGTGTGTGTGCCTGTGCATGTGCGTGTGTGTGTGTGTGTGTGTGTGTGTGTGTGTGTGTGCTATGACACTGGAAGTAAAGTAGTAGTGACACTAGCCATTAATCACTAGTTCTTAGAACTTGGTATCCTGTCTTTAAATTAATCAGAAAAACAAACAAGGACATCTACATACTGGATATACCATTTAGCTATCACGGATGGGCTGTTACCTGTCACAAATAACTGTGCTGATGTCTTCTTGCCCTCCACCTCTGCAGTATAGACTCCTTCATCATCAAACTGAGAGTCATTGATGACAAGAATATGTTTCTTTCCATCAGCAATGATATCAAATTTGTCAGATGCCTTGATTATATCAGGCCCTTTAGACCATATGACATTTGCCTCTCGGGTGAGGACACACTCAAAGCGAGCCTGTCGCTTCTCTGGGACAGTCACATCCTTCAGGGGTACGGCAAAGTCAAGTTCGATTTCTGCAAATCACATAGTAAGAAAATGTGAGATGTCTCAGATGTGGAGGAAGGGGAAATGAAGCTGAGTCCACTTCCTTGCTCTAAAGCTCTGTACCTTTGACTGTCAAAATGGCCGTTGTGACTGCATTGCAGGCCTGGTAGAGGACTTCACCAGCTTGGTCCAGTTTCACTTTATGCAAAGTTAAGAAGCGTTTTCCACCTTCAGCTTTGATTTCACAAGTCTGAAAGAAAAAACAAATGCAACTTTCATAAGTATTTGCACGAGATCAATTCCCTAGAGAACATTTCTGATACACGTTTCTATCGAGCATCAAACAATACACTAATGAGCATATGAGCAAAACATGGCCATTAGGAAAATTTACCAAATTTTGTTCAAGTTGTCCACAAAGAATGCATTAAATAATTTCCTGCCTTTGAAGTTTAGAAACCCAAGCCCACTGCTATTAAATGAAGCCTGCATATCCAATTTAAATGAGGCTATAGTGACTTCACATGGCTGGTAACTTCCAATGGGAAGTACTCACAGGCGAGGGCCTCAGAAGTTCTCCCTTCAGCTTCCACTCCCCAGGAATGTCTTGCTCTGAGATTTCTGCATCAAAGCTGGCACTTTCCTTCTCATAAATGGTGACATCTTCTATTGGTTTAAGCAGCTCAACATCACGCTCTGGATCAGTGAGAAATAAAGTAACACAATGCTTCAGACAATCTAGCCATACATCACTTTTTAAAATGAAGAATTTTATATGTGCATATAATATGTTTTGATCAAATCCACCCTGATTTCTCCCTCCCCTGAAACTCTTCTGTTACCCACTCCTTTTCCCTACCAACATCATGTGATAATTCTTAAAAAAAAAAAAAAAGCAAAAACAAAACCACTGAATCTACTACCCATTGCTACCTCTGTATGCCTGGGTGTAAGTTCATCTACTAGTTCATTTTTGTATTTTGGGGGTGATGTCTTGCTTTATGCACACACAGAATTTATCTTTCAGAGTAACAGGTAAGATTCTTGTACCTCCAAGCGTCAGCTTTGCTGGGTATCTTTTCCCTTCAATCTCTATTGCATACTCATCGATATCTTCTGGCATAGCATTCTTAATTTTGAGAATGAGATGGTTTCCCTCTTTCAGTATCTCAGTTTTGTCAGTTGGTTCCATGGGGATCTCATCGTATCCTTTGAACCACTTAAAGTTTGGTGTGTCCTTGGCGATGTCACAGGTGAAGACAGCCGTCCCCTTGGGCTTCACATGCTGGTCTCGGATAGGTTTCACCAGCCACTCCCTGATGATTTCTATTGGACACAAAGGGAGAAAGAAAAAAATGAGTTCTTTGGAAAATTCAGCAATAGGAAAAATTCATGAAACTGGATATAATTAATTTATGAGATGTTGATATTCCTCCTTTTAAACAAGGTATTAATGAGATTTTTGTTATTCAGACATTGGGAAACAGTTACTCTGTTTTCTTAACATAAAATGAATAATTTCACAGCAAAGAAATAACATATATATATATAGTCACATATTAGTAAGTTACTATATATTGTATGTACTATATATTAACTATATTACTATGCATTTTTTTTTTAGTTCTTTGTGACTTTTTTTTTTTTTTTTGGTTTTTTGAGACAGGGTTTCTCTGTGTAGCTTTGGAGCCTATCCTGGCACTTGGTCTGGAGACCGGGCTGGCCTTGAACTCACAGAGATCCGCCTGCCTCTGCCTCCCGAGTGCTGGGATTAAAGGCGTGCACCACCAATGCCCAGCATCTTTGTGACATTTTTAACAAAATAAAATATATTTATATCTTTGCTATATATATATATATATATATATATATATATATATATATATATATGTATGTATGTATGTATGTATAATATAGATATGTTAGATGTAGGTCTCATTTTGTTGTCTACACTGGACTTTTAATTCATGTGTTCAAGCAACCCTTTCACCTTGGCCTCACATGTACTCACCTACTACTTTTACACAGGAAGAACATTCCAGATTGTTGGCATTTTCCACAGTTACAGTGTATGTTCCAGCATCAGTATCATCTGCATCATTGATGGTCAGGGCCCGCATCAAGCCAATGACACCTGGCACAATCCTGCCTGGTTTCTCCACCACGATCTTGCCATCTTTCCTCCAGACCACGTCTCGCTCTTTGTTCAACTCGCAACTCAAGTACAATGGCTGTCCCTTGACCACCGTGACTTCCTCTTCCAGTGTTTTCACAAAACGAACAGGAAGTTCTGTGGAGAATTTCAATCAAATGCATTTAAAGTTTTCAATGAAATAAAACTTGGATGTTTTGTCTGAAACTACAACAAATGTTGCAACTGAGGTCTCTGTTCTAAAATTTAATATAGATCATGAGCAGAACTGCAAGTTACCTTCTACAATGAGCTTGGCTGTGGAGGTCTTTTCTTTATTTCCCAAACGTAGCACACAGGTGTATTCACCAGCATCAGAGAGCTGAACGTCAATGATATGCAGCTTTCTGTCTTTACCATCTGCGATGAATCTGTGCTTCGGGCTCTCACGGATGTTGCTACCATCCTTCATCCAGGTTGTAATGGCAGTGGATGGGGAGACCAAACATTCAAAGATGGCAGAAGAGCCCACAGACTCTGCCTCTGTCAAGACGATGTCTTTAATTTCTTTCACGAATTTCAGGGGCACAGCCTTCAGCTGGTAGGTGAATGGGGCTTCATCAGGAGGTTTCTCCCCACCACTTCCTGGTCTGAGCTTTTTCCTTTCAGCTTCAATTGGTGAAGGAGTCTTTTTGGCTACACCTAGTTCAGAGCAAAATGGAAAGTTAACTGGCCATCTCCATAGGCATCACAACATGAGTATGTGAAGTAATAAGAAGACAGGATTAGAGAAATGAAGACTTGACAACTGGAAGGTTGGACATAAAGATGAAAAAGCCCCCAAGAACTAACAGGCACACTTCCTTTTCTCAAGTTCCAGTTCTGTGTGTAAAATATCCAGATTAATATATAACTTATTATAAATGAATATATATGAATGAAAAAATCAAGATATAAATTCATCATGATAAAGTTTATTTGGTGTTGTTCATAATAGCTACTTGAATAATACTAATAGCAATGTCAGAAATAACGATCATAAAATTTGAAAACATTTCCCCTTGAGTGTAAAATCTGGAAGCTCACAAGGCAAAATGTTACCACGGGTGTGAGGAACATGTAACTCACCTTTGATGGGACCTTTAGGCTTGGCTGCTTCATCCTTAGGTTTGGCTTCTGAAATTAAGAAGATAAGCATTTGTACAATTTTCATACTTATTCCACTCTTATCAGGAAACCATGTGGGATGAGTCATGTTTTTTGTTATATATGTTAACATATAAAGAGAAAGAAGTTTCATTTAAATGGCTTCTACAGAGAATTCTTTGGTATTTCTAAGAAGTCATATTCTAAAATCAATGTAACCAGGTTAAATTGTCAACAGATTTAGGACTGAAAAATTGGTCAAGTGTCTGCTTGCATGTAGAAGGCCTGGATTCTAATAATTGCAATTAATAATGAATAAAAATAAAACTTTTGACAGTTATCATTATTCTCTTACCATATCTGGAGGACTCACTACCAACCTGTGAGAAAGGGTTTTGCCCTTGCTTATTTATACAAACTGTTTTAGAAGATATTTTATATGTTGATTATATGAGCCAAAGAAATTAAAATATTTTCCCCAATAATGGCAAAAGGGCCAGAAATAGCCAAAAATCCTTTTTTTTTGTTGTGGTTGGTATATAGATTGAATAGACTAATAAATGCAGAAAAGACAAAGGACATTAGCCCAGGAAGAGTCAATATCCTTTTTATAAATAATGCTGAAATCATAAATACAGGTGACTAAGTATAGCATAAACATTAATAAATAAACTATATTTAAAAGAACATCCTCTATTCCCCTATTAAACACAACCAAAACGCAAATAGTTGTGGGTAACTTAAAATAAAAATTTAAAGTGACTTAGTAACTTGTCAAAGGTCAACCATTTTGAATGTGTATAATGATAGCAATCACATGTCCAGTTAGGTTTAGTTTAAAGTTATTACCTAATGACAAAATACTGAAGAGTCCAAATATTGGAAGTCAGTATCTTAAGTTTGAACTTGAGATGGCTATACTCTTTAGTATATTTAAAAACTACTACTGATTCAAATCTACCTATAGACATAAAGGCTGAAAACAATGTATAGCCCCTTTCTCTCCTTTTTCTGTAATATTGTGGTAAATATGCCTTGCATAAAAACACAAAAATTTCCATCTTAAGTATACAACCAATTTCATTAAACATAATCACAAAGTTGTGAAACTGTCAGTATTTATTTGTTAAACTTACATTATCTCAATATTCAGTGATTTTTTTAAAGGATACAACTGTATGATTTGTTCCATGAGATTCCCATTTGTGTTCCCTGAGAGTTTTCTCCTCAAATTTCACTACCACTAAGCATTCATTAATTAATCTCAAATGAATATGAAAGAAATAATGCCTGCAGGACTGCACAACACAATTAAACATTATACATCCACTGGGCAATATACCATTAGGTGGAGTATACATCAAGTAAAGAAAATTTAAGAGTTTACCACATACCCCTGAACTTGACAGGATGCTCAAACTTCAATTCTGTGGGAAGCCACTCACAGAAGCTAGCAAAAAGAGAACCACAGGGTACCAACCTGCTTTCTTTCCGACTACCGGTGCTGTCACCGGGGCAGCAATAGGAGTGGGTGCAGGCTCCATGGGTGGTGGTTTCATGGTTTTCACCTCTGTGGAAAGAAGATGCCCACTGTATGAATGCATCCACTTGTCACCTCCTACAACCACCATTTTGTGGCCTGTTTGCCCTTCATGATGTAATGTTGAACTCTTCGAATAGCTAGTTTTTCTGAAAGCATTATCTAAACATATTGAGATAAGAAATAATTGAAGCACAGTGATTTTTATATTTGTATTTAATGTATATCACTTTTAATCTAAAACGTATTTCTTTTACTTTTTTCCCCTTCACTACCTGTTATTCTAGTGGAGCTTGAAGAAACACTCACTCTGAGGATAAGCTTGCTTACCTGGTTCAGGCTTTGGCTTTGGTTCAGGTCCAGGGAGAGGTATTGCTGGCTTAATTTCAGGAACTAAAATAATTCACAGAAACAATCAGGTTATCATAATACTTTGTAAGTTTTTCACAAAGTTAAAATCATAAGTAAGCAAATTTAATGTACATGAGGATACTAGGATACATTTATCCAATGTTTATACATACATGGCTATACATACATTGTGAGCGAATGACAAATCAAATGTTTAATAACATTTTTCATGTTCAACATAATATTAAAAATTTTGATTGGATTTGAAGATGTTATTCAGCTTGTTACTCATCCCTAGTATTTATTTAACAAGTCATGATTATTAGCAAATTGCACAGAAGTGATGAAGAAAATCGGATTCATGTGATGAGTAGTCACAATGTCAGTATAATGATACTGTCATGCTGTGTCAAGGCATTCTTAGAGACAACCAGTAATGTGTCAGGAGAATTGTACCTTTGGTTGGTTCTGGAACTTTCCTTTCCCTTGGTGTAAGCTCTGGAGGAGCTTCGACTTCTTCGACAGCTTTTGGAGGAGGTTGTGGCACTTTAAGGAAAGAAGGTCATTGTCTAGTGTTAATTTAGAAAGCAGGTTACCTGAAAACTCAGATTGAACAATTATTTCTCAAAAATGCTAGTGATGGCTTTTCTATAATCATATTTTACAGATCAGTTTCCGCCTTCTTCTCATGACTGTGCTTCTGGCTTTCTCTCTTCCTTCCTTCCTTCCTTCCTTCCTTCCTTCCTTCCTTCCTTCCTTCCTTCCTTCCTTCCTTCCTCTTTCCATTCCATTCCATTTACTTGGTCCCAACTTCTGATATCTCTCCACTTCTAAAGCAGTTCCACCAAAGACTTAGTAATCACTCCCTTTGACAATAGGCAGATGGGAGTTATCAATCCACCCAAGAGTTCCCAGACTTAGGAAGCATTAAGAACACCCTCCCATGAATTTACTACATAGCCAACTAGATGATCTCAGCCATTGCTATGGGGAGAGCATACATGGCAAAGTAATAACAACAATAACAGCAGTAACAATGATAATAAAGCATGGGAAAATTCATGAATGGATCTACAAATTATTAATATCGGCAAGAATAGATGCTACACTTGTTTCTAGCCAAAAGACCAAGAAGTGTTTGTATTTGGAAATTATTGTAAAATATTGAAACAGAAAGCAGACAATGGAACATGTACATTACAGACAGATGAAATATGAAGCTGTGTTTATATTGAACTTCATGTATGTTTACAAAATAAACCTTTTGTTATGTGTCCATTTTGTTGAAAGGTAATTTCATAAATTATCATTTATGAAAATGGTTCCTACCTTCTGGTTTTTTAACTTTTTCTACTTTTTTAGGCTCTACTTTAGGTTCTTCTTCTTCAGGTCTCTTTCTTAGAACTTAAAAGACAAAAAGGTTTATATGTAAACCAAGGTGAGCGAATGACAATTTTGAATAAGCTTGATGAACACAGATGATGTACAAAGCAAGGACAATGGAAAGCATGCAAGCTAGCACAGTGGGGGGTTAGCATTTATATGAAAAAATGCTTTTATTTCCCACATTCTCCAGGTCAAAATTTCCCCAGATAAAATATGTTAATTCATATTAGACTTAGAAACGCTTCATTTCTGTCTAGCTACTATGACCAGAGACAACTATTTTGTGCAAAATGGCTCAAATAAAAAATTATTTGAACAGCAACAAATTCTAATAATTAAACATAATTTATTGACAACTACTTAAATAAAAAATTAGTTTCAATGCAGAAATCTAAAGTGATGTGGCTTAGAGATAAATAATTCCATATGACAACAAGGTTAGAATTAGACCTATCACGAGTATCTTGCATTTATTTTTTTATACTTAGTAAGAAAAAGATGTTTAGTTTTATAAAAAGTGTTACTGGTTGTGGTAATCTTGTATTATACTGAAATTGAAAACATTTAGGCTTAAGTAGTTATGTATACAGTATTTTAAAAGTTGAGTATATTTTATTTCACAATTTGGTTATGAAAAATGACACTGAAGGTCACTGTTGTTAGGATATTTCCAGTTTAGTTACACCTGTTAGCATTATCAATTTCAAAATACTATGAATGCTCACAAAATATCTACCTTCTCTTTACAAAGACTCAGAAATGATAGCCTTGAGTTTTTAATGGAACTACATTCAACTTTTGATGGAGAATCTAACTAAAATAAAATCCAGGGGCAGAAGTATTTTGTGAGCTTTCTGGTCAGTCTGATTTTCAAGCTGTTGAAACTGACATCCCAGGAGAGTAGTACTATACCGCTTTTCAGGACCACCTCCTCCTTTGGCTGGGGCTTAGGCTCAGGAAGTAATTTGCGAACTTTCTTTTCAGCTGTAGGCACTTAAAAGGATATGATTTCAAATTTGGTGTGAATTCACATAAAATGGAATTTCAATAAGAAAACGATCCTATTCAAAACAGATAACTAGAGTGTGTCAAGGAACAATTTCTGCTGCACATAAGTTTACAGAATTTAAAAGCAAATGATAGACTTAGAATTCTTTGCTCCACAAACATATATACAAATCTTATCAATGTTCAATCACACTGATTGCAAATCTATCTGTTCTAGTGAATATAGAATCTGTTGGTCTATAATGGTTTTATGAATCTTTCCCCAAATGCAAGGATTCTCTACAATCTTTGCTTCAATCTGTAGTTGTTTTAATTGCCCGTATCCACAGTGGTGTTCCCCTGATCAACATATACACCACATGATGCAGGCAGGAGTTACTGTCCTTTCTTCATTTTTTTCCATTGGTGGGAAAAGAAAACCAAAGAATGGACTGTGAACCTTGATATTGAAGAAAGATTATATTTCACTTTCTGAACAAAGGCATATTTCTGAAAGGTTTCCTTTAAAATAAAATTATAGGATTATCTGATTTCAAAGCTAGTGTTAGGAGCTAAATTATTCATGAATAAGACAATCTTTTTGAATGTAAATAAAAATGAGCAAGGTATTATAAATGTTTTCTTGCTTCTGCAGTGAACACCAAGCATAGTGATGATGCCATGTTGTAGAGTAGACTGTATTGCTTTTATACTGCATAGATTTAAACACAAAGACAATACCAAAAGAGAACTCAAAGATCAGTGAACCACTTTGAAGCTGTTCCTTTGGGTATGCAGTTTTGTTCAGTCAAAATAAATCTGGGTTTCTTAGATATTTCTATAAAATTTCCTGTTTGGCACTCTTAAGCAGTTCATTGATTCTGTTTGAATGTGATAAAGATCATCTTGCTTAAATCTTACTTCAAAATCCCAAACATAAAAGAGGCAAATGCATACTTCATTTAAAATAACCTGTTTGATAATGCCAAATGTTTGAATTAAAATTTTCAGCTGAACATTAAAAATTTGAACTGTGATAAATTATACTGATCTCAGTTATTATTTGTGAATTATCAGTATTTTTAATGCAAAATCATTTTTATTGATTGAGCCTATATAATAATGTAAGTTGAAATGGCAAGAATATACTATTCCTTATACAATATACATAATGACAGTTATTAATGTATTTGTTTTTCCCTGTTTTTGTTTTATTTCTAAGATGTTGATGTTTGAGACCCATTCCGTATTGTGGCTATTGTTTTTAGGGACACTATGTTATCACATAATAATTTAATTTTTAATAATTTATAAATTTAATAATTTAATTGACCAAAATTATTTAGATGCTCCATTTTATGAATCAGGAAATGCTCATATGGGTGATTATTCTAAAATTCCAGCATGACCAAGAACAGGTTTGATTTCTGGGTCGGGATGTGTTGGTTATCAGAACTCTGATACTCATAAACTTACTAGAAATACTGTTTATTTTTACTTCATATTTTTTTACTTCATATTTTTAAGGTTTGTATTGTTTCTTATTTTTATGGCTTAAATAGGTAGGGAAAAAAGTATTCAAAAGAAAATCACTTTGGAAAATAACCTGCAGTGATAATGGTATTTTCCTAAAACTCTGTGCACCTGGGAGAATGTCTCAGGTTAGTGAGAAGAACGTGGTGGGCAAGTGAGGGGCAATAGAATCCCCTAGGGCTTGCCCAACTGTATGCCGGGGATGGATGATATGACTTGTAGTGCTTTTACACAGATTAAAATGCTGATGTCCAGGCAAACCCCAAAGCTTATTACTACTGTTCAGCATTTTGACCTAAGATGTCTCCTGATATCAATTTCATCTAACTAGTAGAGTTTGCTATTATTTGGCTTTAAAACAGCAAGTAGACATATGGAAATGTAAGACACAGATAAACAGTTGCATCCATATGATGTATGAAATTGATGGGAGACATAGGAAGCACCCAACACTCATGAGCCAGTATCATAGAAGCCACAAAAGCACAAGAAATGAATGGAACTATTCTACTTCTCTGATCATTAAGAAGAAGAGGGGGGCTGGAAGAACACTCTATGGCAACACAAAGAGAGCATGGAGTCAGATGGAGAGGTGACCTTGCATGTGACTCTGCTAGCTTCTGAGATACCTTTTAGTGGTGCAGGCTCCACTTTTTCCACAACCTCGGGTTTTTCGGGAACTTTCTTCTTTGAAACAGCTTTAAAGAATTTTAAAGAATATATTTTCATTACTTGTATACTTAATGTGAAGCATTTTTTTTTACTGCAAGAATCAAAGCCAAGCTTCTCTTAGAGCCAGAAAGCATTAATAACAGCCAAGAATAGCCACCAAGGGTGTTCAGAAGGAAGCCTGGAAGCCAGGAGAACAAAGTGCAGCTCTGCTCCTGCTCCATGGTTGTGTTGTATACAAGGAGCAGGTGAGAAAGAAGAGAATCTCTGTTCTTTGCAGGAGAACTGTATTTGAACTGTATTCAAATATGTGTCCCCACAAACCATTAATCAACAGCTGGGGCACTCTACCTATCACCCAAAACCTAAGGAGCAGGGCAAGAATCACCAAAAGTAATTCTAGAAGATTCTGTCTCTGTGCTTGCATATCTATGTGTGATAAAATTCCTTATATAAGATTATATGAACATTTCAGATTAGAGAACATAACATTGCAAACAAGATAGCGTTTAAAAAATAAAAATAAAACCTTGTCTCAGAAAAAAGGAAAAAGAAAAAAAAAGCTTTGCATGTATGTTTATCATATAAAACATATGATCAGAAAATGTACTTATGAGATTCAAGATATTAAATAATACTGTATCACTTCAAAGAAAAGTAAAACAAAAAGAATGAAGGAAGTTTGATAAAGAGGAGCCAGATACCAAATGTATTAAGAACCACACTTCCCAGCTACACTAAGAACCCTGTAGACTACCACTGGGTTTCTACCAGGCCAAGAAAAAAGTGGGAAAGCAGCAGTGATGAGTTGTTCATATAATTTTTTCCATGGTATATGCTACTTATATTTAAAAGAACATGCTGTTATTTAAGAGCCAAGGTTTGAGTTCTACACAAATTTAATCGCTTCAATGTTAAAAGTATCCTTCAAAGACTTTTAAGACATTCCACATGCTTATGACCAAGGCAGGCACAGCAATCAGCCTTTCAAACAAAAAGACCTTCCTCCCCACTCCACATGGAAAGTTAGTTGGGTAGCCTCTGATTTCAAGGATGCTGCTCACTGAATTGTCTCATGTTTGGGGCAGCAGGCATGGCTTCATATCAAAACCCAGGACCACCCCTGGGATAGTTGAGACATACATCCCTATGCGATTCCCACAGTGTGGCCACATCTGGACATATGCACTCCTGGCAGCAATGCATTTCTTGAAATCAACATTTCCATAGGCCAAATAGAAGTTTGAAGCAGGTTAACAAGTCATTGGAAGCAGCAATTTGTACCTTTAAGTTGGAACAGTTTCTCCTTCACATCCTCTTTAGGTGGAGAAGGAGCACGTGCTGGGGGTCTTGGTTTGAGTTTTGGTTTCTCGATAACCTTCTTCTCAGGCTCAGGTTCTTGAAAGAGTATTGCAGAAGTGTTAGTGCATGCAAATATTAATTAGAATGTGTATATGCAATAGAAATTTAAATATGCATGAAGCAAAAATGTATTTTGCTATGTGTTATCAGTGTCCTAACATAAAACATAAAACATCAACACTGTACACACAGGTGGTGACATACATAATAAAGATGAAAAGAATGAGCCACATTTACCTTACAAAGACAACATTACAGGACAATATAAGAATAGATTCACACACAATATTTTTTCATAGAGATGGAAAGACCTTCTATACAGATAGGACAACACAAACATATACAGGCCAAGATAAAGAATATGATGATGAAGATTTAAATCCAGATAACTGGATACCTTGTACTGGGGTTTCTTCTGGTTCTGGTTCTGGTTCTGGTTTTGGTTTTGGTTCAGGTTCAGGTTCTTCAGGTTGGATAAACTTTTCAATTTCACGTTCTTTAAAGAATGTCAACAAAGGGTGTAAGATTGTAGCATAAAGGTGTTCATGCAGACACACAAACATTTTACATAGATGCAAAGACTCACAAAAACTAGACATACCACCAACGCAAGGTGGTTGCCAGAAAAGAGAGATTTTCATTTGCTTTTTCTATTTGTGATGTTGGGCACCAAGCCCAGAGTCTGTCCTGTCCTGTCCTGTCCTTTCCTTTTTCCTTTCCTTTTTCCTTTCCTTTTTCCTTTCCTTTTTCCTTTCCTTTCCTTTCCTTTCCTTTCCTTTCCACTTTCCCTCTTTCCTTTCCTCTTTCCCTCTTTCCTTTCCTCTTTCCCTCTTTCCTCTCCTCTTTCCTTCCCCCTCTCCTCCCCTCCCCTCTCCTCTCCTTCTCTCCCCTCCCCTCTCCCCTCTCCTGCCCTCCCCTCTCCTCTCCTGTCTCCCTCTTTCCTTTCCTCTTTCCCTTTTCCTTTTTTCCCTTCCTTTTCCCCTTTACTTTTCCATTCCCTCTTTTTTTCTTTTCTTTCTCTTAGTTTGTTTTAAATCAGGTCTTACTTTGTAGACCAGGCTAACCTCACACTTACAGAGATTCACCTGTCTCCACCTATGAAAGCTGGCATTAAAGGGTAGTGCCACCATGCCTAGCCAAGTGTAAGGTAAGAATCCATCCCAGCCTCCTGATAATTTTCTTACACTTGAACTGTCTATTGCTATGTTGATGGTAGATGCGCTGACTTGAAACTCACTACTGGCAATCCTTTGAGAATCCAAATACAATTAACTGATGTAATCTGCATCAGTAAACCGCACTTTTCAGAATGGTTCATTATCACTGAGCCTAAGCAAATGAAAGGTTCTAATTCAAAAGAGGCATAGTTGTTTTGGGGGAAAAGTAGTCAAACATGTGCAGGGATGTTCCTGTGCGTGATTTAAGCAGGAATGCCACCCTTC